AAAGAAACGACTCCAGTGAGCCAACAGGAGAATCAGATTAACATTTATGACATGTGAAAAGTTGTGGGGAAATATTCTATTTTGAATATGTTATTTTTGGGGTGCTTATTTTACACTATGTTATATGTTGATGTTGGCAGTTGGATGTATGTATGTCTGAAGTTCATGGTTTAAGAAATTTTGCAATCATAAAAATAGATATGGTATTTAAAACCATGAACTGGATCACATCATCTAGTAAATGACAGAATGGCTTCCAAGAGGCCACATGTAGAAGGTTCTTTCTTGTAGGACCATTGCAAGTGTTCCTCTCAGGCATATTTAGGAGGGTTATGATTGCCAAGTCATAAACCATGCTGATAATTTTTTTCATTAAATAGTGCCAGATTGTTCTATAGAATGTGTTTACCACTTTAAATTCCTATCATCAGTACTGAGGATTCCCATTTCCCCCTATTGTTGCCAATATTTGAGATTACCTTTTTATTTTTGCCAAACCGGTGGGTAAAATGGTGGTGTCTGGTGGAGCTTGCTCATGCAAATGAATTGGACACATTTCTTCCCAACTCCTTATTCAGCAACCTCATACTTGAAGCCTAAAATTGGCAGGGGTGAGATAAGAGTGTTTGCACTGTGGACATTGGGCAAACACTATAAATCAGGACTCCCCCATCCCCAAACTGGTTTTTAAATAATAACCAATAGCTAGAGGTAGTATCACACGGCTCGTATTTCTGTTCTCTCATTGCTAGTGAGATGCTCAAATTCACTTGCCATCTGACTTTCCCTGTTGTGAATTGCCTATTTCTACCCTGTTCTCATGTTTATATTGAGTTTTCTGATTTTTTTTTTGTTGATCTGCAAAAGTTCCACATATATATTTTAGATATTATTCCCTAGGTGCTTTTGAGCATACCACATGTACACATTCTCCCCAATTTGTCAGCTGCCTGTTGGTTTTTTCTATAGTATTCTTCATGAAGAGAAACATAAATTGCAATGCAGTCAAATCTCCCAGTTTTTTGTTTTGAGGTTTATGCTTTTGTTGTCTGGTTTTATGAAGTCAATCCTTACTCTGCATTCGTAAAGGTATTCTCCTATATTTTCTTTTCAACCTTTCAAATGTAGGTCTTTAATCCACCTAGAGTTCATCTTCTTGTGTGTGGCAGGTATGAGAAATCCAACTTCATTTTTTTTTCATAAACTGAGCCAATTTCCCCAACACCATCTTCTAAATAATTTATATTTTCCTCATTGATTTATGGTTCTACTTCTACAAATATTGTGGTCCCTTGGGTCTGCTTCTGAGCTCTACATTCTGTTTCGGTGTTCTCGTAGTTATTGTACTGGTACCATATACCCTTATCACTATGCGGTAATAGCATAACATCTGGCAGGGCAGGTTTCCTCTGTTGCTTTTCAGAATTGATTTAGCTACTTTGAAATTTATTTTTCCTTATGTATTTTATAAGTTTATTGGAGTTCTTTAAACTTTGTGTTCCTGATGGAATTTTGGTGGTTAGAACAGTAAATTCAGAGATTATAAATTGACATTTTGACAATGTAAAGTCAACCTATCCACAGTATATTCTTCATTTATTCAACCTTTTTATATGTCCTTAAATAGAATTTAAAAATTTTCTCCATAAAGTTCTTGAAAGTAGTTAGTGAATTCCTGGATATTATGCTTTAGATTTTAATTGCTATCCTGAATGGTCTCTTATTGCCTATTATATTTCCTGGTTGCTTACTGCCAATGTAAAAGAAACTATTGATTTTTATAAATTGATCTTGTACTTGGCCACCTTGTTGAACTCACTTATTACTTCTAATAGTTGATTCTGTTGGGTTTCCTAATGCTAATGATTATATCATCTACCAATAGAAATATTTTAGGGGCTCTACCTAGTGCTCTGATATTTTGCATTTAACTTCCTCTGCTAGTTTGCCTCCACTCTAGCACGCCGACTCTGACAGCCTGATGTCTCTTGTGGTCCTAATGCCTTGTACACCCAGATTCTGGAAACAGAGTTCTTTCCTTCCTCTCCTCTAAATGATATCCTGCTCAATCCCTCCGTCCATGTAAGAGCAGTGACATTGTCTTCTTTTGCCTATTTCCTCTAACTCTTTTCTCATGGTTTGGGGTCCTGTTAGCTGGACCTTCTTGTAACAAACCTTCTTGTTACTGACCTGCTGATTGTCAGCCTGAATTTCTGAATGATCCCTCCTGCTCAATGCAGCATTTCTGTGTCCCGAATGCCCAAAAAGACACCCTATGTGGGTCATTTAAACTAGTGGGTCAAAATAGGTGTTCATATACTGCAGACTCACGGTGGGATCTTATTTCTGCCCCCGGGTACAAGGAGCAAATCACACAGCCTCCTGGAGTCTGGCTGTTCGTTTGCAAAGTGAAGGCATGTAAGATTCCATAGGTAAAGGGCCATACCTATGAGAGACCACTGAGCAGGCCCCTTCTCCACACTGATGCTCACTACCAGTGCTGACCACCCCCTGGGACTGTGATTTATTGCCGCGTTGTCCAGGAACCTTGTACCTTCAGATATAATTCAGATCTCAGCAGCTGCAGCTGGACCATATCCCCATGTGCCTTCTTACACTGGTGGAAGGTTCAAGGTCGAGTGCTAGGCCTACATCATGGCCTAGACCAACTTTTGTTAACTTGGCAATACCTGGTTCTAAGAATTGCATGACCCATGGAATGCTCCACGGAGCAAAACTCTGACGGGCACTTGTACTCCTGATGATGGTCTAGGGGATAATTTCAGTTTTTTGAGGAAGGGCAATGAGGTGAAAGGGAGACTCTCTCTAATGGTTCGGTATCCCTGGAATTTGCCTGTGTGTACTATGTGGTGTTTGGGTGTAGCAGAAAAAGCCAGTGGCCTGGCTGGTTCTAACAGAGACTTTTATTGTCATTAGGAACAACTCAGCTAGCCACACCCTGTCATTTACTAAAAGCGGTATCTCAGGGTAATAATTTAAATCAGCTATAAAAGTGAACTGTATACCTGTAGAAACTTCACCAATAGCACCTTCTGTTACACACAGATCTTTATGAGTTTCTGTGGCTCACTGATAATAGGGAACATTTATAGCTGCTGAAAGCCAACCAAGGATAGATTGCCTTCTTTCTTTTAATCAGTTAAGAGGTGGGAGGGGTCAGACAAGAACAGGCAAGGAAGAGAAGAGCAGGGAGAGGGAGGTGGAGCCTTACCTCCACCCCCTCCCCCCATCTGCGTCACATTATCATTCTTGAAAGAGCAGGAAGATGCTAAACCTGCAGGGACAGAGAGATTGGCAGCTGACCAGGGGCTGTGGGATGGTCATGGTGTTTACATATTGCACAAGTGCTATAGTTTTAATTGACAGTATGCCCCACCCCATTCAACAATGTGATGTGACTGCTGCAAACAACTATCTTGATACTTTGAGCCACGCTAATAGAAGTATCACATGTAGAAAGTGGTGGCAGTTTCCTCTCTGTACTCAACGGGACACCCAGTTCCTTCTTGAGCTCTAGACAAGCTGAGATGCTTCACCCAGAGTCCCTCAACATGCGGCGGGTGAGTGGGGTCTTAACCATGTCCTATAAAGAGCAGCCAAAGGCACAGAGAATGCTTGTCCTAAGTACCCGGACTTGGAGTCGGACCCAATTTGCAAATTCCCAGAGGTAGAAACAAAACACAATGAAGGAGGAGATCCTGGGAGCTGGACTTTAGCTCCAGGGTAGGAAGAACTTTTCAACGAGGCTGATCAAAGATAAAATGGCTGCTTTCAAAGGAAGCGAGTTCCTGGTTACTGGAGGTGTTCAGCTCCGATCATTTGGTGGGAGGATGTTGTAAGGGAGACCCAAGCAACTGGAGGGGGTTGGTTAGCCTTTTCTAGTCCCTGGAATCAATGATTCTAATAGGAAAAGATGCTCTGGTGTACCCCGAACTGTACTCTGCTCCTACAGAGACAGGGTTGGACATTCATTCCGCATCAGCCATTGCCGGGCACTATGGAAGGTGAACAGAGGGGTAGAGAGGAGTAATCTGCATATCAGAGCCAGAACAAAGAGGCTGCAGAATTGTTAAGTGTGACACTACCACTAAGTGTTTAAAAACCTCAATCAGGGGAGAACAATGGACTCCTTACGGTTCTTCATTATGGGGACTCTGCCAAGTAACCCCTTTCCTTCCACTGGATAATGGGGAACCAGGATGTCAGCATTCAAGTCTGTGAGTTGTCACAGTTTTACCACTTTCTGGTTCTTGGGGGTCATAGAAGGGGACCCAGAGAGAAGGAGATGAGAAGAGTGCAAAGCAGGAAGGGAAATACACTTCTGGGATTACTACTTCTACCTCTACGCTGACACACTTGGGTGTAATTATTCAACTTTGGGTATAGCATTAACTAGGCTTTTTACAGCATGACCTCCAAACAGGTAATTGACTGATGGATCTACTCTGGGCTGTGCAGGGGGCTAGACACTGGGGAGCCCAAAATGGATACGGCAAGGTCCCTGCCTGGAAGAAGGTGGCAGGAGCGCTTCTCGCCCAGGATTCAGGTCAGATTCCTGGGGCCAAGGGCTTTAATGGAAGAATGTCTGCACGGCGCGCTGTGGGCTGCTCCCCCCATTCACTGCTCCGGGCCAGGCTGGGTTCCTCGGAGAGCCCGCACGTGGCTGCGGTGGAAACGTCACACCAGCACCACCTCCTCGAAAGGTGAATCCGTGAAACTCCTCTGCCCAGGGCCCTACCCTCGAAGCCCAACCTTCTGTCTGCTGAGAGAATGGGGGCTCAGGCTGCAGGTGACCTAGTGCAGGTACGCGCCCAGACCTCCATCCCCGTCTGGCGTGTGCGCGGCGCCGGGGACGAGGCCTGCGCGCCGCCCGGGAGCCAGGCTTGCGAGCGCGCGTGCGCGCGCAGACCCCGCGTGGGGCCGGCTCTGGCGCGCGCACAGGCGGCGGGCGGGAGGGGCCGCGGAGGTCGGAGCGGCGCGGCAGGAGGCTCCGCGGTGGCCACCGGAGACAGGCTCCGGGCGGAGGAGCGCGCCTCTCGGCCTTCCCTCCGCTTCCCCGTGTTCCCAGCCTGCCGCCCGAGAGGACCCTAGGAGGCAGGTGGGGCGGGAGCGCGCGGGGCTCCAGGCCGGGTGGGCGGGGGCGCGGGTGCCCGTGGGTGGTTGGAGGTTCCGCGAGGGGAGGCGCTGGGGGCACTGGGAACCTGCCGGCCGCCTCCATTGGGCGCCGGTGTCGCCGGCGCCCTGAGGCCTCCCTAGGGTGGCGCGGCCCACCGGCGGGGATGTGGATTCTCGTTTCCGTTCCTCACGGACGGTTTAACTTCAGGAGCAGAGGCCCCGCGGTGTGTGGGACCGGCAGGAACCGCGGCGGAGCTCCAACCTTGACCGCCCTGGCGCCCTAGGAGTGCCCCGGGCACATGGGTGTGCTGCGTGCTGTGCTCGTCGTCTTTTTCTTTTTCTTGAAATGGGCCTCTTCAGACCTTCCCTTGCTTATTAAGAAACCTTTTGCCAGTGGAATTTCAAAATTAAACCAAATGACTTTGCTTCCAGTCTTTTGCTAACCCGAGATTCCTGAATCCTAAATTGGGATTGGGAAGTTGGGAGAAACCCTTTCGCTGAGACCTGTCCTAAACAGAGACGCGGTTTAGACCTTACCCTTGTGGATTAGACTGATGGGTTTATAAATCAGCTTTCTTTTAAATTAGATATCAGGTTGTTCCTTCATTCAGAGACTGTACCGGCAATTCGGGTTTAAACTCTGTTTGAGACAAATGTTTTGATATGTATCAGAGGATGATATTCTCATGGGACATTAACTTGCTCTATGCTCCCCTCTAGACCGTGGTTCATATTGTAGCAATGTCATCGTAAATATGCCTTAGGAGTGTTTCAGTCCTCTTCCTAGAAACATCCCCGGAATCCTTTAATTGTAAATACTTCACATTCACGTTGACATTTGCCCTTTAGGAATCATCTGCGCAATTTAAAGTGAGTCGTCTAAATGGCAGATCCCACGGTGCGGGGCACGCAGCCACTAAGGAGGGAAAGGAGAGGATGGAAAATGGCAGAAGTTTAGCTTTCTGCATTTTTATGCTGCACAACCTTCCTGGTTCTATCTTACTTTGCTAACAGAAGTATGCATTTTTAAATGCTTTCATTCAATGTAGACTACCTGGACTGTAAGATTCAATCTTGAAATGTAATGAATATATTTATTTCTGTTTTATAGACGATTTGGCGCAAATAACATATGCGGGATTTCTTTCAGACATTTCGTATCACCAGATACAGTTCCCACCAGCAAGACCTTTTAAAAAAGTGATATTTGCCCTGGCTGGTGTAGCTCAGTAGATTGAGCCTGGGCCTGTGAACCAAAAGGTCGCTGGTTCAATCCCCAGTCAGGCAACATGCCTGGGTTGTGGGCCAGGTGACCAGTAGGGGGCGTACAAGAGACAACCACAGGTTGATGTTTCTCTCCCTCTCTCCTTCCCTTCCCCTCTCTCTAAAGATAAATAAAATCTTTTTAAAAAAGAGGGACACATTCTCATTTTTAAAAAGTGATATTTTTATGGTGTCTTTTATTGCTTGTAATAACTCCAGTTTTTTGAAACATGCTTGTGATCTTTATGTTACAGAATCAACTTCACTCTTTCTCCCTGTTTAAACCTACAAATATCTAGTTACTTTTAGGATTACTGTTCCCTTATTAATTATGTCCAATTAACTATGCTGTAATGGGCTTGCTTAGTTTGTTAGCCTGTATGTGTTTCTTGACATTTTAGGCATCTGTATATTGTTTTCTCACTTGCGCACTGAGCAGCGCAGTTCTCCTTCAGCGATATTCAATAGCGCTTTCCACATGTGGCCTTGAACACTTGTGTGGAGCTAGAGAGATGGAAGCACTGGATTTTTAATTTGATTTAAATAACCACATGTAGCTAGAAGCCACCTGCTTGGGCACTGCAGCTTTAGCGGTTAGTCCCTCAGGAAGTTTCCCCGGGCTCTCTTGAACCCAGCACTTAGCACAAGTATACAGTGATTCCAGCTTTCTTGCAGGAACCCTACACTAGGCTGTATCATCTATTGATACGCCAGGGCGAGGGCTTATCTATTTTCTTTACCTTTGCTATGCCCAGCCTAGGATTTAGTAAGAAACACTTGATTAATGTTTGTTGGATGACTAAATAAACTTCTGGGGGGCATGTATCTTTTATATTCTCTCAAAGGCCTAGAGTGAACTAAGGATCAAGCACTGCAAATCCCTGCATAGTGATTGAACAGATTTCCTATAAATGGATTGTTAGAGATATATTTTAAATGCTTATTTTGGCTGGATTACTTTTTTTGGAATCTCTCTTTTTTTCTAACCTTCTCCTGAGGACATTTTTTCACTGCTTTTAGGGAGCAAGGAAAGGAGGGGGGAAAGGAGAGAGAGAATGAATCATTGATGTGAGAGAGAAACATTGATTGGTTACCTTCTCATATGCGCTCCAACTGAGGTTTGAACCTGCAACCCAAGCATGTGCCCTGACTGGGAATTGAACCTGCAACCTCTCTTTCCTATGGGACGATGTTCCAACCAACTAGGCCACACCCGCCAGAGCTGGACTCTGTTGAAGACTCGTGAGAAAATACTGTACAAAGTTGAATGAAAGGGTCCCATGACTCCAACTTGTATGGACACAGCTTGGGTTTCCTGTTAGTTGAGTAGCTGAAGGATGCTGCCGTTAAACCATATTCTGGAAAAAATCTGAGGGCATCTCTTGGCCTCAGTGAGGCTCCTTGGTGAGGCCCTAACAGCCTTCAACTACTCTGAAGACATTAGTGGGCTTCTCCACCCACCACCATTCTGTGTTAGGGCATGGGCCAGGAATCCTTGACAAGTCATGAGATATTACAGCCATGTTACCACATGCTTTTGCTCAGAGCTGATTTGGGGTGTTGGAGTAGGTTAGGATCCTATATAAATCAAAGTTTTGGGAATTTGAGTCTACTGATTGCATGTTATATAGACAATTAATTAGGGCCAACTTTTTTTTTCTTTTAACTCTTAGGCTTACTTTGTATAATCTGTTAATCACCAGTTACTTGTAGTAGAATTTGAAATGAGTATATGTACTCAATTCAGATTGGTATATCTCTGAGTTTGACCAACATTCCCAGGTGTTGAATCTTTGCATCTAGAAATTGATTTTAGAAAAGGATTCTAAGACTATACAAAACTTTGTAGAGGTGCACAATTTTCTTTGGTGGGACAAAAGGTAGAATGTTGAGTTTTTAATGTAGGAAAGGAAATGAGACTGAGAGAAAAATGCGAGGAAGACAAAATACAAAGAATGTTCAGTACATTGGTGAGGTAATATCATAGCTTCTCTGGGCTCGAAGTAGCTAATATGTAAAATGATGAAGTTGGTTACATTTTGTTGAATGAACCATCTTTCCACCTTGAATCTAGGACTTCAATATTTATTAAGTATGAGTAAGCCACTAATCTAACTCTCGTGGCAAGTGATAGTTGTATAAGATAGTTCTTTAAGAATCTCAACAGTCTACAGGGAAATGAAAGATGCTTTGGGGATCACTTTTTTAAAAAACATATTCGAATGGAAAACCCATTCTTTGAAAGGAGGATTTTGAAACGTGGCTCCTCTTAACTGACTCAGAAAGATAACCACGCAATCACTTTGCTAAAGAATTATGAGTATAAAAAAACATGACAGTCTCAAAGTGTGATTGTAGTCAGGTTAATCTTCCTAGAACACAGCTTGATCATCTAATACCCTCCTCTTAACTAATCAGTGGTTTTCAGTGCTTGTGGAATTAGATGGTTCGGTCTTTGATCAGGTGTTTGAAGTGCTCCTGAGTATAACCCTAAAAAACTTTTACAGCCTTACCTCTTACTGATTTCCTGGACGTAGGGCACATTGCAGCCCACTGTTCCTTTAAAGTGCCTCCCTCTGAATTTCTGCCCCAGTTTCTGCCCAGTCTTCTTCCAAGACCCATCCTCGGTGATGTCTTCTTTGTGGCACCACTTCTGATTCTCAGGAGCTGCCACAGGATATGTTCCTTGTACTTACTTACGCTCTACGGCAAAACCCATTCTGTTTCATCATCAGTAGTAATTAATGCTATCTTAGTCATCCTAATAGGTTGTAAGCACGGACCATCTGTTACTCATTCTTGTATTTTCTGAAACATCTAGAGTAGTGTAGTGCCTCATACAAATAGTTGTTACGTATTTATTTATAACATTTACTTATAATGTTATAAATATTTATGTTATAAATGTTATAAATAACATTTACTAAAAGTTACTTCTCTTCCTTGACTTCTAAGGTAGCTTCATACTCTGCATAGAATGTTTTGTCCAAACTTAACTGCCAGACAGCTAGAGGCGAACGAGTAGAATTCCTGAGTTACTTCCATACTGAGAAGTTACAGTGTTGAAGGAGAGCTGTCTTGGTGGTGTATACTTTTTGGAATTGATAGTATTTAAGGAAGATCACCATGTTGTATGGCGCCAACTCCTTGTTATTTTCCTATTTATGTGGCAAGGTTAATGTCAAAATGCTTCCAAGTATTGGGTGGCAAGTAATTTTAGCATCCATGAAAACTTGAATGCCTTTAATGTAGTAACACTGAATTTGGTTATTTAACATACAATAATATCCATGTCCATATAAACATGCACCTGATGAGAAAAAAGAAAGCATCTTACTCTTTACCAGTGCCTGCTAGGATTCAGAAAGCCTGTAAGTCAAGTTGGAAAGGAACCAGCTGTCTCGGAGAGGTGACTGTTTCCTTAGAGAAGGGTGGTGACCATAAAGGTGATTAACTTAGGTGTGGGGTTGGCTGACCAAGTATGACAGAGTGCACATTGAGGAATATCTAACATGGCATAATCTTCCAGGATAAGCTCGCAGCTACTTTTACTTACTCTATTTTTTTCTACTGAAATAAACTAAAATTATTTTCACTTGATTTCATAATACGGTTTTCTGCTTATATTTAAAAACAGACATAGGGAGTCATAATGGTTCATACTTTGAAGATTTGATGTAAAAGAAATTGAAAGGTTTTTGTCTTCGTAGTTCAGTTTTGCTAACATTTTCTCTGCTTTCCCCGTCATTTCTGATATATGGGCTTGGTGCGACACCAGCCTAATTTAGAGAAAATTTATTCAAAGCGCTCATATTGTTGGGGAAAAAGAGGTAATACCTGTGACATGGTTCAAAAGGCATGGCCTTGCATCTTCTTCTGGGATAGAGTAAACAGACCCTGTGTACTTTTCAGGAGTGGGACCACGTCAGGCTCTTGGATTTGTAGGTGTAATGTGATTTATTTTCGCTAAAGTTTTCGGAGATGTCAGAAATTAATGAGAATGTCCTAAACTGGATTATTTTCCTGTGATGAGCACATGGCATGAGCTATTGGATGACAGATGGTATAACTTGTGCCAAATTCCACGGGAAGTTGAAGATCCATTGACAAGGGATACTATGCCCTTGTTTATTCCTGTGAGTAAAGAGAATATCACCAATTTAGATTAGCTCAACAGTTAAAAAATGTTTTCACCTATTACTGGGAAATAATGTTACACCTGAGCTTTGTCTAGAAAGATGATGCGTGCTGCTGACCCTATAAAAGTAAGGAAGTTTTTGCCGCCTTCCTCTTGAAAAGAGATTCTTGGAGGTTGAAGTTAAAAATGTCAGTATGTTAGATATGAAGAGAATGTAGTCCTTCTGGGATTGAAGGCAATCATTTAGTTGCATACAGATATAATAATTTATGCACTCTGCCCCCCTCTCATTAAAGGTGGCTTTCTAGAAGATGACCATAGAGGACCTTCCAGATTTTCCATTAGAAGAAAATTCTTTGATTGGAAGATACCCATTTTTATTTTCAGGTTCTGACACACCAGTGATCTTTTCCATTTCTGCAGCACCAATGCCTTCCGACTGTGGTATGTTGGCCAGCGGTCATTATTTTCTGTGAACTGGTAACTTGACTTCTGTCTTATGTCCTTGTTACACTTGTAATTTTTCCCAGAACAGTTTGCGGTGGTTTTCATAAAATTGCTAGTTTTCACTTTTCAAAAATACAATTGCTTTTATTGCCTCTTAAACTAAATGTTTTATTTCTGCTATCGGCATTTCTATTATGTAAAAATGTTCATTTTAAGCACCATGTTGGATTTAGAGGATCTTATTTTTAGGATGCAAGGGTGCTGAGGCATCTAGCATTCTTCTGCTGTTGATGTGTTTATTTTGGTTAAATACACTGACTTATTTAAAAAGCCCTATACTAAAAAAATGACCTAAAAGCACCGTCAACTAGCCATCTCCAGGGGCCTTGCCGCCTCTGAGATGCTGGAGTTCTAATCAACACTGTAAATAATGACTTCTGAAATGAACCAAGCTTGGCTGACGATGTAATGACAACTTTCAGTACGCGCGCAAGCCTAATTTGGACCCTGTCTCAGTCATCTCCCATTGTGATAGTCAAGGTAACCACAAAAAAATATAGTAAAACTTTAAAAAAAAACAGAGAGGGTGAGACCTTTACTTGGAATGTGGAATGAGATTGGTTCATACTTAATTGGTTCATTTAAATCTCCTCTGGAAAACATATATTTAGAAGTGTTTGAGTTTTCCTCTACTTAAACTTATTTCCTCCAGACCATATTTTATCAGATAGTTGAGTTTATAAGTCAGCCCGGCTTTAATTCTGGCTCAACCACATTGCATGACCTTGGGCATGTTACTTATTTTCTGTCTGCCCTGCTTTTTTTTTTCAGCAAATGAGTATAATGAGCCTACCTACCTCATAGGGTTGTTATGAGGATGAAGTGAGGTAACATACATAAAGTTTACAGGGTGGGGTAAAAGTAAGTTTATAGTTGTTAGTATGGAAAATAATAATTAATAAGTAATAATACAAGGATAAACTGTTTTACCTACTCACAATTGTAAACCCTACTTTTGCCCTGCCCTGTATGTATATGTGTATATATATATAACAGTCCCTGGCACCTATTAAGCACTTAGTAAGTATAACTTACTATCATTATTATTTAAATGATTCTATTTGCCATTACCTCAATATATAATTACGGAGCATTGTTACATGCTTCAGTATTTATTGGGCTACCTCCACCCACCATTATTCTTGGTTCAAATCTTCCTGCTTATTTCTCTTACAGCCGTTTTCTAGATCTTTGCCGTTCACAGTGTGGTTCTTAGTCTAGTAGCGTTGGCATCACTGGGAACTTGTTAGAAATGCAATCCAAGGCCCCACCTGAGACTTACTGGGTTAGACTCTACACTGTGACAGAAACCCTAGGTGATTCCTGTCTCCATTAATGTTTGAAAAGTTCTGGCACAGGTGGATAATAGAATAGTTTTGTCTGTCCCTTCCTACAAATAAATCCTGGTGAGATTTCGATTAGAATTGAAATTATTTTAAATAGTGTTCTTGGGAAGATTGATAGCTTTCAATATTTTATCTTCCAATGCAGGAACATAATGTGTCTCTCTCATTTAAGTTTCCCTTACCCCTTCAGCTTTGTTTAAATAAGCCTCACAGATTTATGGGCATGTTTGTTACTTTTATTGTTATTGTGTATTGGTTTTTCTTATTGTACTTTGTTTTCTTTAAAAATAGCAAATCATTTACAAATGCAAAAAACAGTGATAGCAAAAATGTATATCATACATTCACCATCAGAATGAACAAATGTTAGTGTTCTGTCATATTTCTTTTAGCTCTTATTTTTTTTAAACTAAATGAAATAAAACTTTAAAGAGAAAGTTGAAATTCCCTGCATTTTACTTTCTGATCCTATTCCCCTTGCTCCCCAGAGGTAACTACTAGCTTATATTTAGTGTGAATATTGCAAAGTGTAATATTATACTTTTACTACTTATATGAGTGTCTATGAACAATATGCAGTATTTTTTGTGTATTTATAATTTTATGTAAATGGTAGATATTGTATATTATTCTGTAACTTAATTTATTGATCAGTGTTTTTTCAGACCTATCTTTATAAGTTTATGACTTAGACATCTAATTCATTTATTTAGTTGTGCACTTATTCTTCATGACATATTTATGTTTTTAGAGGCAAAAATAGTGATAAAACTTGACAAATTTTTTCTGATTTAGAAATAATTTTTGGAACATTCAGGGTTTGAGATAAAGGTTTGTGCACTTCTGTTTTTCATTTATCTGTAACAAAATGTGGTATGATAGATCAAAATTTCATGCTCACAATTCAGGAATATGTCATACTTTTTAGTGATTTTGACTTTGCTTTCAAGAATTGCTTGAGGTAAACCTACTTTTCTAACATCTAAAAGTATTTGTATCATTTACGCCCTGGTCTTATTGTATATTATTTTTGATATAATTATTTACAGCTTTTAATAAATTTAATTTGCACCTTTTTTTATTTCAGAGTTTTCTTTCTTTGATCCTAATGATACATCCTGTCAGGAAATTCTCTTTGATCCCAAAACTTCTGTATCAGAATTATTTGCCATTTTAAGACAATGGGTTCCTCAGGTCCAGCAAAACATCGACATTATTGGAAATGAGGTAAAGAATTACTACGTTTTAAGTTTTGCATTGTTAGGGTTATTAATCACATACATTTCTCCCCCCCCATCTACATGGAAAAATGGTGATAAAGGGGAGACCCTTTAGAGTCTGATGTTCGTGCTTTGTGTTCCCCGGTTTCTCACGGAGCAGGCAGTCAGCACTCTAAATTCTCCATTATTCCCTCATGCCCCGCACTTTCTTACACTTGGAATTCTGACATTATAGATGTTTTGTGAAAGCAGGCATTTTTTCATATTTTCTTTCTTGTACAAATTAATTTTGTAAACTTTAAAAAAATTCATTCATGAGGGTATTTGATTACCATCATACCTTGATTACCATACTATACTTTGGTGTGGTTTGTTAAAGATCTAGGCTTAAATGTAATTTAAAAAATACTTGGTGTTTTGAAGGTGAGATGAAAGAATAACTGGATTCCTTGACCAGCATGTTGTCATATTATAAGAAGAGAGAGCTTATACTTTTTTTTCAAATACAATGACAAGTATTAGAAAGAAAATTTTGCTCACCCTTTGAGAGGGTAAGAACATATTTGGAGTGCTCGATTACCTTAATACTCTTTAAAAATTTCCTTCAGTCTGTTGACAAGTTCAGTTTTCATTGCTGTTGTGTGCATATTTAAAATTTATCATCAAGAGAAGGCAGTTCTATCTATACATTTTTCTGAGAACTAGTTCGGATACGATAGACGAACTTACTTGCCCAGCATTGGTTGGGAACCAGTTGACTTCAGTAGTCCTGTTGTTATTGTGTCTTCCTTGGTTTCCTCAGATTCTTAAGAGAGGTTGCAATGTGAATGACAGAGATGGACTGACAGATATGACTCTTTTACATTATACTTGCAAGTCGGGAGCTCATGGTATTGGTAAGTATGTGGTAAATCTGGGAATGGCGTGGAGCACCTGTATTGGCGTTTGTGAAAGCTCTCTGTGCCAACCGAGGTCCCTGGGGGGCGCCTAGCTCTGATGATAACTTTCCCTGAACAGGCAAGGACTCAGTTAGGTCCTTCCACAAACCTTGTTCCCTTTTCTTCCTTTTCCCAAGATGGTCTTTGTGGCCGCCTGGCACCTCCCACCCTTTCCGTCCAGGCTCAGTTTCCAGGCAACCCAGTCCCTATAGACCACAGTCTCTGGGCCTGTCTAAGGTCTGTTCCTACAAACATGACATATGTTCACATTTTCTAAGCTTGGCATTCTCCTTTGCTTTACTATTGTATAAGCCTCCCTTTACTATTTAACTATTATGGCCATCTCTCCATTTCAGTTGTCTGATACAGTGCTTTTTAAATTATTGATGGTGAAGGATTTTTTTTTTTTTTGCAATCTATCATGGACTGATACTTTTGTAAAATAAAAATAAGATTATAATAGAAAAATGAAATAAAGACATATAAAAAGCAAGCCCAAATATTTTTCAAAAGGCATAAAATGACATTTCAATTAATATATTCATAAGAAATGATTACATAGGGAAAAAGAAAAGAGTTATAAAACGTACAAACAGATTATGGTTTGGAACAGGCAGGGGTCCATGGAGCACTGGTCCAGTGTACTGTTTTCAGGGGCTTTCTAGTATTCCATCCCATGGATGTCTCAGAATTTATTTAATGCATTTCTCATCATTGTACTTTCAGGTTGTTTCACAATTTTTATTCATAAAAAAAGTGCTGTGGTGAAGAGGTTCATAATTACATGTTTATCCATCTCTCTGAATATGTTTATTTTGTTAGAATAAATTCCTCATAAGTGAAATTTCTGAGGTATAAGTGTATATTCAGTATATACTGTTTGCTTTGTCTTTCTAAATGAGGTAGTGGCTAGCCATCCATTGGAACTTATTATGTATTGAAGAAAATAATTTAGAAAACCTTCCTTAGGTGATGTTGATACAGCTGTAAAATTTGCAACTCAACTTATTGATCTGGGAGCAGATGTTAGTTTGCGGAGTCGCTGGACAAATATGAATGCTTTGCATTATGCTGCTTATTTTGATGTCCCTGAGCTTGTAAGAGTGATTTTGAAGACATCTAAACCAAAAGGCAAGTACTATAAGATCGCCATTAGATGTTACTAACTGAACATTTTAATAGTTGCATAAAATGATAATTCAAAGAGGTTTTTCTTTCTAATCCATCTTGTTCCATTGGCTTCCCATCATTTAAATAAATACTTTAAGCTTTCTATATTGAAGAGTAATTACTATCCTTTCACAAAAGACTTAGTACAAAGACATACAAAATAAAAAGTATTTTCTGGGTTTTATATATCTGCAAATTTTCCAGTATAACATGGATTTTATAAAATATAATTGAATTTTTGTACTGTATAATTCTTTGTCTTTGAGTAGCCAGAAACAGAGCAATAAAGCCTTCAGAGCTAAGCACTGAAATCACAGAATATTTATTTTAGGTGGCATTTAGTTCTGTGATTCTATGAAAGGATGACATTTCTTTCTTTGCTTTTTTTCCCTTCCTGTACTGATGTTGCTATCTTAAACTTGAACATCAAAATGTCTAAATTACAGTCCTGGTATTTTGACTTTTTCTCTGGTTCTCTCAGTGGGTCAGTTTTCTTTTGAGAAAACTATGAAAGCGAGTGCAGTGGTTTTACCTGTAAAAGCAGTGTGCTGTGTTTTCCCCATTTTTAGAAGACTTGTATTCAATAGGTAAATTCCCAAGAATGTTTGTTTGTGGCCTCTGTTCTGTCTAAATGTCCATTTTCTCTATAGCCTTTTTGCTTTTTGAATAATGATAGAGGGAAGGCCTTTCGTGATAGTACAGTGTCTTTCATAACTCAGGAGAGTTTGTCCTGAGCACATCTGGGTGGTTTTCAGTTGTCGGTAAGGCACGTGAGGCGGTATAATTAGGTGAAGGTAGCAGAACCAGAGGTATAGTAAATCCCTGTTTTGGGAAACATTCAAAATGGGATTCCCAAATCTGGAGGATTTCCTGTGTCCAAATATAGCATCATGGTGATTTATTGAAAGTATTAAAATGTCCTTAGAATTGCAAGCTTTCTTACATGAAGCCTGTATTCATTTGTTGAATAAAGTATTATGGATGAGTACAATATGGAGGCATTTATATTTTTAATTAGTTTTTATCTTCTTCCTGGTTTGAAACTTCTGTATTGTTTTACCTATGATTTTATTTTGTCAAGGGTCCGATAGTAAATATTTTTGGCTTTTTATGGTTTCTGTTGCAACTACCTGATTCTGCAGTTGTGGCATGAAAGTAGCGGTAGAGAATATGTAAATGAATGTATGTGACTGTGTTCTGATAAAACTCAATTTACAAAAACAGATGGTGAGTTCATTTTGGCCCGTGGACCATTAATTTTTGGTTCTGACCTAAACCTTACTACTTCCTTGTAGTTGTCATGGCAAATATATGAGAGGCTTAGTGAGAGATTGTGTTAAGATCGTTGTCTCTACAAACATGAATTATTGCCATTAATTGCTCTTAAATATAGTTTAGTTTGTGATAGTTGGTAAACCAATGGTAACATTAATCTGTTTTACAATGAAATTTTATTATACTAAAAAAAATAATTAGTTAACCATATTGTGACATGAATATTTTGTTCCATTGTGAAATGTTGCTTCTAGTGGGTTAAATCTTAGAAACTGGCTAATGACGTTCCTCTCTCCAGCCGTCCCCCCAAAACCCGAAACCTGTCTCCTTTTACATTGTCATAGCTAAATTTAAAATTTTAGTTAATATATTTGTGATGTTTGATCGCAGATGTGGATGCCACTTGCAGTGACTTTAATTTTGGAACAGCTCTGCACATTGCTGCATGTAACCTGTGTGCAGGTACCGTGAAATGCCTGTTGGAACTTGGAGCAAATCCCGCATTTAGGGTAAGAGGTTAAATTAAAAGAATTAAAACATCTAACATGATATCTCAGTAAAGAGTTGAATCTAGATGTTGTTATTGAACTCTTATGTAAGTAAATAATTTGTATTTTTGTGTCACATATGGAGAGTTATGATGATAAATTTTATTGCAAATAAATGTAGGGCATAGCAGTAGATTTCAGCCTCCTTACATTGTTAAGCTCTACAAAACTTACTTTCATTCAGCAAAGTAAAATGCTCCTGAAAGTGTTGTCATCTTTGAGTTTAAGGATCTTTCATAGGCCTTTGATATATTTATAAAAGTGAATGGTCAAATACAAATGCATATATTAAAGTTTTGTTCCTGTATTAAATTATATTTTAAATATAATTGGTTTCCTCGTCACCCCCTCCACTTCTTTTGGAAAAATTCTTATTTCAGACAGTTTATTTAAAAATGCATGTTTAAGAATGGAGTAAACTTTTAAAAATCAAATTAAAGGAAAAAGTGTACTTTTTTCATTTAATGTTACTGATTTACAAAGTTACCACATGGGAATGAATTCATAATCATGAAATCCTTTGGTATTTTACTGTTTTCACAAAAGTGGCTCTTGGTGTTCTTTTCCTTCACATTAATGTCAGTAACTTGCTCTGACAGGGATTCTTTTATTTATTCACATGTTTAAATTATAGTTTATCGATTATGCTATTCCAGCCGTCCCAATTCTCCCCCCTTGGCCCCCTTCCTCCTAGTGTCCCCCACTCCCTCAGGCAGTCCCCCCACCATTGTTCCTGTCCATGGGCCATGTGTGTAAGTTCTTTGGCTACTTCATTTCCTATACTGTCTATACTTTACATCCTCATGGCTCTTCTGTAATTACATATTTGTACTTAATGCCCTCACCTCTTCACCCATTCCTCCATGTCCCCCGCCCATCGGGTAGCCATCAACACCCTCTCCGTATCCATGATTCTGTCTCTGTTCTTCTTGTTTGCTTAGTTTGTTTTTTAGACTTAATTGTTGATAGATATATATTTATTGATGTTTTATTGTGCATAGTTTTGATCTTCTTTTTCTTAAATAGGTCCTTTTAACATTTCATATAATAATGGTTTGGTGATGATGAACTCCTTTGTTTTTTCTTGCCTGGGAAGCTCTTTATCTGCCCTTTGATTCTAAATGATGTCTTTGCTGACTAGAGCAATCTTAGTTGTTGGTCTCTGCTTTTCATGACTTTGAATATTTCTTGCTAACCCCTTCTAACCTGCAAAGTTTCTATTGAGAAATCAAAAACTGACACATCAGCTGACAGTTTTATGGAAACTCCCCTGTAGGTAACTACTTTTCTCTTGCTGCTTGCAGGAGTCTCTCTTTATCTTTAACCTTTGGCATTTTCATTATGATGTGTCTCGGAGTGATCCTATTTGTGTGCATCTTGTTTGGGACTCTCTGTACTTCCTGGACTTGCATGTTTATTTCCCTCACCAAATTAGAGAAGTTTTTTTTCCATTATTTTTTCAAATAGATTTCCAATGTCTTTCTCTTTCTTCTTCCTCCTTGAAAAGAGAAAGAGTGAATGCTGGAACTCTTGAAGTTGTCCCATAGGCTGCTTACACTTCCCTTATTTTTTTGGATTCTTTTTCCTTCTTGTTGTTCTGATTGGTTGTTTTTTTCTTCCTTATGTTCCAAATCATTGATTTAATTCTTGACTTCATCCATGGCACTGTTGTTTCCCTCTAAATTGTTCTTTATTTCAGTGAGTATATCCTTGGTTTTGACTGGATCTTTTTTATATTGTTGAAGTTCTCACTAAGTTCCCTGAGCATCTTTATAACCAGTGTCTTTGGACTCTCATCTGATAGATTGCTTATCTCCATTTTGTTTAGTTCTTTTTCTAGAGTTTTGATCTGTTCTTTAATTTGGGCCATGTTTCTTTGTCTCTTCATTTTGGTGGCCTCCCCTGACCCTGACAGGAATTCTTTTTTTAAAAAAAAATTTATTTTTAGAGAGAGGGAGGAGGGAGAAAGAGAGGGAGAGAAACATCAATGTGTGGTTGCCTCTCATGCACCCCATACTGGGGACCTGGCCCGCAACCCAGGCATGTGCCCTGACTAGGAATTGAACTGGCAACTCTTTGGTTTGTAGGCCTGCACTCAATCCACTGAGCCACACCAGCCAGGGCCAGGAATTCTTTACTGGGTCTGTGCCTGCCCTTGAAGGGGTAGGGGTGGGGAATGTTTGAAAAAGGTTCTTCTCTTCCTCTCTTCCTCCCTGGTTTCCTCGTCACCCCCTCCACTTCTTTGCCAATTTTCATTCTGTTTTACTCCATCAGTTAGTTAATTTTTCCCTCCCTCCCTCCCTCCCTCCATCCCTTCCTTCCTTCCTTCTATCCTTATTGTTTATTGGGCACTGGGAGAAAACAATAATAAATAAGGTAAAAGTCTTTGTCTCCAAACAGAAAATGCTCTAGAGTGCAGGATGGACAAGTAAGCAGTCAGTGTTGCTGTAGTGTGTTAAGTCTAGTGTTAGAGGGGCAGGTGGGGCGTGCACAGAGCGCCAGGTAGGAGGGGTGTCTATCCAAGGCTTCCTGGCAAAGGTGGTATTGAGTGCTCAAACATAGCTAAGAATTAACCCCTTATATACAGGAGGGAGGAGAGGTAAGCGTTTGAGGCAGAGACGGCAGCAGGAGCAAAGACTGGGAGATGATGACTCACTTTGGCTGGAATGGGAGGTGATCCCTGTTTGCTTTGCTGATGTTGGCAGCGGCAGGAATGGCACCATGTGTTAGACCTGTGGGGTCAGACTGGACCTTGGTTCATCGACCTCTGTACTTGAGTTCTGGCTGGGAAAGAATTTAGAGCCAAGACTCAAACTGTAAGAAACTTGTTTATTTAGAAAGTCTCAGAGGTAGGAATGAGTGGTAGCAGGAATAGCCTCAGGAAGCAAGTCACAGAGGCTAAAGAAGGGCCCTGGGATCTCAGGAGAGAGACCAGGACAAAGGCAACATGCCTCGGGGAAGAGAAAGGGGACTTGCTCTGTGCTCCTGGCCCTCAGACCTAAGGGCTTTTAAGGAGGGGGTTTTCAGGGGCAGTCCCGGGAGAAGGATTTCTATAGAATACTCTCAATCTTTTCAGGTGTGCCCTTTCAGGGTCTTGGTCTCCACTGACAGGTCAGTGCCATGGCAGGGGGTCATTAGTCGCTGCGGCTGGTCCTGGCATCACTGGCTGGTCTTGATGCTTTACCGGGCCTGGAGCTAAAACACAGCTGTGGTCGACATGTGTTTGTCCCGAGGGCTTAATGCTTAAGGGCTGTTCTCCTGGCTCCCTTCTTCACTCCCCCTCTAAGGGAGTCTGACCCACAGGACTAGCAACATGTCAGGGGAGGAACGGTCAGGGGAGGGTGGGAACCAACAGCATGACCATCGCTGTGAAAGGTCAGGGGGCCAAGCCACATGACCAGCACTATCTAGGGCAGGAAAGGCCACCTGGCAGCAAGGGCCTTGTTTTCCCAGTTTTGCCTGTTGCTAGGCACCCGGGGCTTTCCGCCCTGGTGACCTTCCTACCGGGCCCATCGTCCTTGCTCTGCTCCTGTCTGCCTGCCTGCCTGTCACACTAGTACAGCTGTAAGCAACGCCTCATTAGTGGAGAGAATATTTTGAATTTAGTGAGATGCAGCGAGGTATGTCATTGAGGTATAAATTATCAATTAGGCCAGAAATAATAATGGACTACCATATTTTTAACTTTAGTGCTTAAGAAAAAAATCAGTCAATACAGGGGTCAGCAGTAGCCCTTGGATCATGCGCTGATAACCACTGTTTTAGAAAAAATGGAATCCTGTAATTAATCATGAACAAGCCTTCTTATGTTAGCATGACAATCCTCTTTTTTTTTTTTTTTTTTTTTTTTAGTATTTTTCTTAACAGACGTTTTAGTTGCTAAATTTTATAGGAATTAACACAAGTATGTGACTTAGTCTAGAAAGGTGAGGACTTAACAAAAATATGAAGTAAAGTATGCATTGTAAATATAGCTTACAACTTGCCAGTATAGGTATTTATTTTTAAGATTTTCTAGCTCTCTTTTTTTAAATTAAATTTATTGGGTGACATTGGTTAATAAGAATGTATAGGTGTCAAGTGTGCATTTTTGTGATACATACATAGTCTCCATATTACACTGTGTGCCCACCACCCAAAGTCAAATCTTCTCCTCTCACCATCGGTTGACCCCTTTTACCCTTTACTACTCCCTCACCCCCTTCCCTCAGGCAGCCGCCACACTGCTGTCTGTGAATTGTTGTTTGTTCTGTTTTCTTGTTTGCTCATTTGTTGCTTTCAGTTTTGCATTTCATATGTAAGTGAAAGTATATGGTTCTTAACTTTTTCTGTTTTTATCAAATACGTTAATGCTATACATACCTTCATTACATATATACATGTCTTGTATTTTTTTTTTCTTTGAAATCTGGGATTAAAATAGCCCATAACCATCCCAGAAATGTGATAACATTCCTCCTACCAAATTTTTACTTAAGGACCAAACTGACTTGAATTTTATTTGATTGTATTTATTGTTTTTCCTTACCTGAGAACACGCTTATTGATTTTAGAGAGAGGGAAAGGGAGGGAGAGTGAGAGGGGGAGAAACATCAATATGCGAGGGAAGCCTCGAGACTTGCCTCTTGCTCGCCCCCAACCATGGACCTGGCCCAGAGCCCAGGCATGTGCCCTGACTGGGAATTGAACCTGTGACCTTTCAGTTTATGGGATGATGCTCCAACCAACTGAGAGCCACACTGGCCAGGGCTCTGACTCAAATTTTAAACCAAAAATTGCACTTTTAAACTTATTGCCACCATATGAATCATTTGCAGATAATTATCAGTGGAGAAGAAAAGGGAAAAAGCTTCTCAGCATATTAAAAGGAGATTACAGTCTGGAATCTGGCTCATAAATTCTAAGTTTTTCGGTTAGGGAACATAGAAGAAAGATAAGCTGTTTGAGGCAAGCATAGCATGGAGGGGAGTGCTGTGCGTCTGGTGGGGCGCAGACATGGATTATAATGTCATCTCTGCCAGTAATCGTGTAAATGACTTTGAGCAAGTCATTAATCTCTCTTGGCCTAATTTTCCTCATTGGCCAACTGGATATGTTAGTAATACTTAACTTGATTAGTTGGTGATTGTCTCTCCTACTGTAGATTCTCCTATGATAAATTCTTAACAGGCAAAGATTTTTAGCTGTTTTATACACAAACTTCATCTCGATGTGAGAGCCAAATGAGATAATTTGTATGATAGGGTTTTCATTATATAAACAGCATGGAAATGTCCGTGGGCTGGCAACTGCCCCATTTCATCTTCTTGCAGGATAAGTCCCAGGACACAGTGTCTCCTTCATAGGGAGAACAGAGCTGTTTTCTTGATTCAGAGCCCAAGTTTGAAAAGTGTGGAAGCTACATGTAGCTTCTATTCCTGAAATTGGAGTCACTCCCTGGGTGTGCAGGGGGGGCGAGGTCACAGAGCTGAGGGGGCAGTGTGAAGGAGTGGAGAGGGTCCTGGGGCTGGGGCTGGGAAGCCAGTCAGTCCTGTGACTTCTGTCTCCAAACTGGGCTTCTCTACACCTGTGCAGCCCGGCGTGCTGTGACGCATGGCTTTAGCACTTGCTCTTCCCGGAGCCTGGGATGCTTTTCCTTCCCAGCAACCCGCATGCTCCCCGCACACCCGGGGCCCCTGCGCTTGCGCATCGCAGCACTGAGGCCTTCCTGGGCCACTCTGCGTGAATAGCCACCTCTGTCCCTGTGTCCTCTGTTCCTCTTTCCTGCGCTGCCGCTTTTTCCTATTAATACACCATGTATTTTACTTGTTTGACTGTTGATAGTCTGTCGCTGCCACCAGAATGTGCTCTTTCAGGGCAGGGTTTTTTATTTTCTCCATGTGGTATCTTTAGCACTTAGAATGGTGTCTGGCATATAGTAGATGTTAAATGTTTAAAACAAATAATTTTACATGACTGGGGAGCTCCAAGTAGGCGTGACGTGAAACTTTCTCTTTATTTGCAGAATGACAAAGGAGAGATGCCTGCGGATGTGGTCCCAGACCCGGTGGAAATGCCCTTGGAAATGGCTGATGCCGCGGCCACCGCCAAAGAAATCAAGCAGATGCTGTTAGACGCGGTGCCTCTGTCCTGTGATGTCTCCAAGCCCCTGCTTCCGAATTACGATCCTGTGACTAGCAAGGCAGTGCTTACGTCAGCTGGCCTGAAGCTGGGGGACCGTGTTGTTATTGCAGGACAGAAGGTATAGTAAGGGACTGCAGCGTCTAAAGCTGCGCCTTAGGTCACTGTGTTTGTAGTGTGTGTGCCAAGGGTGCGTTCTGTGTGGTCAGTTTTGAATCTTTAAAAAAAGTTCAGTATATAGGTAGATATTTAATGGAAAATATGAAACAGAAATTCACATTTACCATAAAGTATGGTTTAAGAATATAAACTATTTGAACTTAACAATGAAGACATCTTTGTTTCGAGGGGAAACGAGTGGACTGTGGCAGAGCTTCTGAGTGAACTGAGGGGCTTGGCTGAGCCGGGGGTTTCTCCTTGTGGCCCCCGCTCGCCTCTGCGGTGGGGCTCCCACAGCTACGTGGCAGAAATGAGCAGAGGGAACCTCGCCACTCCTGGGCGCCTGGCTTTGAGATCCCACACACAGCGAAATCTTAGAGAGAATTTTAACCTGATTATAAAGACATATGTGGAAGAGAGGACCCCACCCCCGGCTGCCCCATTGAAGACGCTCCAAAGCCTGCCTTTTTCTGGCGTTCCTTACGGCATTCGCTTGTCACCATTCTCTTTTTTTGATACCTCATGTGGGAGGGGTGTTTTGTTATTTAGGATTTTGGGGTTATGGAGAATGGAACAGGGAATTCCTGCTTGGAAATTGAGTTTCCTAACGTAGTTACATCTAAATATTTGGGTAGGCTTGTAGGGAAGGTGATGCATCCTTCTCAGAAAACACTGAAATTCCAAAGTTTGATTGACTGAGAAAATTGCTTCAAAAAGGATGGCAAGCTACAGACAAACTACTAGTTTGAGAATGGCATTTACTAACTTCCAAAAGAATACATTCATAGGACATTTGTTAGTTTTTCATTGTCCTCTCAGTAGGGCTAAAGTATCAGGAAATTATGAATGCAGAGCATTTTTTTAAACTTGGGATTAATACTCAGCTTCTTTAGTATTCCTGTCCTGTGTCTGAGAACGTACTTTTAGGAGAATTATTCTATTGTTTTCTTTTGGAATAGTTCAAAGCTATACAAAAGTAGAAGCATATAATGAACATGCATATACCAGTCAGCTGGGTTTAACTTTATCATCTTGTTTAATTCTTGTCATATTTATATTTTCTTTCAGTCTATTGCTTGGTTTTTCATTCTCTGAAGAGTATCTTTCAAAGAACAGAAATTTTAAATTTTGAGGAAGTCTATTTCATCAATGTTTTATTTCATGGACTATGTGTTTAGTATATCTAAAAAAATTACTTCTTCCAAGAGTTTATGATTTTAGGTTTTACATTTAATTTTGAGTTAATTTTTATATAAAGTACTGGGTGTAGACAGAGGTCCCTGCCATCCTCCTTCCTTCCCTCCCTCCCTTTCTTTCCTTCTCCCCTCACCCTCTCTTTCTCCTTTTCTTTCCATCCATTCATCCATTTGTTTCAATGCCTTTTTTTTTTTTGAGACACTGGGCACCGGGAGACAGTCCTTAGCGTTTGCTCCAGTTTCAATAAATCTTACCACTACACCTCATTCTCCCAAACAGCACCATTTTTTGAAAAGACTGTTCTTTCTCTCTTGAATTGCTTTTGCTTCTGTGTCAATTGGCCGTGTATGTGTGGGTACATTTCTGGATTCTATTTTGATCCGTTGATCTGATGGTTATCCTTTCTTCAGTGCTACTCTGTCATGATTGCTGTAGCTTTACAGTAATTCTTGCCATCAGGTATTTTTAGACCTTCAATTTTTTCTTTTTTCTTTTAGTTCCCTTGCCTTTCCATCGACATTTTAGAATCAGCTTATAGATTTTTATTTAAAAAAAAATCCTTCTGGGATTTCTATTGGAGTTGTGTTAAATACAGATCAGGCTGAGGAGAACTGACATCTTAAAAATGTTGGGTCTTTCAATCACGAATATTCTGTATTTCTCTATTTAATAGGCCTTTGGTTTATTTAATCAGTTTGTAGTCTTAAGCATATAAATATTGCACATACTTTGTTAGATTTATACCTGAGCTTTTCCTGATCTTTGGTGCTATTGTAAACGGTGGTGGTTTTGAGATTTCATTTTCCAATTGGTCATTGCTAGCATATAGAAATACAATTCATTTTTGTTTATTGACCATGTATCCTGTAACCTTGCTAAATTTATTAGTTCTATTAGTTCCTCTATTTTTGTGGAGTCTTTGAGATAGCCTATGTAAACAATCATGCTCACTTTTAATTTTAAAGTTTTACTTCTTTCCAATCTGTATACTTTTAATTTTTCTTGCCTATTTCACTGCCTAGGATGAATAGAAATGGTAAGAGCCAACATCCTTGCCCTGTTCCCAGTCTTATGAGGGAGAGCACTCAGTTTTTCATTATTAAGAATGATAATTGTTAGCTATAGATTTTGTATAGATCTGTCTTATAAGTTGAGGAAGTTGCCCTGTATTCCTAGTTTGCTGAGCGTTTTTCAAAAATTAGTATTATCATGAAAGGATGTTGAAATGTGTTACATGCTTTCTTTTTTTTTTTTTTTTTTTTTTTTTTGGCATATATCAAGAGAACAAGGTTTCCCTTCACCTGTTAGTGTGTGGAGACAATGGATTATATTAACACTGAAATGCAGAACTAGCCTTTCATTCTCATGATAAACCTCACTTAGTCAATGATCTATGATTCTTTTTGTATATTGCTGACATTAATTTGCTACTGTTTTGTTGAGAATTCTAGTATCTGTGTTTGTGAGGATTATTGGTTTGTAGTTTTCTTGTAATATCTTTGGCTGGTTTTGGTATCAAGGTAATGCTGGCTTCATAAAATGAGTTGGGAATTGTTTCCTCTATTTTTATAACCTAGAAGAGTTTATATAGAACTGATACTATTTTTCTTTAAATTCTTTGGTACAATGTACCAGTAGGTCCTCTTGGGTCTGGAGTTGTTTTTTTTTAAAGACTTTTAACTGCAGATTCAATACAGGTGCAGGTTCTGACAGTTTATATCTTTTAAGGAACTAGAACATTTTGCCTCATTTGCCAAATTTATAGGCATAGAATTGGTCATAGTATTTTCTTACTATTCTTTAAATGACTTAGGAAATGTAGTAATAATGTCTTTCTTTCACTTGAGATGTTTATAATTTGTGTCTTTTTATCCCTCTTGAAAGTTTATTAATCTTATTTATTCTTCCAAAGAACCAGATTTTGGTTTCATTGATATTTCTTTATTGTTTTTCTGTTCTTAATTACTTACCTGTATTTTTTCCTTCCTTTTGCTTGCTTTAGCCTCTCTATTTTCTGAAGGTGGAAGTTTGTGTCATTGATTTGAGACCTTTGCTAACACAAGCATTCTAATGCTATGAATTCTCCTCTGATCACTGCTGTGTTGCATCCCATGTGTTTTTATATGTTGTATAGCCATTTTCATGCAATTCAAAATATTTTCTAATTTCCCCATGATTTTCTCTTTTACCATGAGTAATTTAGAAGTATATTGTTTGATTTCCAAATATTTGAAGAGTTTTCCATATATCTTTCTGTTAGTGATTTCTGGTCTAAGAATGTATTTTGTATGATTTCCGTTCTTTTACATTTGTATCCTGCTCTTTTGGATGGAGGTTTTTATACATGTCAGTCACATCAAGTTGGCTTAGCTTTTTTTTTTTATTCTTACTGATTTCCTGCCTACTTGGCCCGTTGATTACTGAGAGGTGTGATGTAGTCTCCAACTGTAACTGTGGGTTTGTCTGTTTCTCTTTGCAGTTCTATCAGTTTTTACTTAGTTTGTTTTAAAGCTCAGTTAAGTACATACAGATTTAGGTCTCTCATATTTTCTTGGTGAATTGACTCATTTATCATTATTTAATGTCTCTTTTTATCCCTGGTAATTTCCTTGTTCTGAAGTCTACTTTGAAGTCTACTGTTTGTTTTTTTAAAAACTTCTGTGATAATGCAAGAGTAGGACACTTAGAACTACTAGTAATACTCAAAAGTTATTCTAATTTATATCTTCTTTAGGTTGGAACATTAAGATTTTGCGGAACAACTGAATTTGCAAGTGGGCAGTGGGCTGGCATTGAGTTGGATGAACCAGAAGGGAAAAACAATGGAAGTGTCGGGAAAGTCCAGTACTTTAAATGTGCCCCCAAATATGGTAAGGAAGAGCCTGTCGAACTTAATGATAATTAAGTTAAAATAATCAAAGTTTTACTCTTTTATTGTTTTAAAAGAAAAGTCTCCCCTGGTCACTTGCGTAGTATATGAAGGGCTGCGTTTTCCTTGCTGTGAGCAGGGCAGTGGTTGGGAGGCAGTGTCTCACCAGGAGCGCGCCTCACTCCCAGGCCTCGCGAAAATCCTCCTCGTGGTTGGATGGCGGCTGAGCGAAGAACTTCATTATCAAGGAAGTACAGCACGCTGCAGGTCGAACTTGGAAAACCGCCAAAGCAAGTGGGGCCAGCTTTATTTCTGTTCTCCTGAGCTGGGATGATTCTCTTTCTGAGAAATGATTGTTTAATTATACTTACATTCTTTCTCTCTCTCTCTCACACCACCCCCCACACCCCTGTCTGCCCACTTTGATTTCAATTTGTTTGTCACATACTATGTTGTGAATATTTTTCCTTGCCATGAAATATCCTTCTAGAACATACAGTATTTCATCTCATAGCTCCACGGCAGGCAGTATGGCGTATTGCTGAACAAGATGGGCTTTGGAGTCTCAGAGCTTGGGGAGGAATCGGCTTCTCTGCCCACCAGATACGTAACCTTTTCCTTTGCTTGTGACTCAATTTATCTTCTATAAAATGGGGATAACAATACCCCAAGAATTTGTATGAGGATAAAATGTGTTAATAAATATATAACGCAGCTAGAATAGTGCTCGAATCCCTGTAAGCACTCAAAAAATATTAGCTATTTGCAAGCTGTTACAAATTTATCAAAATGACCAGTTTCCTTTTGTCATACATTTAAGATGCAGCCTCATTTCTTTGACCTTTTATTAATATTTTTTGTTTATAAAAAATTCTCATTGTCTAAGATTTGAAAAACTAAAAAGGAGAAAGAACAAAAAATCTGTATATACTTTCTCACAAGATTGTAAAAAACACAAAAAAGCTGTATGTTATACTCTTGTACTTGATAGCCAGTATAATTCCCCAAACCTTTAAATGCTGTGATTTTTATGTCTCCATTTTTAAAAATTTTTCTAAATTGATGGGCAAAAATCTGTGTTTGAATTCATATTTCTTTGTGGTGAAATAAAACACTTAAATATTTTATTGTAATATATGCATTGTTTGTGTTATCTTGGCAATTGCCAAGAAATGTTCATATTATTTGTCCATTAAAAATTTGGGATATTAGTGCTTTTTATAAACTGATAAGGGTTTTTTAAAAAATAAGTACATATTTAGAATGTTAAGTCCTTATGGTTATTACACATATTTTATTCAGTTTGTCATTTGCCTTTGAATGTCATTTGCAATGTTTCATGTAGTTAAAAGACTTTTCCTTTCTAATTTCTAACATTGCTTTTAAGCTTAGATAGATCTTCCTAATCCAATGATTAATTATAAATTATATATTTTATTCTTTTGAATGTTTTAATTTTTTAAACTACATTACTGAACCCATTGGGATTTATTTGATTAGTTGTGGGAGATTAAGAAATTAATTTTCCTCTAGTAGCTCATTTTGGCAACTGTCAAGCAGACTAAAGGCAAGATTAAAACCATTAGCAACACACATGGCAAATGTAAATCAGATGCCTGGGGAATGCTTATATTGTAACAATGTATGTGGGCTTCCCAGATCTCATCACCCTCAGGAGAGGCATGCTTGATTAGGACAAAGCTGGATACCCCAAGAACCTTGCCTCTGTCTTCCTTTACAAACCTAAGAGCAAGTTGTGGGCGGCAGGGGGCAAGGATCATGTGTCGGATTGTGTAAAAAACAGGAGCGGTCTTCCTGCTGAACCAGCTTGGTATCTGAACCAGGCCAATGCCAAAGTCCTGTGAGGTGGGGGGAAGGAGAGGCAGGAGTGGGAAAGGCGAAGAATCCCCGGATTCAGCAGAAGGCAAAGAATTGGTTTCTTCACAGCAGCGGTTTTCTCTCTCTTTTCAAATCTGTCACTTCCCCCTTGACTTCAGTTTCCTTTATTGTAAGTTCTTATAAAGGCTATAGTCTGTTTCAAGATTGTTTTGTTCCATTGATCTGTCAATTCCAGCACATATTACATTTTTTCAATTGTAGAAATTTTATAATAATTTTTAAGACTTGATTTTGTAGAGTAGTTTTAGGTTCACAGCAGAATCGAGAGGAAGGTAGTGAGGTTTCCTCTACATGAAGAGCCTTCGCTGTCTCCCACATCTCCTCACCAGAGGGTACCTTCTTTACAAGTGACGAACCTACACTGACTGTCACGATTACTAAGTCTGTAGTTTACCCGAGGGTTCCCTTTTTGTGTTGTACATTCAATGGGTTTGGACAAATGTATAATGACATGTATCCATCAGTGGAGTACGGTATTACACAGAGTATTTTCACTATCCTAAGAAAGTCCTCTGTGCTTTGCCTATTCATCTCTTCCTCCCTCAGTCCGTGGCCACTAGTGAGCTTTTTACTATTTCAGTGGTTTTGCCTTTTCCAGAAGGGCACATCATTGGAATCATAGCGTATGCAGGAAGCCTTTTCACTTTGGCTTATTGCACTTAGTAATATGCATTTAAGTTTCCTCCATGTCTTCTCATGGCTTGATACCTCATCTCTTTTTACTGCTGAGTAATATTCCACTGTCTGTGTGTATCCCAGTTTATCCTTTCACATACTGAGAGATATCATGGTTGTTTCTAAGTTTGGGCAATCATGAAAATTTTATGATAAATTCTAATATTGATAATACTGTTTATGCTTTTTAATAATCACCAAGGTGAATATATGTACCTAGTTTAGTAAGTGGAGTTGTTATTGTAAGATTTATTATTGTAATAACAACTAAACCCTTTGTGGCTTGCCCTTCCCTGACCCTGAGGCTTGCTCTTCAGAGACAAGAACTTTTCAACTCCATGATATTCACATTTGTAAATCATATATTTATATGAAGCTTTCTTGATTTTTCCCAATTTTAGACTTTTCCCATCTTTTGACTTTGTGCTATGAAGAGAAAGATTTGGTGCCAGTGCTGTTCTAAGTCAGTTTGTTTTGTTCGTTTGTTTCTTTCCTTTTTTGTTTTGATGGAGCATATCCTTCAGTATCCTTTTGACAAAGGACTCATGGGAGGTAAATTTTTTGGAATGTTTTATACTAAAACAATGTTTATTTCTACTCTCACACTTCATTTGACAGTTTGGTAAGATAAGGAATGTTAGGTTGGAATTCGTATTCTCTCAGTATTTTTGTAGGTGAAACTTTATCATCTAATGTAGTTTTGGCAAGCTTTTTCTGTGAAGCCCCGGGCAGTAATTATTTTAGGCTTTGTGGGGCATGGTCTCTAGTTGCAGTTACTTTGCTCTCCTGCTTGGTGAAGAAGCAGCCAAATGCAATGTATAAATAGATGGGCGTGGCCGTGCTCCAACACTGCGTTACAAAAACAGGCCTGGGCAGGCCAGGGCTCTCCCAGTGCATTTTGCCAACTTGAGCTTCCAGTGTTGCTGTTTAGATGTTTCCAAGTGTTTCTGTCTTGTTTTTGACATTTCTCCCTCTCTCTGGGAGCTTCTTTGAGCACTTTTATTATTTTTTCTCCTTTTTGTCATTTTCTTTTTTCTTTAGAGTTTATACCACTTTTATTTTTTTCTAATATTTAGTAAAGTTTTGGGGGAAATTGGAGTCAAACACACATGTTCAATACATACATATTAATGGAGTTAGGGAGGAAGTGGAGTTAAACAAATATGCTGTGTTTCTCTGGAAATGTACTATCCTTCTTTTTAAAAGTAATTCCTCTTTATGTGTTTATTTTTCTTAAGCCTTACAGTTATATGTCAAGATCTGAAAAAAAATCCCATCAATACTTTGATTACTATGAGTCACTGAGCAGGAAGGTTTGCCTGTCACTGTGCACATTTTGGGTTTTGATGTTAGCCAGTCATTGCTTTAAGTTTAGTTTTAGTTCTCCCAAATGATTTGATTAATTTTTTAAAAAGCAAGAAGAATAAGAATTATACAGACAAGATTTTATATATAATTGAAATCTTTATTATTATTATATATATAAAATAATTATTTTATTAAAACAAATACACTGTATCATGTGGAATTTTTCTAGTAAGACTTTGAAAGAAAAATCACAATTTTTTTAAAGAATTCATTGAACTTTACTGTTATTGATACAAATTTGAAAAATAATAGTCTGCTCTCATAAGTATATTTTAGTTTCCAATTTTCTACAGTTCTATTTATAGCCACATTATAATTTTTAACAGATCTAAACATAATGTAATCAAATATATTAATTAATTTCATATTCTTGATTTACTTTTCATATTTTTATATTTCTACATAATCTTTATTGTTTTACTTATGAATGGTGAGGTTATAGTTCATAAATATAGTTCATTCACTCATCCTATTTCTGAAGATTGTTTTTCTTATAAATAGTATTGCAATAATGACATATTCAGGTATATAGACTTTTCTTCCTATTTTTAAATTTTTTTCATGAGTAATTTCTAAGAATGAGTCATCGTATGTAATAAACTAGAAATTGTTTTGGCTCTTGAAATCTATCTTCTCCTTATAATACACAAATGTAACTTCATAACCTTTGGGCACACCTCTAACTATTTCCTTATCGTTCCTTTTATCTTTCTGTAATATTGTACAAATTTATATACCCAGTGTATAAAATAATTTTTTCCAGCTGTTGGCAACGCTGGATGTAATCATTATCAAGGTTGTGTGTGTGTGTGTGTGTGTGTGCGCGCGCGCGGCCAGGGGGCGGGGCACAGAACAGAAAGCAGAGGAAAACCAAGATAGGCAGGAGACAGAAGAGAGAACACTGTGGATCAATAACAGAAGTAGGAAAATCAGGATAAGGTATTGTAGAATACAGGGGGGGAAAGAGCTTCAGGGTCAGCAGAAAAGTACTGTAGTTGGCACTTGTTATACTTGTCAGCTATTAACAAAGCACTCACTTTTTGTAGTCTCGAGCATTTCTGCAATCTTGTTTTAAAGCAAGTTGTTTATAATATTGAGGGTATGCAATATTACATTTTACTCATGATGTCTTTTTTAGGTTATAAACGCTCCATGGAAGAGTATAATATACATATTAGGACTTTATTTTCTTTTAAAAAATGTCTTAGCCAGATAATTTTGTATTTATCATCCATGTCCCTATTCATACTGACTATACATACTTACTGATACTGGGTTGTTTTTTTTTTGCTTGGATAAACTCCCTTTTGAATGGCATTCTGTGCTCCCAGCCACTGCAAGTAGGCACCCCCGTCCGCGTCCCTGCGTGCCTCCCCTCCCCAGCACACGCTGCTTCGTTTCTGATCATCAGGAGTGGAGGGCTGGGTATTTAGGGAAGATTGCATTTTATACTCGGAGGATTTTTTTATGTCCTTATATGCGTAAGGCACTGTAATTCGGTATGGTGGGGAAGTGCAGAGATGAGTAATACTGAACTTTGTCTTCTAAAGCTGTACAGGCTTGAAGAGAGATAAAACATGGACATAAAAAGCTTTAATATGAGAAAAATAGAAGTCTGAAAGGAGATGTAGATAAAGTGACATGAAAGGGTAGTTTTATATTATGTAGTGCAGTATTTATCAATAGCTTAGTCAGAAATACTTATAATGGAAAACTGTTACCTCTACTCATTTCTCTTCCCCTGTATTTCACTTAATATCCGATTATGGGTCTTGTATGTGATTCTTAAATTACGGTGTGTGGTGTTAGCCTTGACAACTAGATTGCCAGCTCTCTGAGGGCATGTACTGTGTCCTACTTTCTGTCTCTCACTCCAGGACACCTAGTAGGCACTTTAAGAAAAGAACCTAAAAGATTTACATTACTAAGTACTTGCATTGGCCCCTTTATTTGAAATGCTTTTAATTGCTTAACACTAAAATTCTATGTTCTCCCTTAGGTATTTTTGCACCTCTTTCAAAGATAAGTAAAGCAAAAGATCGAAGGAAGAATACAGTCCACACTCCTTCCACCAAAGCTGTGCCTCTCACAAGGTCCCAGAAAATTGATGTAGCTCACGTAACGTCAAAAGTAAACACTGGTAGGTCAAACCAGAAAATTAGATATGTTCTTCAGCATTGTAACTTTATTTGTGGAATACCTTATGCCTTATATTTAGATTCCTTCACACCTCTTTTGATACCTAACGGTGAAACTTGAATCTCATAAAACCTGCATCTTAACCATGTTTGTAGACCTCAATCATAGTTTATGATTTTAATTCCTGACAAGCCTATTTCAGAACTGTCCCTTTTCTTTCCTACTATCCCGATACCTTCATCACTCTGCCGTTCTAACCTCACAGCTAGATTGTATACCTCAAATAAATCTATATACAACTAGCTTTATGTTTATCACCTATTCAAAAATTTTAGTGACTTTTTTTTTAAACTAGAAAAGGTCCCGACTCTTGAAACTGGCAGTCAGAGTTCTTCCTCTGTTTGATGGGGTCTTCCCGCTTCCGTAGTTGGGTGGTGGTTTGCTGGAGCTCATTGTCTTCTGTGCTCAGTGTTCTCACTCTTCCCTGAACACTTTGTCTAATGCTATTTCCCCGAGTGCAGCCGTTTGACCTCTGCCTTTTGAGGTCCTAGCTGTGCTTTCCCTCTTTTTCAGACCCTGTTTCTCCATGAAAACTTCTCCAGCGACCCCAGGTCGCTTTGATCTCTTCATCCCCTAACTTCATCCCCGCTTTTATCCGTACTGCTGATTGTTCTTTGTTACCTGGGTTTTGTCCTCCTGCTCCTTTATTTGGGCAGATCTTGCATTCTCTCAGCAAAATTTGAAACTTTAGATGATGGATTGTGAGAGTATTTTGTATTTTGGTATGCCCTTAATGTCTGATTATGTGTCTTAGCACATAGCACAAAATAGGAGTGCAATACATAGTTGTTAACTCCTTAATACTTGATGCAGAAAGGCTTTCTACTGTGGTTAAAGGGTTTTGTCCAGGAATTTGTTTGGCCTTTCTAATCTGTTCCATTGGGCTATTTGAGTATCCCTCTGTTGATCCTGCACTTCCTAATTACTATAGTTTTTGAAAAACGCTTCTTGATATCCAGTAGAGGAAAGCCTCCCAACTTGAACAGCATCTTATCTATCAATATTTGGGTCCTTATCAGTCACACTTTCATATAAATTTAAGACTGGGTGTAGTTCACTAGATTTGTTGTTTACGTACTTTGGTTCTATAGAATTCATACAGGAGTCTTAATAAGGTAGAGTCTTAGTCATAAGCTTTTTTTAGTGAGGTTTTTTTTTTTGTGGGAGTTGGGTATATTGAGAGTGGTGTGGTGATTTTCAAACTATCAGTGGCAAAGAGTATAGGATTCCTTACTATCTGACTCTCACTTAAATGTTATAGTTATTTGTAAAAAATTCTTACCCCAAATTCACTATCTAAATAGAGAATGTTCTATAATGAATTTGCATGCACATACCGGTGAAATCACGCCAATTGTTTACAAGTCCTAGCAAGTGTGCAACAGACTTATCGCAGCTGCATTAGGTTTGCTTTGCCTGTTGGCATTGTGCAAACACACTGATGAGTGCATTACATCTCAGACAATTAAGTAACTGTGTTGCAAATGCTTTATATTATCTAGAATTCCTTAATGGAGCGTTAAATAGGTTTAAAAGATACTTTAGTGACATTTGGGGAAATTGCGGTTTTCAGGTGGGCTAGGAACGCATTTTTTTCCTTTTCAGTAATGAATTATTGGCCCCTGCTGTTTGTGAATTTATTATCCAACATGTTTTCAGAAGTGGATAGGATTTAGGTAATGAGGGATGTCTGTACTTGAAAAAGAAAGCACATTTTCATGTTTAACGTTAAACAGAATCTGCTCTTGCTGACGGCGGCGTCTGTTCCTGTGTTGCAGGGTTAATGCCATCAAAAAAGGGCAGCGCTTCTGGCTCAACACTTTCATTGCCTCCTGGTGAGGAGCTGAAAACTGCAACAGAGAAGGATGGTAATATACTTGATAATTTATGTTCTCAAAATTAAATTCACAATGGAACTTTAATATAGTGATATAGCTTATATAGGGTTTTAAAATTTTTCAAGGAAAAATTATTACAGTAAAAGTTCGTCCTTGAAAATCGCCTAAGCAGCTCGTACTAAAGTATGTATATGTTTTTATATAAAACCCTGTACTGTGATTCTTAGGCACACTTCAATTAGAGAACTGCCAGGCTATATTAAGAGAGTAGAAGGCAATCATTTATTGTAGATGGCTTGATAAAATATTTAAAATTGCTGTTAGCTATCAAATCATTGGGCGAATAGAACATGAATAAGAAAATTCAGAAGTATTTCTGCTTGCCTTCAGATTTACTCAAAGAATTTTAATGTTAAACTTTGTTACCTTAAAACATATAAACAGTATTGTTTGTATACGTAAAATGGGATTCTACTGTCCCACCTAAAGAAGAGGTGAGAATGGTGGTTAGAATAGGTCAGTCTAAGTCCATTGATGTGATGACCTTGTCCTATGTAAGATTGTCATAATATTGTGTGAATCCTTAAAATACAGTTGCTTGAGTTACAAAATCTTTTATGTTTCAACTGTATTGGAGTGAAACCAGGCATTTAATCCAATACCAGGTAATCCACAATTGAAGAAGTGGAGAGTTTCAGAAAGATTTGCCTTGGAGAGGTATCTCATTGGTTCACCTCCTATTTTTCAGCCCTTTGATATATTCATTTCCTTCTCCTGTTTCAGTTAACCTGCCTGGATCCATCAGCAGCTTGTCCTCTGCCTCTTCCTTGGAACACAGACAGAGCAACCCCAAGAAGCTGAATGCACGTAGCAACAGCAAGAAGACCATGAGCAAGAGCCCGTCTGTTTCATCTCGAGCTAGTGCTGGTACCTGTGGCTTTTCAACCAGGCTTTCTTGGTGTTTTTTTTTTTTAAATCTTGGTTTGTTTGTAAGTAGATTTGCTCTTTTTAAATGTGTAGAAGGACATTTATTTCGGTCAGATTGAACTGCTTGCGCCCTTCTCTCTCCCCACAGCCGTCCACCTCCCTTCCCTCCTTGGGCGTTCTCTGGACTTCCCAGGCTTTCTCCTTGCGCCCCACTCACCCCTCCTTCCTTGTCTGGCTGACGTCTTCCCCACAGGTGTAGGGCCTCCAATCCTTTAAGGTTTGTCATCAGACTTTATGACGCATCCTCAGATAATTGGAAATATATGGTTTGTTATCTTACTTCTCTCTTTTCCAACATAAACCTAATAACATATATTGTATACTTACTCCTTTAGATACTATTCTAGGCACTTCACATATTTCATTGCATTTAATTCTCAAAATAAACCTATGGAGCAGGTACTATTTTCATCATCCTCATTTTACGAATGAGGAAACTGTGAAGTGCTATGGAAATAATTAGTTATTATGGGGGCCTTGGACTTTTTGGTATTTTACTTCACCCAGACTTTCTCCTCCTCCTCCCTGGGGTTTATGTTGTGCATCTGTTGCCGTGGTTTAAGTTTCCCCCGCTTCAGCAGTGTGACTGATCTTCTAGCCCATGCGCTCCCGGGGGGTCTCCAGGCCTGCCCTGGCAGCAGCTGTTCAGATCGGCTTGTGGCTGCGTGGAGAAGCCTCAGCGCCCACCTCTTCTCTGCTATCATTGAACAGCTTTCTAGACAGTGTTTCTCCAGGGTTTCTGATGTTAAATAGTGGGCAGTTCAGGGTTTAGGTGTGAGTCACAGTGACGGGGGAGTAGTTTGTTTCTAATAAATCATTTGGGGTCATTGAAACCTTGTAGCAATTTCACTTTCAAATCACATTCCTGTATGTTTCATTTACACGGAGTCCCAGTGAACTACTATAATTTTAGCATTTTACAATTGACCAATGACAGACAGCCCATAGGCCAAATCCACCTACCACTTGATTTTGTAAATAAAGTTTTATCGGAACACGCTATACCCATTCTGTTTATGTCTGCTTTTGTGCAGCAACAGCAGAGTTGGGTAGTTGTGACAGAGATGGCGTGGCTTGCAAAGCCTAAAATATTTACTATCCACCCTTGACAGAAAAAGTGTGCTGACCTCTGTTCTCGGAGGCGGTGCCACCAGGCAATCAGATGGCGTTGATCAGGAATCGTGTGTTAAACTCCTGGGGCAGTGATTTTTGCAGGAAACCTTTTGCATTGCCTTTGAGTAGCTTGACCCTCACATATGAGAAACAACTGTAGAGCAGTGATTTTCAACCGGTGTACCACAAGGATTTTTAAAACATACAATACCTGACTCGTCAGAGGCAGTGACCTCTCTTCCCTTAGATTTCTAATAAAAAAATAGCAACAGCCAATACAGTGCTGCAGAGTTTTAGTGATTAGTTTCTGTGTGCCATGAGATGAAAAGGCTGCCAGTCACTGCTGTGGATGACCTCTAATGGAAGGCATCCTGTACTGAAATCTCTAACCAGCTAGGCTGGTTGGAATACACAGTGATTTTTTGGTTAACGTGCTTTTTGATTTTTTTTTCCCCTTTGTTTTTCCTCCTCTTTTCCTGCCCTATCCCTGTCCCCGCAAAACAATTTACCAGGTTTGAGTTCCTCGGCAACATCCGTGGCAAACAGTGCCCGCTGTGAGGGAGAGCTCCAGCCTGGAGACAGAGCGCTGGTGGTGGGCCAGAGGCTTGGCACCGTTCGGTTCTTTGGGACAACGAACTTTGCTCCAGGTAACTCATCTGTCTGCTCTTTGTTCCATCTGGATTCTTTACAATACAAAAGGTTTCAAATGTTACACGTAAGTGCCATTTAATTAGAGAGAATTTTCGGTCAACATTTGGTAACTATGGTGCAGAAAATGCAAAACAATGATCAAAATGCAGACTGTTTGTACTCAGGTTGACTGTTATCCATAAAATTTTCTTGCCAATTGTCTTTTAAATTGCCAAGTGTTGAACTCAGTCGTCACTCGCCGACTTTACTCTCACTGATTGCTGAGTGTGCTTGACAACAGAGACAGCATTTTAGGACTGAATTTTTGCTGTGGATAATCTTGAAAATGAGCAGCTAAGGAGTTAACTGCACAGCTTTTATCAGAGCGGGTGGGAAAGAAAGGCAAACAAGGGCTCAAAGGAAAATGATGAAGCTTTTGCATATCTTGGGGCCTTACAAATACCTTTGTGTGTTTATATATTACTTCCAATCTGGATTTTTATTGTGTTTCCAAAAATACAGGTTATTTTTTCCTTTGCTTTTTTAGTGACTGTAATTTCAAGTAGAAGCCAGTTGAATAAAACCATGTTCGTATGTTTTGAATAGCAATGTGCTATTTTGACACACGGTGGCATCGCAGCATGTAAGGACCAGGTTACTGAGAGCACTGATTTTTTGAAAAGTTAGTAGCGGTCTGAAGAACTGCGAAGGGTCTGAGAGTTTACCCTATTTGCAAGCGGACAGGTTAGACCGCCAGTTTCACGGGTGCTGTCAGATGTTGGGCTCCTGGGTCAGACAGCGGACCTCGGTGCTCACAACAATAGCAGTAGCCAGAGGGTCCCCTTTTTTTTTAAAATTGTTCCCTGCGCCCTAGCCCCCCAGAGGGTGAGACAGAGAGGGCAGGTCACCCTTGCACACCCAGTGGTTTGGGAGAGGAACTGTGAGCTTAAGGAATCTGAACCTTTGTTCCAGACAGAATGCCCATCTTTTGTCCGGGAGGAGACCCTGTCTCCCTCCTCCAAAGCTGTCCTCTCTACAGACACCCATGCAAAGCCAGTCAGTGCCTCTGTCTGTAAAACACGCAGAAACTCGGGTGCACCATGGAGAACTCTCTCCCAACACATTCTTGTTTCATTAATATCACTTATCATTGCAGTCTACTCATTGATTTGAGAGGGGCTGAATGGTTTATTATTCGTGTTTCTCTTAGGCCTCCAGGTAGTAACAGAAGTTAGTTAGAATGTCCTTAATATAGTTCTCAAATGAAAACTTAGGAACCTTAAAGGTGGGTGTCTTTTTCACAATCGCCATATGTCTTTGAAGTTCCTTTCTGTGATTATATTAGACAAGGCAGGGGTGGTTTGATTCAATGGATACAGTTCATGGTTTGGTTTGACTTTTAATTTTTAAATGCCGAATGCAAAGCGTTTAGAAATCTGGGAAGTAAGATGCACATACAATAAAAGAAACTTTTGTTAAAATTATTCTGTGTTTTAGGAAGTAACAGCATGTATTTCTTGTGGCATCAAAAGTTAGATCATTCAGTTCTATAGAACAGTGCTCTCGAATCTAGGCTTTTTGTGGATGATAAGATCTAGACCTGAGAGAGCCCGTGTTTAGCCTCTTCAGCATTTTTATCAGTGCCACCTCTGAAAGGACAGTGCCACTTACGTGGAAGATACCCCTGCCTCTCACTGCCTGACAGTGTAGTCACTGCTGTTGACACTTGTCATAATGCCTTTTTGTTGTGTGTTACACATTTTCAGAAGTTATGTGGTAAACATGTAGTAGTTATATGGTATGTTAAAATGGGAAAATGCAGAAGTTTATGTAGGAAAGCATCAATGGAAGAAGAAGTAAAAGATGAAAAACTATATAACTCTGGCACTCAGAGAAGTAACAATGTCAGCCAGGCCAACCTGGTTAATGACGTTCAGACATGCAATGAGCTCTTTTCAGAGCATCAGTTATGGCCAAGTAATAGGCTTGTGTATATTGCTTTCTACCTGTGCACAGTAGGACTGTTTAAACATAAAAGACATGGGCATGCAGTTAATGTTTCCAACCCAAACTCCAATATTTGGAAATGGGCTCAAGTGTCATCTTTTTGAACATAAGAGGGAAAAATACTAAGAACTTCTAGGCTGTCTTCTTAGGCATTATACAATTAACTCTTCGAACTAGTAATCTGAAAAAAACAATATTTTTGTATTTTGGAATTCATAATTGCAATAAGTTTTTAATACTTATATCCTTATTTTTTATTTGATATTGATTTAAGAGACTGAATAAAATTACTAGCATATTTTCCTTTTAAATAAATAAAAGAATGGATTATTAGCTACTTTTAACTGATCTTGAGATGCCCTCAGTTTGAGAATCTTTATTTGAGGTGCATTTGCCCATTTACCTCGTATTTACCACACTAAAAGCAACCTCACTACTGTAATTTTAGGCTCTCTAGAAAAAGAAATTGTATGACTTTTCTTAGAGTGGGCCCTTTTAAATACTTAAAAGCCTCTTTGAAAATCCTTCCTCTTAGTGAACCTAAATCTTTTCATTCAGGTTAAAAAGACTTTGTTTTCATCCTGTGGTGGGGGGGACAAGAAAGAAAAAGAGGAGTCAGCATGATGTACAGTCATAGTCTCCATATTATTTTTGTCCTTTAATTATTTGAGCACTGGTTGTGGTGTTTCTAATATGGGGAGAGTCACGTGAACAGACGGCACGTTCATTTGTAGATCCCCATTATTAGGCTGCGCCCCTCCCCCACTCAGTGACGCACCGTAGCACCCAGCCCGGGCCGTTCCTTCCACGCGAGGGCTGTTAGGTGGACTCTGGTCACCCTCCCCTACTCCTCGCATGACAGCTAATCCTTGCCAAATTGTGTTTGTGAATTTTAGCTTTCTCTCTTAATGTACAACTCTGCAACCAAGCTTGTAAAATGCTTTTCCTGTTTGTTTTTCAACTTTTCAAATTTTATTGTCTGAGAGCGGAACGATCATGATCATGATGATCGTTCCTCATTTCGGTCACTTGTGAAGATGTGACTCTATCTAGACTCCGGATTTGCATAACAGTAGCAGTTTGGGCCCCAGTGCGGACAGACGCCTTTCCCACCCTTCTCGTTCCAGGCTATTGGTACGGGATAGAGCTGGAGAAGCCGCACGGCAAGAACGACGGTTCCGTCGGAGGCGTGCAGTATTTTAGCTGTTCTCCAAGATACGGGATATTTGCTCCCCCATCCAGGGTGCAGAGGTGAGGAGAAATAGGATTCATGTTTATTCACAAGAACTTTTTGTAATTTGCATGGTTTATAGTTAGAGTCCCTAATTCTATATTGAAGACGTGCGCTGACTACAGCTCTTGTCATCTTTCAAGGGGTTAACCAGCCACCTCCTTCAGAGCGAAGGCTCGTGGAAGCTAAATTTGCTTTGCTGAAGATTTGCAATTTTATAAACCTCCTTTATTCCTCATTTGCAAACCCTATGAGTACGGGTAGGCTATTAGAAATGACGTTTGCAGCTAAGAAAGAACAGTGAGAGCAGCGAGCTTAATCTGTCATGCAAACAAAAGTAAAAATGCTCTCTGATTGCCTCAGGCACCCCATTCATTCTCCTACAAACCTAATGGAACCAGAATGGCTTTTTCCTCTGATTTCTTTAGTTTTCAAAAATAGATAGGCAGTAGATCTTTGGGGGAAGTGAAGCTTCAAGGATTTATGTGTGATATACCTCCTCAGTATCTCTTAAGATGGCACACTCTTGTACCAGCTCACTCTGGTTTTAAAAAATAAGTTGAGCAGAAACTAAGTCGTCCTGAAATTCCAGGTACTGTTTTGTAGTGTGACTTCTGTGCTGAAAGAGCCTGGCTTGGTATGCCTTCCAGTGCCGGGGAGGTGGGGTGCCGATCTTCTAACAGGAGATGACATGTGTGGTATAACCACGTCCAGGACAGTAGCTCCGCAGCCGCAGCCTGGGAGTCTCAGCCAGTCCACTTCCAGCTGTGTGACGGCCTCCTGCCTCTTCAAACAATTTTTATGTCCATTTTCTTTCTTTGCTTTTCATATTGAATAATTACTTATAATGTTTGTGTTAATTTTCTTCCATGATGTATGCGATATAATTTTATTATTTATGATAATATAGTATTTAACACACCATGCTTTGCAGTCTATGAAGGGTCTTCAATTAAATGCTGCATTATTCGATCCTATTAGTATTTGGTCAGGTGGGCTGGGAAATTACAGTAGCTATTCCAGACCTTTACTGAGCATTTGCTAAGGGGCGGCCTCCGCACCCCACATTTTGGATGCACATCTCATCAATCCCCACAAACCCAGTGGGGTATGAGCATCCCCATCTTGGAGGGGAAGAACCTTTCAAGAGATAAAGTAGTTTAGCTGAAGTCTTGTAGCTAGTGTAGGGGAGGACGAACTTCTCCTCTTCCCTCAGGATCAGTAGCGACGGTGGGGTGGGGGCGGGTCTGTGAATTACACTCACAACAGATAGATTAACAGGAGAAGGGACAACACAAATATATTAAATTTTATTTTTTCATGCATGGGGCATCACAGAAGGAGGTGGATACCCAGGGAGGTGAGGTTGGAGCATTTATAGGCCGTCTTAACGGGGCAGAGACAGTCCTCTGGGTTCTCGGACTGCTTTGGACAGATCTCCGTGAACACAGTGCTGCAGTCTCCTAGTCACGGGGACGGGGCTCTCCATTTCATGTTTGAGTGCCCAGAGGACACAGTGTGGCATATGGTAGGCACAGTAAGTATTGATCAAATCGAGCGCAGTGTTTTTTGTGCTGTAACAGCTTTTCGTCTCTTTTATGTTGAGGAGCCACTTTCTTTTTCATGGTTTCGTCTTTTTTTCGCTTTGTTAATGGAACACATGTTTTCTGATTTGGTTTTTTCTTGCCTTCTGTTTGGTCTTCTTTTAAGGTGATTCATTTAAAAGCACCCCCTCTTAAAAGAAACAGGGCTCTCCCTCTAAATGAACTGCTGTCTCCATCCAGCTGTCTTCCTGTCGTCTTCTGATTGTCTCATTCATCACCATCAAATACTATTAAGTGTCTTTTCGCACTTTGTGCTGTGCTAGGCATTCTATAAGCAAATAAAAGAGACGTGGTCCCTGATTCTGAGGAGCTCCTCGTTTAAGCTAGCTTTGGAGCTCCTTAAGGGCGGCGCCGATCTTCGAGGAGGCGGGGTTTGAGACTAGGGGCTGCGCGCGGACAGCCCGAATGAAGGTCACAGCCAGTCGCAATCCTCCCAGCTCTCCTCCCAGGCTGCAGCTGCCTTTTTTCTCTCCCTTTCTATTTAAAAATGTGCCTCCTGTCCCACAATCTTGGCGCATGGTTTTTCCTCTGCCTAGATGGCTTTCTACTAGCACCCACATTTTATCTAGTTTACACTTGTTTTATTTACAGAGTACCCGATTCCCTGGACACGCTTTCAGAAATTTCTTCGAATAAAAAGAATCATTCTTATCCTGGTAAGATTACACAGTTTTATGTTTCTAATAATTATTCCTTTGCTTTTATTTATTGAAGCAGCTTACTGTGAAGAATGTATGTATACTAAAGAGTGTGTCAAATGTACTTGTGTAGTTTATATAGACATAAGCAGACAGCCGTTACCTACCCCAAGCTGAAGACGACAACTACTTGAATAAAAGGAACCCCGTAGCTCTTCTACCTCCCTTTTCACATGCCTCTCAGGTTATGAGGCTTGAATTTTATGTTAATTATTCTTTTGATTTTCTTTATATCTTTTATCAACCCTCTATAGATATACCAGCAAATAATATATGTTTAATTTTAGATGTTTGCTATTTTGTTACTTAGTGTTCCATTAAAATATTCATTCTGTACTTGATGTATATTTCGGTTACATCCTGTTTTTTACTATTACAAACTACACCACTGTGCACATTTGCAAGTTTCCCTAGGATTGCCAGGTGCGTACCACATCTACAGCCCAGCTGTTCCAGTGCACGGCCTTGTGAGCAGTGGGTGGGGGTCTCGGCTGCTTCTCAAGAAGCAGCACTGGTCTTGCTTGATTTGGAAGTCTTTGCCCATCTGATGGATTTAAATGGTATCTCATTGTGGTTTATATTTGCATTTTCCAGTTGACAGATGAGGTTGAGCCTATTTTCATATTTATGGGCCACATACATTTTCTCTTTCATTACATAACTGTTCAAGTCTTTTGCCCATTTTTCTTTTGGTTGGTTTGTCTTTATTTCATTAATTTGTAGGTTTCTGTATATATTTTGGACACTAATATTTTATCAGTTTTTTGCAAATATTTTGCCCATTTTTGACTTGTCTTCTCTCCACCCCCATTTTGATATATTTTGGTGAGCAGTTCTTAATTTTAAAGTAGTTAAATAGCTACACATTATGTTTTGCATGTATCGTTTTAAGAAGTCTCTTCCTAGAAGAGGCATCATAAAATATTTTTATATATTGTTTTCTCAAAGTCTTTTATTTTTGCTTTTCATACTTGTCAGTTCACCTGGAATTGATTTTGCATATAGTAAGGATCTAATTTTATTTTTCTTCTTATAAATAACCATCTATGAAAGAGTGACTTGTATAATACCAATCTTTAAATATTTGTTGAAGTTAATTTTATGGCCTGTGAATTTTCGCTATTCTAATAGGTATGAAGTAGCATCTCATTTTAGTTTGAAATTCCTAACGATGTGTGATGTTAAGTAAGTTGGATAGGGCTAGCAAACAAACTACCACAGGGCGGGGGTGGGGTGGGGTCAGACAATAGACATTTATTTTCTTGGAATTCTGGAGGCTCGAAGTCCAGGATCAGGGTTGGCAGGGCTGGTTTCTTCAGAGGCCTCTCTCCTCGCCCTGTAGGTGGTTGTCCTCCCTCTTTGTCTTCACACGTTCTTTCCTTGTGTGTGTGCCTGTGTCCAAACCTCTTCTAATAAGGGCACCGATCATATTGGATTAGGGGCTCCCATTTTAACCTAACTACAACCCTTTCAACTATCACTTTACAGGCCCCATCTCCACATACAGTCACATTCTGAGATACGGAGGGTTAGGGTTTCTGCCCGTGAATGGGGGCGGGGGCATGATTCAGCCGTAGCAGGTGATGAGGGCCTTGGTACATGCTTATTTGCCATCAGTGCATCTTCTTTGGTGAGTTGTCCATTCAGAGCTTTTGCCCATTTTTAAATTGTGTCTTCTGTTTTCTTATTGTTAAGTTTTAAGTGTTCTTTTTACTTTTTGGCGACTAGATCTTTCTCAGAATGGTTTTGCAAATATTTTCTTTCAGTTGGCTTGTCTTTTCATTGTCTTCACAGTATCGCTCACAGAGCAGAAATGTTCGATTTTAATTAACTTTATCATTTTATTTCTTTCATGGATTTTATTTTATTTTTTTTGGTGTTGTATCTAAAATATTCTTGCCAAACCCAGGGTCATCCTGATTTTCTTCTGGTATCTTCTGAGAGTTTTATCATTTTGCATTTTGTTTAGATTTATGACTGTTGAGCTAATTTCTTATGAAAGGTGTAAGGTCTGTGTTTAGACTTATTTTTTGTTTGTTTGTTTATTTATTTATTTTTTCATGTGAATGTCTAGCTGTTCCAGCACTATTTATTGAAAGGACTATCCTTTCTCCACTAAATTTCCTTTGCTCTTTTGTCAAAAATCAGTTGACTGTATTTGTGTGTCTGGGCTCTCTCTTCTGGTTCATTGATCTATTTGTCTGTTTTCACTAATATCACACTGTCTTGATTACTATAGCTTTATAGTAATTCTTTAAGTTTAGCAGTATCAGTCCTCTGACTTTGATCTTCTTCCTCAATATTTTGTTGTTTATTTTGGGCCTTTGTCATTTCATATAAACTTTACAATCAATTTGTTGATTTCCACAAAGTAATTTGCTGGGATTTTGATTTGGATTGCATTGTATGTATAGATCAATTGGGAAGAACTAATCTCTTAACATTGAGTCTTCCTATCCGCAAACGTAGAATACCTCTCCAGACATCTAGATCCTCTTTGATTTCCTTCATCAGAGTTTTATAGTTTCCTTCATGTAGACTTTGTACATGATTTATTAAATTTATACATACGTAATTTCACTTCTAGGTGGTAATGTAATGGTGTTGCTTTTATAATAATTCTTTTTACCATGTATCAGCTTTCTTTGTATTTATGCTATCTTACTTGTTTTATATTTTTTCAGTATTTTTATACTTAAATATTTTTTCTTTCTTGATGTAATTCTGGCTATTTTTCTACCCTCCTTTTATCCCATTTTATTCTCTATTTGTATAAAAGTTATGCCTATAAATATACTTCTTAGTAGTTACTATAGGTATTTTGACATACATATTTAGCAAAATCTAACTAATCATTGTGTTTACTCTTTCCCAAATAATAGAAAATTTTTAGAAACTGAGTTATTCAGTTTCTATTTTATTTTCACCACAAATTTTCCATTATCATAATAGTTTTATATGTAACCAATATGTATTTAATTTGCTCCCATATTTGCAAATATCTCTAGTCACTAATCCTCAAAACTTCTACTTGGGGTCATTTTGTATCTACCTCATGTATATTCTTTAAAAGTCCTTTTAGAAAGGGTCTGCTGGTAGCAATGTCTCTCAGTTTTTGTCTTTTCTTATGATAGTTTTACTGGGTAAAATGAAAACTTAGTGAAAATTTAAGGTTGAAAGATATTTTCTCCCTGCATGTTGACAATATAATTCTGTGTTTTCTGTCCCCTGTTATTTTATTTTATTTTTTTTGAGAAGTCAGCTACGAGTCTCAGTCCTACTGTTGTAGGTCACTTTTTAGGTGACTTTTCTTTTTGATTGCTTTCGAAGATCTCTGTTTCTTTCATGTTGCCATTGCCCTGTGATGTGTCTAGGTGGGGGTCTCTTTTGTTTATCCTGTTTGGCATCATGGGTCTTCCTGGATCTGGAAAGTGGTATCTGGTCAATTCTGTAAAAATTCTTGTCCATATGCTTAAAATATTTTCTTCTTCATTCTCTTTATTATCTATTTCTGAAACTCTGATGAGTAGACTTCTCACTCTCCCATGCCTTTTTCGTCTTTTTCACAAGTTTGTCTCACTGGGCAGCATCTGGATAGCTTCAGATCTATCTCTTCGTTTCTTGGTTCTTTCTTCAGCTATGTTTATTCTGCTGCCTAATCTAACCACAAAGTTTTTAATTAAGTTTTTTATTTCCTTTTGTAAATCTGTTTGGTTGTTACTTACTGCCATTTATTCTTTCCCCATATTTTCAAGTTTTTCTTTTGTGTCTTTAAACCTTTTTAATGTTATCTTTTATTTTATGTTAAATACTTCAACATTTGAAGTCTTTGTGAATCTGATGCTGCCATATGTTTCCTCTGAGCCTAACTCATGGTGCCTTTTATCCTTGTGAGCTGCGTAGTTTATTATTGTGAGATGCTTCTTTTACTCAGAATGTAATGCATGGGAATTTTTGAGGCCTGGGTTGATGCTTGCAGAGAAAATTATATATACTTCTGGCAATTGTCTGGAGGCACCAAAAACCTGGGGCTATTTTAATTTATTGCCTCTGCAGTTTTTTAAAATATATTACACGGGTAAAATAAAATTCACTTATGATCACAAAGTTTGAAAGGAGAAAATTTTGCCCTTTTTTGAATTTCCCTTTGTCTTTGTCCAAATGGTATTTTCATTTCATTTCTCTAACCTTACACCAAGGGTGAACAGTTTGAGATCCTCCCTTTAACCAGGAGTCTTGTGAGAATCCTCATGTTGGCAGTTCCAGGCTGTCTGTCCTTCCCCGTCCCCTGGGTGGTCGGTGTGGCGGAAGCATCCCGTGGTGCAAGGTGGTAGATTGCTTTGGTGCTTGATTACTTTACCTCTCATGGTCCCTTGTTTTAGGTTTTGGCCTTTTTGAAATTATGCCTTTGTGTCAACTCAACAGTATTGAAAAAAAATAGTTGTTTTAAATTATACTCACTTTAATCAAGAGATTCATTGAGCACATCTGGTCTGCCGTCAACCACCAGAACTGAGATCCCAGTCTTTTTAAAAACAACTTTTTAGAAATTTACCTTGTATAAAATCTTTTTAAAAAAATATTACTCTGTCATTGGGATGACAGCAGTCATAAGCTCTGAAATTTATTACTTAATATTTTATAAATTGGATATATTTAGTGATAGTGTTTTAAAATTATTTTATCCTTTTTGTATGATTTATCAAGATTAACTTTTGAGAAGCAAAGATTCAGCTTTATCAATGTATAATTCAGTTTTACTTGATTTTCAAGAAATTTTGTAACAAAACTTTCAAAGTTAATGTTATGACCTTAACTTACTCATATATGTGCATTGTATGTGAGCAAGGTAAGATGAAAATTTGTCATGAAATCTAAACTACTTCTGTAATCTGTATGTATGTTCTTTGCTTTCCATTTCCAAAAAACATTTGAACAAACAGAACATCTATTAGAAGAGATAAAAGATAACTTTTAATAAGGACTGCAAATTTGTCATTTATTTTTCCTCTTCTGACCTTAACTTTCATATTTAGGTTTTAGGAGAAGCTTTAGTACAACTTCTGCTTCTTCCCAAAAAGAGATTAACAGAAGAAATGCTTTTGCCAAGTGAGTATTAAGAAGATTTAGAAAAACACCCTTTCAAGAGGAACATGACGAGATTCTGTGAAGAGCGAAAAGTGGAATGTTATATCTTTACATGGCTTGGTAGAATTTTAACACTTAGGAAAAAAGGTGTGAGGAGTGTATTGATAGGGGTTCTTCCTCTCTCCTTTGCAATTAAAAATGTCAGGAGTGACTAAAGCTACTATACTGCATATATTTTCAAATTTGTTTAGTACTGTTAATAAAAGTTGGAGGAATTTACACTTTGTGTTATAAATGAATAGGGTGGATTGATTTTTTAAACTCTGTTAACAGTTAGTCAGAGATTTAATATTTTCAACAATACATGAAAGAAATGTCAGGCCTATCTGCTACAGGGTGATCCTACCAGCCTTTAAAAAAATACTCCCACTTCGTCTTCTGCAGTATGCTGCTCAAAATGCTGTTTGTTCTTTGTTTCTTATAGAGAGAATCTCTTTTTCTCGTTTACATTTATTGATCCCACACCCATTTTACTTCCCCTCAAAGTTTTCTATGCCTTTTAGAAACTATTTCACTTTTAGAGGAATGTGAGGGTCTCTTCTAGACTGGGGTAAGGAGGGTTTTGTTTTTTTTTTTAATTAAAATTCTTCCAATAAATCTATGAACGATGTCCTGGGGTAGCTGGGGGCAGGGAATGGTTCCTGAGTAGGGAAGTGCATGTCCTTACTCAGATAGTGAGACCCTAGAAGCCACTAGAAATTAGAGCCCAGGCGCGGGACCGGACGGTCCGCTGAGCCCCAGGCGGGCATTTCTACACCGCCCTGCGGTGAACTTACCGGGAGGCCTGGCGGCGGCCGGAGGTTCCCCCTAGCCCGGCGCTCGGTCCTCGGGCACTGAGCGCTGTTTCGCAGGCCGGGCGGGCGTGTGTTTCCCTCCCTTAGAGCCTTCCCTGACTGGGGAGAATTTGGAAAGTCGTCTCCCCACTTGAGTAGCTGAGCGAGTTTAAGGGCAGGAGTAACTTCATGCTCCAGTTTATAGAAGATATGCAGGAGTTCTTAGGCAGAATGGAAGAAGGTGCTGAGAGGAGACACCAGGCCTTAAGGATTCTGAAGGGGGAGAGGTACAGAGTGAGAGGTCCAGAGAGATGTCGGTGAGTGGGAGCCTGCGACACAGAGCCGGGCGGGGGCCGGGGGGAGGGGCGGAGACGGCCAGAGCGTGGGGATCGGGGCAGGTGCGGTCCTGCAGGAGGGGAACCGCTGACACGGGAGGACACTGTCAGTGCTGTGTGCTTCCTGCGGAGAGGAAGATGGACGAAGCTTTCCTGACGCCTACAGACTGAGACTTAGCACCTGTTTGAAAAGGGAAATATACTTCTGAGGATGTGTATTCAATTTTAAAACTCATTTATATTTGTAGAATATGTGACCAAAATGCATGCTGATTGGTGTTGCAAGAACAAAAGAAAGATGTTGGGGCTTGGCTGGTGTGGCTCAATGGATTGAGCGCCGGCCTGCAAACCAAAGGGTGTCCGGTTCGATTCCCAGTCAGGGTCGGTGCCTGGGTTGCAGGCCAGGTCCCCAGTAGGGGGCGCGAGAGACACAAACACACATCGATGTTTCTCTCCCTCTCTTCCCCTCTCTAAAAATAAATAAAAAAAATTTTTTTTTTAAAAAGACGTTAGGTGCTGGCTGACTCAAGGGTCTTAAATATATATAATCTTAAATCCAGTTAGTGTAGTATTAAAATAGTCAAAAGAGAAAAAAATCTTCTAAAATGTTAAAATATATTGTAATATTGCTATTCAGAATAAAAAATCCAGTTGTGAAGATAAGGCATTGTATTAGCTAATTGTGAGCGGGCCCCGGGAACGAGCCCGAGGAGCGGCGTCGCGCGCAAGACTGACAAGACTGAGTCTCCCCTTTCCCTGTGCGCAGGTCGAGACCCGCCCTGCGGCGCAGCTGGAGCGGCGCGGCCGCGGGCGGCGCAGAGCGGGGCGCGCGGCTGCGCGAGGGCGCGCAGGTCCTGCTCACCAGCTCCAACGAGATGGGCACCGTGAGGTACGTGGGCCCCACCGACTTTGCTGCGGGCATCTGGCTGGGACTTGAGCTCCGAAGCGCCAAGGGGAAAAACGATGGAGCGGTGGGTGACACACGCTACTTCACCTGTAAGCCGAACCATGGCGTCTTGGTTAGACCGAGCCGAGTTACCTACCGGGGGATAAAGGGGTCGAAGCTCGTGGATGAGAACTGTTGAGTCACACTTCGGGAGTGTTCAGTGAGAGTGTGCGTGTGTACGTGTGCACATATACACGTATATACAGGAGGTAAAATAAGGAGCCTGTGGCACATGGTGACTTTATTTAGCCATTATTTAATATTTGAAAATATGGCTGTCTTCCTAGAAATCATTAGAACATTCAGAGAGACTCCTTTAAAAAGCTAGCAGTGTGAACTATGGGAATGATGGCTCTCTTAAAACAATTTTGAAATGAGCATGTTAAAAAGCTTTTGAGGCTTTAGACCAAGAAAACTCTGAGACTTACGGAAAAAAGTGTGCCATTAGGTGAACAGCTGATGTTGCTTACTCTGTTCCATTTTTGCACATAATATTGGATTTAATTTTTTTGCACGTTTAACTTTCTTATTGGACATATCTCCAAAACACACACAGACACACACAGACATACGAAGCACTTTTAAAACATGATGCACTTTCATCTTTGCCATCATTTCCTCCTGGGATATGAAAAATATTAAAAGATTATATTTAAGAGAAGAGTGCAAATTAAGATGTGTTACAAAGAATGTAGTGTTCATTTGTTTATTCTTGATTTTTTGTTTTATTCATAAAGCTGATTGTTGTAAATTCATCCTGTTACAACGCTGCAGAATTGTATCATGTTTTTATTTTCCTTGTTGAGCACATGGTAACAAACTAAGCTTCATCATAGAGTGATGTAATGCAAAACATTTGTGTTGTGGATAGTATTGAAGTTTATGGTCCTATACGTGTGATGATTTATCTCTAATTGTACATATTTAGACTTTAAATTACAACAGAAATATCAGAACAGTTTGCTTTATAAGATTAAAATCATCTTTCAGAATGGAGTTTACTTTGTGCTTAGAAATAATATGTTGAACTATTTTGTAATACGCTATTTAAAATCTAAATTCTGTTGCTTTGCTGCCTTTTTAAAAAGAAGTGTGGCATTTCAAATATTACTAGAGCTATTTTCCTGAAATACATTTGCAAAATGAGGCTGCTTTATAACCAAGGAATATTTTTATTGATTAAAGAAAATGACTGTACTGCTATTCAAAAGTAAACTTATTTTATTATGTAGCTTATTTCTTAAAGACTCTATTTATACTTTAATATGCAATCCCAGATTATACTGAACTTGGGTGTCTATAATTCTTTCTGTTAAATATAAAACACTGTTAGAAACAGTAATGCCAACACTGAATCTATTTTGAGATCAGAGAACCAATTGTTCTCATATTTAGGATTATTAAATCCATGTAATAGGTATGTTTACAGGTACTGTACATACAAATTCAGTGTTTTCATTTGTGTTTTGCTTATTAAATGTCAAAATTCACTCCTCGAGCATTAATAAAGAGGGAAGATGTCCTGGTTTTGGAATGGTGTCTGTCCTTTACTGCAACCTGCTTTTCCTGGTTACCTTGGAGGAGAGGTGCTTTGTACTTAACTTCTTTTTCTTGGAGTAATGACTTGGATTTGCCAGGTCCTTATAAAGTTTTACAAAGTGTCATGCTTTCTACTCAACAAGTAGAGTTATATGTCTAGCCACCCCTATTATATTGTATGGATGGACTGAGAGCCATTTAAGAAAAGAATGTTTCTACAGTTTTCTAAAATTGCTTGACTGTCTTTTATACCAGTGGGATTTCATTTGTTTAAGGTAGGCTAGAACACATTGAATTTAGATTATAAAAATACATAAATAGTTAATCTACAGTCTACTAAAAACTTTGTTTCTATATTTATATATTCTTATGTTTCTGTATTTCTATAGTCTATCCTAAAATGGGTAGTTCGATAGGAATATTTTAATGTGCTTAAAAGCGTTCCTGTACGGATGTTGGCTGAACCTGAACTGAGACATTGTAATCTTGCTGTGAGTCCCTTCACCAGCCTGACCTGAATTCCTTCTCTCTCCTCATGCTTAATTTTTCTCCTGAGCATTCAGCACCCCGATCGTGGTAAACTTTCTGCTTATTATTTCTCTCTTCCCTCCCTGGGTTATGGGACGGATATTTAGCCATTTTGTTCATCACTTTTTTCCTAACGCCTGGGATAATACTTGGCTTCTAGCGGGTGCTTGGTGACATTCACTGAATTCAAAGAGGCAGTGCAGGCCACTGACTGTTTCCAGCAGAGAGGTTGGCTGGCTGGCTTCAGACGGGGCCTTGAGAGAGCTGGCCACGGAACCGGGACGTGTGACCAGGTAAGCAAGGAAACAGGGCAAGCAAGGTTTGAACCATATAGCCCAGCTTTACCCCAGCATTGACATGAATGAGGTAGAAAATGTTGGGTGTTGGGGGAGAAAAGGGGACAAGAAAGACACAACAGAAGCACCTAAGGCCACTGCCTTTCGGTTTTCCCATTGCTCTCTGGTACCATTTTATTTCAGAGGTTTCTTTTGGACCTACATACATAGAATATGTGGTTATGTTGTTTAAGCCACAGTGACTGATAACTACAGACCTAATGAGTTGAGAATAATTCTTTAAAAAAGATTTTATTTACTGTTTAGAGAGAGAGAGAGAGAAACATTGAATTGTTATTCTATTTATATATGCATTCATTGGTTGATTCTTGCACATGCCCTGACCAAAGAGCGAACCTCAACCTTGGCATATTGGGACGATGCTCTAACCAACTGAGCTACCTGGCCAGGGCAAGAATTGTTCTTAGTTAAGAAGCAGATGTAGTCATTTTAACTACCCACCAGTCATTTGTTATCTAAATGATTGACTCAGAGACATGTAATATGGATCACCACACTGCAAGCCAGTGAGAATTTACTTTTTATTTTTCTTCATGCCCTTTGCTTCACTACACTTATTTAAAATACAAATACATTAGTTAATACAAAACTCACATTATCACATATATTTTTAGTAATTGTTTAATAATACCCCTTGGTACGTACATAGACCCTTATTTACAAACAATGTCACATCAGCTGCTTGACTATACAACGGACATTCCTAATGAAGCTTGTGTGTAGGCTGAACGAGTTGAACACGTTAAGATTTTACGACAAGCAGGGTATGATGCCTTTACATAGGCAAAAATAATTTTTTCTACCAAAATTTTTGCTAATGCTTCTAGTTTACAGGAGAGAAAAAGAAGTGTGTGTGGAGGAATTAGGGTGCCGGGCACATGTTACGGACAACGGTTATTTTCATTATGTTTGGTGAAAATAAAACTATTTTTATGCTTACAGCCTCTCCCTTAAGGAGAAAGGCACCAAGGGGTGGGGGCACCCTATCTCCTCTTATCCCTTCAGAATATATTTTTTAATTATTTTTTTAAGGTTTTATTTTATTTTTAGACAGAGGGGAAGGGAGGGAGAAAGAGAAAGAAACACCAATGTGTGGTTGCCCCTCGCGTGCTCCCCACTGGGGACCTGGCACGCAACCCAGGCCTGTGCCCTGACTGGGAATCAAACCGGTGACCCTTTGGTTTGCAGGCCGGCACTCAATCTGCTGAGCCCACCAGCGAGGGCCAGCATATCTTATAATGGATGGAATTTTCATGATAGAGCAGCAGCAAATTTCATCACTTACTATACGGTTCAAGTAAGAGAGTGTGGTGCTGAGAAGGGAGCAGTAAATTCTGAATCATCTCAGTAAAGGTATTTTACGTGTTTAAATTGAGGCTATTTGCCTAAGCTGTAACCTGTTCCCAGTGGTCAGTGCTGTCATTTAAGAAAATGCTCATAAATCAGGTTTAAGTTCAGCTCTAAAACCCTAAAGGAGCCCAGACATACAAGGGCGTTGCTGCCATAGACGTGTAGGTATTTACACGTGTGCACACCTTTGTCTGGAGGAGTGTGGTCTCAGGAGTGGGTACTTAGAGTTGTTTGAATTGCATAAATCAAATTAAATAGGGAGTCTCAGAAATCTTCTTGCACTGCACGGAATTTAAATTTGAAGCATCTCCCAAGTGTAGGAAGTTTAAAGACCCAGATGCTGTGTTCTTGACAGGTGTCAAACTCACAGAGGTTAAGTTCTCTCAACTTCAGCCTAATAGAAGTTGTCATGGCTTTGCTTGAAGTAGACATAGCTCCTTGAAGACTGAACTAATTATTTTTCACAAGACAAACCAAACTAGACTGACATGGAAATAAGTTGTGTTGAAATTCTACACACAGATTCAGGCTGTTCTTTTTATTCTTTCTTAATATGACTTCTGGATTCAGCTTACATCCAGGTCAAGTGTTAATGACATTGGCTGTCCCTTGCAGTCCTTGTTATGAAGGATGGGTGTTACTATCCAGTGTTTTGGGGGGGGGGGGGACATCCTAAAATGGATTTAAAAATGAATTTTAGTAGTCACAACAAGTCCCACATTGATAGTGGGGAAAGTGGATTTCGCATTATAGACAACAGAGGAGAAGAGTGAGGTGAAAAGTCTCAGCCCTGCTTATTGAACCCGCTGATGAAAATGGCTCCTAATAAGAATTCCAAGAGATTATACATATTAGTTAAAAGGTAATTTTGTCAAGTGATCTTTTTTGAAGGGAGGAGAGTTTAGGAAATTAAGAAATAGCATGAGATTTCCAGAGGCCTCGCTGCACACTCCCCGGTGTGCGGCCAAGGAGAGTCTAGTTCTGCTTTAGTTTCTTACCTTATAAAACGTCACCAGCTGCTCCCTGCACACACGAGGAAAAAAGAATTTCTGTCTGTAATATTACTTTATTTCTTCTGAGAGCTGTGAAGTCATATATAAATACTACCTTGAAATAATGCAAAAAGATTTAAATTGGTTTTTTGGTTGCCCTTTAGATGCACTAAAACGTAGGTAACAGCCTGCCATCTTCGGTCTTGCCTTGGGGGGTTATTTGAATGGGCTGTCTTTGTAGGGTTGTAAATCTAGTATACAGGTTTCTAAAAATTGCCATCCAGTAGCAGTGAGTGTCTCTCAAAGTCTGAAAAGAGGACTTTTATTCCATTCTGTGTAACTGGGAGAGAGGATGCCTGTTCCTAGTGAGTTCCTCGTCCTAACAGCACCGGGGCGCTTGTTTACGGACGCCGGCTGCGGGGTGCTGGCCGCACAGCACCCCCAGGGCTCAGCCATGGGCCTTACTCTGGGCTTCGTGACTTTGCTTTGGGATGGGAGGTGCAAACTGTCAGGTGACAGAAAGTGCATCAGATCTCTCATCGACTATCAGGTGTGGTAAAGGATAACTTTCCTAAGGTAAGTTTGATAATTTTGCTTTGCTAATAAGGGTGCACTTGTAGCAAATGTAGCAAAAGAGAAATACGTGGTGTGATTCTCATAGTCTTGTCAGCTTTCCTTCTTTGGGATCCCATCCCGATTAACTTCATTTTGCTATGGAAATGATTTTATGATTTAATGTTAAAGAGATCTTTGAATAGAAAGAATAAATAGCAAACCGATACTAAACTTCTTTCTGGTTTACTTCTATGTAAAGATAAAATATAATATGGTTCCCTGGGATTGTGCGCTGAATTAATTGGCTTTGGCTGTAAATTAAGAGACAAGGTCAAGAAAAAGAACACACGCACACGTGTGTGCACACACCCACATGTCCTACATGTCCTACAGATGGAGTTTACCTTACACAGAGAGATTTTACACACAGAATCTCAGACTCCAGGGTTGGAAGGGGGCCTTTGAGACCAAACGGCCCATATTTTTAAATGAGAGAGTAAGAGTTTAATTAACTTGAGTAAACCAACTTCTGCCACACCCTGTAGATAGATCATTGCAGTCTCATACCTGGGTCCTGCCCAGTCTGCTTGCCCTTCCTCAAGCAATTGACAAATGCTAAACCATCCAAAACATTATGCTCATTTGAAGTTTCATCAGTCTGATCTTCATCTATATTGGAAAGTGAGCTCTCTTAAAAACGTAAATATCCTAAGGAGCACTAATATGTTAGTTGCTAAGGCTTAGTGAGAGTTTCTTTAATAAGAAGGCCTTTGAACTACCACCAGCTGACAGGCGCCTGCTGATGTTAGTGATGGCGCAAGAGCTGCTTTCAGAGAGGCGGGAGGTAGGCCTAAATCAACCGAGCGGGGAGAGCACTTGAGAGTGTGTCAGGCAGAGGGGTCCAAAAAGTGGACGTGGGAGGGCACTGGGAACAGATGTTGGTCCTTGCAGGTTTTAGAGGTGAGCCTGGTAGTGCTGTCTTTACAAGCGAGGGTCATGCATTTGTTTTACATTTGCTCAGGCCCGGAGGGAGGAAAGCCAACACTTCAGTTTGGTGGTTTGGGTTCCTTTTCATTCCTCCCTCCCCTCAGTTGCAGGTAATAGTCTGTTTTCACGCTGAGCTTTTCCAGTGTTTTTAAAGTTGTTAAGCAAGAGCTAAAAATAGCTTTGTACATGAGCAGTGCACTGGAAATTAAACACACCTACTCAGGATACCAAATGAAAACAGAGAAGCCTGACTATTTGTTCTCAGCAATCATCTCTTATTTTTGGGCGTTTAGTGGAGAACCACAGGAACACTGGTTTTTGTTTTGTATGTTCACATGACATGAGGAACCATCTGTTGCAATGAAATTAGCAAAGTTGAATTGCACGTTCTTTGGTGACCCATTTAAAAACTCACTAAAGACAGATTGACAATGCACTTCAGACAACTTTACAAATCTTGTCATGGGAGTCTGTTGTTCAGAGTAGTCTGAATTCATATGCATCTGTTTGATGTCTGCAAAGCTCATGAATTTTTGTCCTGCTAGTACTGGAGAAAATCTGTTGAAATAGCCTGATCACTTTTAGTATTTTAATGGAATAAAAATCATCTGCAGTTACATAATATCTTACCACTGTAGAGTTTACCAAGTATTATATAGAGATGCCGGAAACTTAAAAAAGAAAAAAAGATTACTTAGATTGATTAAACAACTTCCTTTCTGTGATGCTTATTTATGATGCTTAGTTCTAAGTTTAACATTCATCCTTTGAGCCAAAAATGACTTGGTTCTGGTAGGATTCTTGCTACTGTCATTAAACAAGTGACAGATGAAGTCACTCAAGAGACAAGGACACAGGATGTGGTGGGAACAGGAACCCCTGCCAAGCTGTGGTGGTCAAGGGCAGGGGTGCATAGACACTGACTTTTGCAATCCTTCCCCCAACCCCCAAATACTTGGGAATTCAAGAGCTGTGGGGGTTGGGGGGGTTGCTTGTGCTTTCACCGGTTTATAATCTCCCCAAGGCCAATGAGAAAGGGAGCAACTGTCCTTGTTTTGTGTATGGAGATGCGGAGGTCCAGGCAGGCCCAGGGCCCCAGGAAGATCCAGGACTCCCGCCTGACCGGGGAGAAGAGAATCCAGTCTTCTGACTACTAAGTAAATTGTACTCTTCAAAAAAAAAAAAAAAGTTTGCTCCTGCTAGTTTGATTTGGTCTAATTTTGAGGTGCCACATTTAATTAATTGGTAATTCCTCACAAACTGCCAGTGTCCCAATGGAACGGTTGTGAACTTTTGATGAGCTTCTTTATAGACATAGAATAGGAATGATTATTCGAGCTTATAGTTTAATTAACATGGTTTCTGCAAACTTTACTTGTGCCTGTTCACATTCCAGGTGGAACTTTCTATCGCAGTTAATAGGAGAGTCACAGTGTCTGTATGAGTAGCTGCAGCGGTGGTGAGCGGACAGTGGTCCAGCGTAATGCCGCGCGGCACCGAGGCTCCCAGCGAGGTCAACGGCATGTCTTAAGGGCATCGCATTGCTGTGTGGAGTTGTTTGCTCACCTGTGTACACAGGCTTTTAAGACTTGACTGTCTTTTGAACTTGACACAAAAATCGTGGTAAGGCACAACCTGAAAATGTGATTATTTCTAGTTTTTAAGAAGAGAAAGGGTTGAGGTCCCCCCCCCATTATTAACAATGAAGAGTCAGCTATTGGACCATGTAGCATGCTCCGTGTTTCACTGGATACTGGTGTTACAAATATGAAATGAAATCCACCTCAGTTTTTGACATCTGTCACCACCTTTCAGGAGAATGTTTCTCAGTGTGATCCTTGGGCCCCTTCAGGTGGTTTATGAATTAGATTACTGTTTATATAATTATACTATTTACTTTTGTGCCTGGCAGGAGCCAAAACTTTCCCGATATGCTGATTCAGAGGTGGGTTCGTCTGTTGGGAAGGTGAGGAAGCCTGGTCCAGAGTGTCTGCAGGGTGCAGAACTCCGACCGGGGGGGGGGGCGGCGCGCAGGAAGTACGAACACTGTCTTGTATTGTCGAGAGCAGAATGGCTTTCCCACGTCCACAGAGCAGCTTTGGGTTTTGGTGAAACCAGGCGGCCGAGGAAAGGTGTATTTACATACTCATTTGGGAATGTGTAGAGTCCAGCAAGTAATAAATGCTTTCCTCCCAAAGCGATGCTTTGGCACAGCTGCTACCAGGAGAGGAACTGGGCAAGAGGATGGAGGCAAAGCAGAAAGAGAGAGCGGAATGAAAACTTATCGATAAAGTAAAGCATTATTGCATAAGTGCACATGTAAAGCTGAATAGGTCCCCAATTTGTGTTTGTGGAAATAAACTTCATCTGTGAAAGCCAAGTTCAGAACTTACACTGCAAACCATGTCGCTGTTGACCTCAGCATTCCAAATGCCCCTTCATTCCTCTATTCATTGCCCCCGAGATGAAAAATTCTTGGTTTTAATCTGCATTCAGTAGCTATACAAATTATGCCATGTATATTCATTCCAGCAAATGTGTGCTCGCTCCTGGGTGTGCTGGTCTCACGTGTTTAGGGGGAGGAAAGACAGCCAAAGGCTGGGAGGAGGACACGCAGGAGCGCCCTCCACAGGACTGCCGAGGGCCTGCCGCTCCAGGAGCCCTCTGTCGCTGCAAGCAGAAACTTCGGTCGAGGGGCTTTCGTGACTGGAACTCTGAGAAGGTTTTGGCCTAAGATGGATTGACATTGTGCCCGTGAAGGGGTATGTTTCAATGCTTCGCTGCTGCTTCAAATTTTTATTCTTAAATGATCAGAGTTTAATTAGTGGAAAGTTTAAAAATAACTAATTAAGTTAAATTTTCAGTTTTCAATCCAGTAGGAAACCTCACACTCAGATGTTCACTTTTGGTAGAAGAGTTTTTCTTAAGGCATGAGGTATGTTAATAGAATTCTTTTGGATCTCCGGATCTGTACTGGGTTTTATCACACTCAAAGCACCTCGCGCGTCTGCCTCTCAGTTAGATGAGGACACACACAGGTTTTCTCTATGCCACCGTCACCGTTCACATTTCTACGATCGTCGATGGATCGGCACAATCGAAAGCGCCTAAATGTCATCTAATGTGAGACGTTTCAGTTCTATGAGTTTTCCAAGAAAAGAACGTCTTTTCCCATGCTGACTGGTTCCAAATGACTCCTCTATTTCTGTTCCCTCTCCCCCTCAAGTGGTCCAGGGCCACATGGACAAGGTAAGGAAGCTTCTGTGACTCCAAGTGTGAGACGCACAAGCAGCTAATTCCGACCGCGTTGAAGCAGGGCACACACACAGCTGGAAGGAGGCGTGAGGACAGCACGTCGAATGGGCGTGCGAGAGCCTTAGGCAGCTGAACCCCGGCCTGGCATCTCTCACTCATCTTGACGATGTTTTCTCCCTTTGGAAGAACAGGATGAACCCACGCTCAAAACCTTTCAAAAGCATTTTGAGAATACAGCTTCTTGACGTGGCACTTCAAAACAAGTTGGCACAAAATGAAAAGTGACATTTGGTCTCTGGTGTGTGGAGGAGCTATTTATTACCTGTCCCCCTCCGTGGGCTCCGGGTTCCCAAGGAAAGGAAGTGAGTGCCAGTGGGCTCAGGGCCCAGGTTGGTTCTTCGCAGCGGTGTCCGCATACTGACCCGTTCCAGGCGCAGTGGTGGCCTCCAGAGGTAGGCCCTGCTGCTGGTAGCCGTAGTTGACATTTCCGCACGGGAAGTGACGCAGCCTGAACAAGGGCACCTCCTTCATGTTGGCAGTCAGCGAGGAGGGTTCCAGGAGCAGGGCGGCAGCCGGACCTCGGCCTGCCGCCACATTCGGGGGCACCGCGCAGCTCCCCTCGCGTCCCAGGTTCCCCGTCTCGCGCGGCTCCTTCTTTGCAGGAGGGTTGCTCTTTTTCTCCGGTTTCTCTGTAAACCACGAGCCGTAGGTTGGGTTCCATAGACTGGTCGGTTTGTTTCGGGATCTCTGGACTTTGTGCAGCTCCGACGGCAGGTTGGACTGAGAGAAGGCCATGTTAACGTGTCCCCCTTCCACGGCCGGCCCTCTGGTGACTCGGACAGACACCTCTGCAGCCGCCGTGGGCTTCTTGGCGGCTTTGCCAGAGGAAGCGGAAGGCAGCGGGGGCGGGGCCGCTGGGTTCTGCCCATCCTCCCCTTTCCCTGGCGGCGGAGAGACCAGGAGAGGAGCGATTCCCTCGGGGTCTTTGGGCCTCGTGGGCACTTTCTCCTCCTCCTCCACGAGCGGGCCGTATTCTATGGGCAGAGCGGTGTTGATCACATCTGGGTCCTACAGGCAGGAGAAATGACCTGATTAAAACCCAGGCGCAGACACACAGTGTTGGATCTGGAAGATGCCTGGGTGACGATCACATCCCAGCTTTACCGATGAAGAAACATTCCATGTTTCTGGGGAATATATTAATTTGCAGCCACTGGGGAATAAGAAACCAATGGGAAGTCACCTTCTCCTCGAAGCGCTTAGAAGGCAGCTCAGGGACAGAAGTGTGTGCCGGGCACTGGGAAGCCCCCCCCCCCCCCCGCCCCCCCCCCCCGCTGCCTGGGGCAGGGGTGGGTCAGGAGAGGCTCTGCGGGGACCACGATTGGGCAAATCTGGCAGATTCGTGGATTTCAGAAAAACAACTCTAAATTAGATTAGAAAATTATCCCGGTCTATTCTCAATAAAATCTTTCCAATTAAAAACTGTATGTGTTTCACCCCAGGGGTGTGTGCGCGTGTGTGATGGGGACAAGGGGGCGGGAAGGGAGGGGAGGCGGGGAGAGAGAGACCATCCCGCGCTGGCTTACAAGGTTCATCTCTCGTCCTTCCCTTGTTACCGCCCTGTCACCCGCCAGCTGCCGCAATGCCGCGCTCCTGTGACTCGCTTGGAGCTGATGGATTTGCAAATCCCAGGAAGCGCGGCGAGGAAAACCGCCGGCACGGCCAGCTTCGTGCTGGACGGTCTGTACAGCTGTGGGCTGTGACGCACGAGAGCGAGAGCAGTGGCCAGAGGTGTGAGGAGAATTTGTGGAAGGCAATGCACACGTGGGGAAATTTAACTCTTTACTATTTTATGCAAATTGGGAAAACCACTACTGCAGTTTAATAGGAAAGTATTCATCAGTAAAGAGTTTCAGAATAAAAAATAACTACCTTCTGATTCTCTTTTATATTTTAGTTCCTTTCCTGTGAATTATTAATGTCTATCGCGAGTCATTCCAAATGTGCTCCTATAGAACCACCTGTTTTTTGGAGGAAAATCACTCCAAAGTACATCTACAAGGTGGGGCAAAAGTAGGTTTACAGTTGTTTGTATGGAAACTAATACAGTAATGAACAAATAATAATACAAGAATATAAACCATTTTGTGTACCCACAACTGTGAACCTACGTTTGCCGCACCCTGTATTGAAGGGGCATACACTCTATCAGCATTACAACACAATAGCCTGAACTGCCACTGACTGTCAAGTTTTCTGAAAGGACCTCAGATAACTTGATAAATGAAGCCCATCCAGATAAATGCCAGTCCACCTACTCGGTGGACCTGGAAGGATGGATCCATGAGGCTAGGAAATGACTGTCCTAGGAAAATGCATACGTCTTTTGTCACAACCCGGATGAGGGGATTTAGGGAGTGGTTGATTGACTCCTAAAACATTCTCTACAGGGACATATCCTGGCCAAACGAGAGCTGAGAGAGAGAGGGACAGAAGGCAGATGCAGTGGAGGTAATGGCGGAAAGAAACCCCGAAGGACAGCTGCCGGTGTAGGGGGAGGGGTCACCTTCAAGGGCGGGAGGGACATCGCCTCCGCTGACACTGGGGGCAGGTGGTGAGCTCGGTGTGGGTGCAGAGGAGGCAGGAGGACCAGTCACCTGCCGGAAACGGGGGAGAAGAGGGATCCGCCCTGGGCCAGCGGAGCGCCGGGGGCCTCCCCTCCGCACCTGGAAAATGGGGGTGCTGCATGCCCCTCAAAAGGGACTGAGTGAAATACATGGACAGTGGCGCGTGCAGCACAGAGGCCGTACTGACGCTGCTGAGGATGGCAGATCTCCCCAGACCACTCCAGCCGTGCCTGCCTTTAACGCCTCTGCCCCGTATCATCGGACATACAGTTTCACAATTTTACACCGTTGCTTATTCCATGAGCCAGGCTAGAAGCCACTTGAGAGCAGGTGTTTTCCATACTTCTGTGAAGCTCCAGTTGTATTTAATAAAACACGAGGGTGCCCAGTAGAGATTTACTTATACTTGTGAATTGCACGGATTCCCTAATATTATTGAGTGTCTGCCACCATGTCACGGGCCGATGAAGAAAGTGGCAGTTACTGGTATTTATTATAAAACACACAAACTGAGAAGCCACTCATTTTACTTTATAGACAATTAACGTTCATTCTCATGATCATAGCTCCCATTTTCTAGCTGGTTTAACTTTTGTTTCATGTTTTGGTATTTTCCATCCCTAAGACTTTTCCATATAAGGGCTGATCAAGGGGGAAAATATCTATACCTGAGTGCAGTATTCGATCCTCTCCAAAATGATGGCGAAGTTGGGCCTGTCTTCAGGCTGATGTTGCCAGCACTGGGTCATTATCCTGTATCTAAAAGAAGAATGAGCACATTAATTACCATCAGGAGAGACGAGGATGAAAAATACTTTTTTCTCCCAGCCCTTTTCTAACGGGGGCCGGGGGTGGCGCTCTCTTGGAAGGTGGCAACTCCTCTAGGCCCCCTGTGGTTGGCCTCTGCTGCCCTCTGCTGATGGGCTAAGGAATCGTGCCAGGCGGGAAAGCTGTAACGCCGGAAGCTCACCCACCGGGCCCTGCTGGGTCCATTAACTAGGGCTCCTCCCATTCTGTTCCTGAATTGAAGTCAGCTCTGGAGAGGAATATTCTAGTTCTATCACCCATCTTCCTTGCTTGTGGGAAGCAGGTGAGGGATGACACAGGACAGCAGAAAACGCAGGAAATGGAAATACAGGGTGGGGCGAACGTGGGTTCACAGTTGTGAATATGTGAGACACAGAGTTTATTTCTGCGTCATGAACAACTGTAAACCCACCTTTTCCCCCCTCTGTATTTAGGGGACTCAAGTACAACGGTGCTGGGCGGGAGGGGCGGAGGTCAGGACGCGATTTCCTTGAGGAGTGTGAGCTTGGCGAGTCCAGGGCCTCTGAGGCAAAGGACGGCACCTGTTCAGGCGTGACAGAGCTTTGGGAGACTAACCCTTCTCATTGGCGTCACAGACCCGTTCCTATCTTGGGGCTTATTCAGTGAGGTCAGCCATCTGCCCTTTCATCTTAAAAACGTGTATGTGGCTGCAGATTTTTTTTTTTTTTGAAAAGGAGAATCATGTTTAGTCACTTCTAGAAATGTTCCTAAAAGAGTCGTACACAGGCCCAGGGCAGTTCTTAGGTGGGTCCATCCGTCCTCCGCTGGTGACGAACTCCAGAACTTCCTGGTTGCTTTTGCTAGGGTATGGCATGTATCCAAGAGAAAATATTTCCCACAGCAGCACTCCAAAGGACCTGCGCACAGGACGGGAGACGTGGGTGTGGGTGCCCAGACACACGTGTGGCCACACAGAGACACACACACAGATACACACGCGGACATACACAGACATAGACATGGACGTACACAGACACACACAGACACAGATGTAAAATTTTAATTGTTTCATTACACCTTTTCCACAATAGAAAATTCTTACTATGGAGAAAAATAAAAGAACAAGAAAGCCACATGTGATGCTCCATAAAAAGACAGCCACTATTAGCATGTTATTATTATTACTTTTTTTGCTCCAGTCAAGTGTCTGTGCTTAAATGTTTTTACATAATTGCACATATATTCAAATTGCAATTCTGGACCTTGATTTTTTTTTTCTTTTTGCAAATTCCATTGTAGCATGAACATTTTCCATACTGATAAGAACAATTTAGAAATAGAATTTCAAATGGCTATAAAACAGTCCACTGAGTGGTTTTGCCATAGTTTGTTTTATCATTTCCAATTTTTAGAGTATTTAAAATACTGTGATGGACATCTTTGTGCATTTTTTATTTTTTTAAATAATTTATTTATTTTTAGAAACAGAGGAGGAGAGAGAGAAAGAGAGGGAGAGAAACATCAATGTGTGGTTGTCCTTCATGCGCCCTCTTCTGAGAGCCCAGCAGCAACCCAGGCCTGTGCCCTGACTGGGAATCAAACCAGCGACCCTTTGGTTTGCAGGTTGGTGCTCAATCCACCGAGCCACACAAGCCAGGGCTCTTTGTGCATTTTTCCAAAGGATAATTTGATTAGGATAAATTCCCTGAATTTAAGATTAGACTATGCTAGTAAATTCTAAGGTAATTCTAATGAAATGATTAGATCAAAAGAATACTAATGCTGAAAAACTCTTGACACAAACTATCCACTTGACTTCTAAATGCGCCACTCTGATCATCACCCAGCATTGCCCAAGAACGCGTGAGACGCCCGCGCTGAGTACTCTTTCTGCACACAGCCGCCTCCCACTTCCTTCCGTGCGGCTCGCTGGCACCACCGGTCCTCCACTGGCTCCAGCTGCTAGTTCAGGCACTGTCCTTGCTCCCACTCTTCCCCGCCTCTCCCACATCTGGCTATCGGCAGTCCTGTTAACTCCCTACTTCCAAGACAGAGCTTAACCTAGGCACGTTAACAGCTTCCGCTGACCAGCGAGGTCTGGCCTCTCTCGTCTCTTATCTAGAAATGCGCGGTATATTCCCAATGGTTTTCCCTCTTCACCTGTCCTATTCCATTCTGTTTTCATCGGCAGCAAGTGATCCCTCCCCACCTCCCACACTTGCTTCCAGCTCCTCAGTGGCGTCCCACTGTGCTCAGAGTAAAACCCACACCCCCTCACCTGGGCCCTAAGCCCCCGGCCCTTCCCGCCCTGTCGTCTCGGCTCCCATTGGCCCTGTGCTCGCCAGCTCCTGCCGTGAAGACTTGTTTCCAACCCTCAGACTTGGCCTGGAGAGCCTGTCTCTCAGATCCTTCCACGTCAGCCTGGCTCCTCCTCCACGGAGCCTCCGCCACCGCCCTCCCCCCACCTCCACCCGCGCCCCCAGCAGCTTCCCTCCTCTGGCCCCGCCACGCCCACACGCTCTTTATCTGCTTTTTTGCCTCCATAGCACTTATTAGAATCTGAAGTTATGTGACTTGTTTGTAAAGCATTTTATGAAACAATGTAAACTTTAAAAAGGAAAAGTAACAGATGTCTATGTAACTAGATGTTAATATTTTGCCTTGTTTGTATCAGTTCTCCCTCTTATTGAAGAAATAAAATTGATACAGGCAAGCCCCACCTCCATTCTTCCTGCTCCCCTCCACTGAAATGAGCACGTATCCTTCCCCTGTATTTTTTTTTTTACAACGGGTGAAAGCATAAACAACGTTTCTATATTATACACTTAATTTTTGTATTGTAAAATTATGCATAAATAATATCCTGCCTTGCTCCCCCTCCCCCCACTAAATGTAGTTTTTGAGATTTCTCCATGTTGATGTATGTAGGTGAAGTGTATTCTTCTATACTGCTAAGTTGTTTCCTGTGATATACGAGTAAGTAAATCACAGTTTATTTATTTTTATTTTGTACTTGAGGGATAATTGGGCTGTTTTAGCTTTTCTTCTACTGTGAACAATGTTGCAAATGAGCATCCTTGTCCAAACCTGTCTGTGCCACCCTCTCTCCAACAAGACACTTAGAACCGGCCTCGCTGGGGTAGCTAGGCCTGTGTTCAGAACAATGACCTAATTAATTCCTCCCTGTGTCTGGATGGGGTAATTGGTGGAGCTCTAATGCAGGAATCACCTGGAGGGCTTGTTAAAACCACCGGTGCTGGGCTCACCCATAGAGTTTCTGTTTCATTAGCCTGAGGTGGGGGCTGAGATTTTGTTTCTAATAAGCTCCCAGGTGATGCTGATGCTGCTGATCATGGGTCTCACTTTGATATCCACCGGGTTAGGAGGAGCCAAAGGTAAAGACAGAGCTACCTTATGACCTAGCAATCTCCCTTCTGGGTAACTGTCCACGAACTCGAGTTAGTGTTTCAAAGAGGTGGCTGCCCACCCACGTCCACCGCGGCGCTGCTCACAACAGCCAAGACACGGAGACTCCCCACGCTCCCGTCAGCGGGTGAGAGGGTAAGGGACAGGTGGTGTGTGCGTGTGTGTGTGTACGTATGTTTCTTTTGATTAATTAATATAATTATTGATATTAATAACTAGCTGTCTAGATTAACACATACTAATACATACATATATTATCAATATATGTTAATACATGTGTGTACTCATAACCACACATACCACCTTTTACAATTCATCCGTATATATTTTCAGCCTTAAAGGGAAGGAAATCCTGCCTTCTCCGACCGCGTGGGTGGCCCTGGAGGGCACTACGCTGAGTGAAGTCAGCCAGACACCAAACGGGCTGTACTGCGTGAGCCCAATTTTGTGTGGAAGCGCAGAAGCAGGGAGCGGGCTGGGGTGGGGGGGTCAGGGGCTGGGGGGACGGGAGGTGGGGGGATGTCGGTCAGGGAGCTCACACTTCGGTCATGCAGGGTGATTAAGTTCTGGAGAGCTACGGTACAGTGTTTCCCAAACTTATTTTTAGTTGTAGAGGGGTCTCACCCCCATCACCAGCAGCGCTTCAGTGCTCCCCCGTTTGCTCCTTTATTCTGTTAATGTGGAGAATCTCAATGCGCAATGTTCTCATCTTAATGTGGCACTCCTGGAATAAATCCAACTTTGTTGTTATGTACCAAAAAAAAAAGGAAAGAAAGGAAAGAAATGGCGTGTGCCTCTCAGTGGGTGGCCCCTGGCCAGCAGCGTCAGCCTCACCTGGGAACTTGTAAGAAATGAAGATTCTCAGCCTGAATCTTCAACTCCCCGGCGGGGCCCAGCGAGGTGTTTAACAAGCCTTTCTGAGCACTCGGAAGGTGCCCGCCTTCGAGAGCCACTGTGGTGCGGGCTTGTGGACCCCTCTCCGCCGACCCTCCCCCTGCCGCAGGGCCTCCCTGCAGAGAGTGGGGGTCCCCCCACCCCCGCGAGGCCCGGGGAGGCCCGGAGGAGGGCAGCAGAGGGACTCACCACGTGTCTGTTTTGGACGTGAATATCCCTTCCATGAAGGCCTCGGGCGGCATCCACTTCACCGGCAGCATCGCACAGCCCCCCTTCCGGTAGTAGCTCGCTCTGTGGGGAAGGAGAGGGAAACAGAACGTGGATCTGGAGACGGCCCTGGGCAGACGCTCCGGGCCACTTGAGAAAGATCCGCCCATTAAAGGAGCGGCATTAATAAGGGGTTCTGTGGTTCGGGCGGAGAGCGAGGGAACAGAGGCCATTTGGTTAAAAACTTGGTGTCATTTAATCAGTGACAACACTGCCCACCGGAGGCATAAACGAAAAGGTCTATACAATGACTAAAATACCCACTAGAGGATGCTTACACTTACTTGTCGGGTTTCACTTGTGAGAGCTCCCAGTGAATAACATTACTCCAACCGTATAAAGGCAGCCTGTTCCCGAGGACCCACAGCAATGCAAGGGCCAAAACGGGGGCACTGAGAGCCCGGCCTTGCCTTGCTCACTTGGGCTCCTCCATAGCACCCGGGCAGCACGTGGTTCATCACAGGCGCCCAACAAAGCTCCTGGCGGCTGGCCAGGCAGCTGCCGCCCATCGCAGAGCCCCGCGGGACACAGGGCGGGGTGGCCTTCGGGGGTCTGAGTTAATGTATTCGTTTTTATCAGTGATGTCATGAAGGCGACTCACTGATAAAAACCAATACATTACCTCATACACCTTTGACACCGGCTGCGCCGCCAGCGCTGTGTTCTCCTGCCTCGGTTAATTAATTACCTTCAGCAGACACGTACTGAGTATTTAGAACGCATCAGGTACGCTGCCATGGGGTGAGCACATAGATGTGTTGTAAGGATACGGTGTAGTGGAAGAAACAGATGTAAGGACAGCTGCAGGACGGAACGCCACAGGTAATGATGTGAGGACGCAGGAAGCTCCGTGACACGGAGGGGGGATTGATTCGTTCTGCTTCAGGTGGGGCTCAGGTGCAGGAAGCGCTCCCTGGGGGGCACATGGGGCTGAGGGGTGAGGAAGCTCTCCTGGGGGCCCGCGCCTGCCCGTGGAAATGGCACAGTGCGTGTGGGGACAGTGGGGCTGCAGGGAAGTTGGGGTGTGAAGCCCAGAGCTGGGAGCTGTCCGCGCTGAGGGTGGAGAGGCGGGGCTGGCTAAGGCGCGCCGCAGCGTTTGTGTCTCGCTCCCGGGTTCCCTGAGAAGGAGGGGAAGGAACGCTGGGACTCGGACAGTAAAAGACGGCGCTGTGGTGGAGACCAGAGGTAGGTGGCCGTGGCAGGGTCATCCCTAACTCCTCGTCTCCAGGTGCTGCCCCCCTGGGGGCCCAGCATGGCGCCAGCAGCCTCCAGCCGGAGGTGGGCGCCAGTTCTGACAGACGCCTTCGGGGGTCTCCCTTGCTCTTGGAACAGTGCGAGCTCTGAGTGACCATCTCTCTCTGTCTCTGGGTTGGGGAAGGTGTGATCCATGACCGTGAGTGAGCTTTTTGGCTCAGGGAGCAAGTAACTGCAGTAAATCATTAGATGAGGTAACAGGAGATAAAGTGCAATAGAAGTATTTGTTTAATTAAACATTATTTTAGTTTTTAAATGTAGCCTCGAGATTTACAGGGAAAAAGAAAGGAGGCTGGGCTGCATACCTACGGGCTTTGGGCTGTACTCCCGAGTGTCCTGGTAACGCCGGCCAGTGAGCTGGGCCCCGAACCTGCCAGCTCTGGGTGCTCCTGCTGGGCAGGGTGGAGGCTAAGGCCGCTCAGTTCACTGAGAAACTTTTTCCATATCGTGTATCCAGGTTATTCCCTGTCTCAGCAGGTGTTAGGGTTAGAGTGTTGGAGCCAGAGAGACAACCTACTTAAGAACTTGGTGTCCGTTCCGGCAGGCAGTGTGATCCTGGATTTAGACTGGTTGGGCGTGGGCACTATTTAAGGTCTTCCATCTCCAGAATAGGACCTTAATGAAATTTTAGGCAGCAAGCTGACCAAGTGCTGGCGATGACTTAGGGCACAAGCAGCCATGTCCCGTTCTTTCGAGGGGACGGGCCGTGAGGGGCGGTAGCAGTCTCTGCTCACCTGTAGATGTCCCGGGCCATCCCGAAGTCTCCGATCTTGGCCACTCTTCCAGGGCCTGGACAGGTTAAGAGGCAGTTCCTGGCGGCAATGTCCCTGGGAAGAAAAGAAAAAAAAAAAAAAAAGAATGAGAAAATCTATTTCCTTATTTTGTTCCCGGGAAAATAAATGTGTTCGTTGCCAGGATTTTCACCTCTAATCTGAAATTCAAATGGTTCTATCTTCTGCTCTACATTTCTTTTACTACATTATACTTTGGTATAAAAGAAATAGCTATGCCAATGCTAGGCCTCAGAGCGAACAGGGCAATGGGAAATGATTAGGGAGATGATTGAAAATGTTTAATAGGATAATAACATGAAAATAACTATAATAGAAACAAGAATTTATTGGCCTTTTACTATGTGCTAAGTATTGTCCTAAGTGCTTCATATCTAATTCTCACAACAACCCAATGGAATACATGGTGCTATTATTATCTCCATTCTATTAAACAAATTAAGCTAAAAGCAGATAATATAGGGACGTAAGAAATGCCATTTGTCCTTAGGCTATTGTTTGTGCAGATTGCTGCTTGAGTTAGCATGGCTTCCATTACATCAAGTTCAAGCAGGTTAAGGTATTCCCAAATATTTATAGTTTTCTTTTTAAAATATTTATTTATTTTTAGAGACAGGGCAAGGGAAGGAGGAAGAGAGGGAGAGAAACACTGAAGTGTGAGAGACACATCAACCTGTTGCCTCTCACATGCCCCCAGCTGGGGACCTGGCCCGCACCCCAGGCATGAGCCCCGTCTGGGAATCAAACTAGTGACCTTTCACTTTGTGGGACGACGCCCAACCCACTGGGCCACATCAGTCAGGGCTGCAGTTTTCTCTTTAAATAAGCCGTGACGGCTGGTGTCCATGATCTTATCTAAAGTCTTAGCCAAGCTGTTGGCGTCATGGCTAAGTAGCTGAAGAGTGGCTTCCTTCCGGTCACAAAGCTATCCTGTCTCCTCAGTCGCCACGCCTCAATGGCCTGTCTGCCTGCAAGCCTGCCTGTAAGGCGCCATCAGAAGCTGTCCAAGACTCACCCACTCCTGCTCACTGCCCGCCTGCTCCCCACTCTTGACATGTGTGGGGGGAAGAAGGGGACAGCCAGAAAAAGTCTTGAATGGTCTCCAATAATATTAAAGTTCAGGACAGAAAAAAAGGTAGTAGTACTTGAGGGCCACAGATGGTGTTTTCATGTTTTGACTGGTTTCATGAAGGTCCTGATCTTTGGTCAAGGTCATGGAAAATAAACAGCCAGATAATATTTAAAAAAACTGGATCCGGATTGAGGACTGTGGCTTAGGATACCAGGACAACGGGCCAGGGAGGGAGATGGATGTTGCTGATGCTGTTGGCCGCAGCCAGAGGTATATCTTGAATTTTGAGGAGCAATGGTGCATAAAGTGCCCTTATAAAACTATAGAAGTATAACAGGTATGACATCAAAAAGAAGAAAAATAGCAGAATATATAGCCATTACTTCTCAAGAGAAATACAGTGAAGTAGATCAGGAACAGTATTTATGGCTCCAGCTAGGGCCTGACGTGGATGTGCATGGAAAGGTTGCTTAAAAATGTGATCTTGAATTCAAAGGTGAGAAAGTAAATATAATATCACAGAACACCCTAAGAATTGGTAGAATGACACATAATTCTTGAAATGGTAATAAACTATAACCAAAGGAAACAGATCACGTAGAAAAATGGGAGTGTGTGTATCTGGGTGGGGGGCGTTCTGCTCCGAACTCAGGAGGTGTATTTGCTGGGAGCTTGAGAGTCATGAAGCAGATACAGGGGGGCAGAGAGAGAATTAGAGGTGACATTTTTGTGGGAGTGGGCCACAGACCTCCTGGCCATTTAGAAGATGCTTTCCTAATACCACTCACCCCAGGAGAAAAGCTTGGATTGAGACGGTCAATTTCTGCGCGAAGTTGCTTTTTGCTTATAAAGCAGATCATCTGATATATTCTTGATTTATCTTTGACAATTTCATTTCTCAAAAAAGATAAAAGCAGCAACAAACTATTACTCTGGGATCAAATTCTGACCTTCAGTGACTATTTATAGATATAGGAGCGATAGAAATCTTGAGAGAATGTGATCCTGTTATCTTATTATCTCTAATAACAGAGCATTGGAAATGGTGCAGTGTATCATGGCTCTAGGGAGGCAGATCTGACAACATCAGAGGAAAGATGGATATGACCCGTCAGCCAGAGAACCTGTATGCTCGGCGACTAGCACGGGCGGACATGAAAAAGCAGAAATGATCGCGGGGAGAAGCAAAGGGAGACATCTGAAGTCACCAAGGTGACTGCACACGTTCCTCTCGGGTGAGTCCAGACTTTAAAGGGCGTGGACACAGAGGCAAAGGTGGCGGTAGCCAAGGACGAATTCCACCGAAAGCACAACCTTGTCACATCTGAGCACCAGTAAAGCCCAGAGCTGAGGTGTGTGGAAAGTTCTGGGCACAACAGAGAGGGCGAGAGCAGCAACGGCAGGACCGACTGTGGTTCAGAGCAGAGGGCGTAGCTTTGGATGGGAACGTGAAGGAAGGGCCCAGCTCCCGCCCCGCTTCTGTTGTTTCTGCCAAGAAGGGTCTGGACTCGAGGAAGAACTGAAAACGGACAGTGAAGTGACGGCAAAAGCATGAGCCAGCACGAGAGGCCGTGTCCTTGTTTTGGGAATGACTTTGGGCACCTGGGCGAGGGTAGTCCTTGATTTTTAACTTCCCCATTTTCATCAGGGAGAACGTGTGGCTTCCTGTCTGCTTACATGCTTTTCTATGTGTGACCACATGCAGCATCGTTTACTTTCTACTTTGTATTTGAGTATTCTAGTGACTAGGAATATGCCTCATCCTCCTTGAAGCTGCGAGTTAACAAATAATTTGTTAGTTCACCAGGTTGTTATTTTCTAAATTAGACGGAACTCATTAGGAAGAGCTTTGCAAAGAGCCTAATGATCTATCTGACTTTTCTGAATGGAGCTGTCCGCTGAGAAAGCCACTGACACCCACGCAGAAAGAAATCGGTGCCATCTCTGACGTCTGTAGCATGACGCGAGGGCTTGACGTTGCAGTCCAAACATCATCGAAACGCAAGGATCATGTGGAGTAGAAGTGAAGTGTAGAAGTAAATCAAATAATCATTATGCTCATTTCAGGGTATTTCAGAAACAAATTAATTTATTCAGCCAACACTTCTTGTGCCTCACTATATGCCCGGGATATGAAGATGGATAAAAGAGGGTCCTTGCCTTCGAACACCCGTAGATAAATGTGTGAAGATATGAAGTCCTTTAACTTCCCTTCAGGAGCTCAGTTTTCCAGAAGAGGGGAAGGATAAAGTGACAGAGGTCTTGAAGGATTCACTGCAAGGTACAGGCGGGGGCCACACAGGAAGTCAAGAGCAGCCCCCTGAGGTCCTCCGCACTGGTGTGGGTGTTTTGATTCCCGCTTCACATATGGGGCAAGTGAAGCCCCGATAGAGTGAGCACTCATCGGAAAGACGAAGAAAGCTGAACCCGCACTGGAGAGAACCCGCAACTATGCTCCACAGGGGGTGGTCGGGGCCCTGAGCCGCGGAAGGAAGCCGCAGAAGGGGGAGAGGGGCAGGGCACGTGACTCACCGGTGGATGAAGTGGTTTTCCTCTAAGTACTGGCAGCCACAGGCAATGTCCCGAGCCACGTGCAGAAGGTCCAGCATGGCCAGGGAGGAGGGCTGGTTCTGTGGTGACACAGAAATGATCCACTGGTGAGCAGCTTGCAGGGAAGGAAGATCTGAAACACCAGCTCAAGTGCACACAAGGCGGCCGAGCCCAGATGAGCTTGGGGTCCCTGGTGCCCTGGCGCTGGATGCATGTTAAAAAATCACCTGGACTTCATTCCTGCTTGTCCCCACTGGCTGTGTGACCTGCGGCTAATTGGTTTGTCACTCTCCGAGCCACAGCCTCCCCGTCTGCGACAGTGGAGTGGCACCCAGCCTCGCTGGATTGTGAGGAGGACTCACGGAGGGGGCGCAGCAGGGGTGCCCCTAAAGGGACCTGCGGCTGGGGGTGGGGCTGCGGGGTGGGGGGCCGTGTGTCTGAGCGGTGGGGCTCTGCAGGGGCCTCACTTGGGTCAGAAATGCCAGGTACCATGAGGGAGACAGTCCCCATTTCCTGGGAAAAAGAAAAGTAAATGTGTTTCTGAGGAAAACATTCATCCACGCTGCTGCTGCTCTCCTCGGGAAAATGCCTTCTGATCCAGCCAGAGGGGGACCCACTCTCAACTTCCCCTGGGTCTCCCTGTCCCCCCATCACTCAGGATGGCAGGGCCTTTGATGGCTCAAGTGCTCTGTGAGCCTGGCACGCTGCAGAGGCAAAATCTTCCCAGGCATTCACCCGCGGGCCAGGTTTATGGGGGCCCCCTGTCTGGGGCTGTTCAGAGCAAATTAACTGCTCTGCTAATCACTCTGCACAGAAGCGGACAGTTGGCCACCAGAGCGGGGGTGTGAGTGAGTGTGAGTGTGGTCAGGGAGGTGTGCACGGTCTGGCAAAACCGACACTTTCTCACAGTAGCCGTGCAGAGCATAGCAGGTGTGCTCCGCGCTGTTCGTCCCCATCCGGGGCAAAGGAGGGGCTGGAGTCAAGGTCCCCCCCACCATCTGCTCCTGAGGGCAGCACTTCCGTGGCACCCTCAGGCCGTCGAGGCTATGGGTGCATTCTGTCCAGTATCACAGAGAAGACCTTGTCCCCTGTTTCCCAAAGTGGGCTTGTGGGATGGAATTCGATCAGAGAGGCGTGGGAATTCTGGGGTTAATAGGTCTTCGTCGCAGGAGTGACCAGGGTCTTTGCTGTACAGTAATGCACGTTGGGGACCGAGGAGGGGGGCCTGCCACGGCTCCAGGCCTTGGCCACAGAATCCCTTTGAGCACGTGTGTGTGTGTGCGTGCGCGCGCGCGCTGGAGTTCCTTTCGGGGGCGCTGTGTAGACCGGCACCCGCCTCACAGGCGAGGAGGCAGGCCAGTGAAGCAGAGGGATTTCTTTGGTCACAGCTTCTGAGGGGCTCTTCCCAAAGGATAAAATATACAAATAAAAAACAATAATATCGACATCTAGCCTTTCCTTACGGAGCTTCTCCTGAGTCATTTAGAGAGGAAGAATCACAGGACACGGGGTAGGATCTGTTTCCCCAAGTGAAAAACAGAACAGTGACACATTTTAAAATTGATGTGGAGAAGAGCGAGAGGGAAAGACGAGGGAAGCTGCAAATGCAGAGAACGCAGCATATAAAAAGCGGCCAAAAGCCGTGTGAAAAGTGATGAGAAGTCAATGCTTGTGGGCCCTCCTCTTCCTGGCTCCTCCCATGGCTGGCTCTCCCCAGGCGCCCGAGGCCCCTTCACGCAGCTGGAGCCAACGATGGGGTGACAGGACCAGAGCCAGGGACCCAGATCTGAGCGGAGTCCACACCAGAGCTTCCCTCCTGTCCACAGTGGCCTCTGGGCTCCAAAGAGCCACTGAGCACCGAGCACATGCTCGAGCTATTCCCCACAGACGTCACCGTGTTCCTCATGCATGCAGACACCGCAGGGGGCAACGGCTGCCACCGTGAATGAAGAGATCCCTGACTCCTTAATGGCTTTTGTCATTATTGAAGGAATCAGCGGCTACTAAACGATGGCAATTAGTCCGTATCTGGCATATGATAAATCCTCAATAAATATTTGTGCAGTAAAGACAGGGTCTGCAAAAAGTTGTTTTTGACATTGAAAGGGATCTGCCTTCTTGAAAAGGTGGGGGGTCCTGGGGCCAAGGGATGTTTTCACTGGTGAGCCATGAATTTCGTTCCCCTGACAGACGTGGGCGGCCTGCGCATGCCTTCTGCCCGCTGCTCCGCAGCCTGTCGGCCGCCGCGCGCCTGTGGGTTTGCTTCCTGAAGCCAGGGCCTCTTGGACAGCCTCTGAGGTGCTTTGATCCTGAAAGCCTGTGGAACCTCTGAGCTCCAGGGATGGGGGAAGGGAGGGCAGAGATCTCATCTGTCTGCTTCTGAGTGCCCAGGCGAGTGCTTGCACACAGTAGGCCATCAGGCAGAACTTGGGGGATTCAAACAATGAGCCAGGTAGAAGTCAGGCCTTTGAATTCAGGGAGTTCCGCAGCCTGCAGGCGTGACCCCCGCGCCCCCGCCATATTCCTCCAGCCCTGAAATCCATTAGCCATCCCTCCCTCCCTTATGTGTGGGGTTTACTGATATGGGCCCCTCTGTGGACTCAAAATCACATTCTTTACTTGACCAGACCGCCACCTCACTAAGCTGGATTGTGTGGCCCCCAGAATCCATGCAGGATGCCCGGCTTCTCTAACCCTCCAGGGAGGCTGCTGCCACAAACGCATTTGCACGGGGTCCCTCCGCAGGGTTGTAATCAGACCTTTTAAATCGCCCCCCATGGAAGGTATCTCAGGAAGGACCAGCTCTCCTGGGAAGGGTAGGTGTCAATGGCAGGGGGTGAGAAGAAGGATGACAGGTGCTGTGAGACTCGGGGGCATGGTTGGCAAGGGGAGCCACAGGGAGCAAGAGCCAGGTCAAAAGTTAAGAGCGGGTTTGGTGACCCTTAGAAGGGGCTGTCCCAGGACAGTAGACTGTCCCATGGCTGTGGGCATGTCAGAGGTCAGCCCTCAGCAGCAGGCTCCTGCTCTGAGCCTCTCTCTTATGGTGGCACTGGGGGTGGGAGGTGTCAATGACTTGCCTTTCCTTCCTGGTACTTTGTTTCTCGGGACGATATTCAAACCATCTCTCATCATCAAAAGAGAGCGATGCCCCGCTCCTCTCTGCTACCCCACCCCGGCCACCGCGGTCCGTGGACTTGCCCAGGGGTGGTTCCCAGATCCTTCCGGTGCCTGTACAGTCCTTCTCCTCCGGCCCCAGGAATGTCCAGCGGGAAGACCAGAGCCGTGCCTCTTCCCAAAGTTTCCGCCCAGTGTCCCCCGTTTGGCCTCTGCCAGAAGCACCGCTGAGACTCTCAGGGCACAAGGAAGCCTCTGCCTTGGTGGGTGGTAATGGAATAGCCACTGAGGCTGGTGCTCGGACCCGGGCAGACAAGGCTGCCTGGCTCGCAGAGCTGGCTCGTCACGACCCGGCCTCGCCGTGGCTGGCTGTGACTTCCCGAAGAGGGTCACTGGGAAGAGGGCACAGCGGGCTGGAAAAAGCACTGCGCGGGACTCGTAAGCCCTGAGTTCTGGTCCCAGCTCCTCCACTTCCTGTGTGGGCCTGGCAAGTCACTTCCTCTCTCTGAGCCACAGTTTTCTCGTCTGTGAAAGATCTGTGCTGTTTACTTCCCAGAGTGGCTTGGAGAAAGGTGAAAGCTGATGAGGGCTGTTAGGAAGTGGGTCCCTGCGGGCGTGCTCAGGAGCACACACACACTCATCGTTTCAAGGAGCTGGATGGGATTCTTAGCTGTCAAGATGGGCCACTTGGACTAAGATATTCTCAATGGAGCCTGGCCTGAGGAGGGGACTGGAGCAGGTGTGACCTTTTGGGGTTTCTGCTACCACCTGGAGTCCCTGAGAGCAGAATGCTCCATCCCCGGCTTTCTGTAGCAGGTGTCTATCAGTCTTCCTGTTTTCCTGGGTGTGGGGAGGGCGCAAGTCTTCCCTGTGGTCCTCACAGTCCAGTGGCAACTCCAGGAAGCCAGGCCCGGCTCAGGGGTCTGCTCTGCTCCGCTTCCTGGTTCTCAGGGCCTCCTGAAGACCCAGCGGCAGCAAGAGTGGGTGGCTGGGTTCTGGGTCGGCCTAGTGCGCTGCGCTTTGTAACTCAGAACCACGTCTGAGACGTTCCAGCCCAGCCCCTGGAATTCACGTTGCAGACACTGAGGCTGGAGTGGGCAGTCTGAGCCACGTGTTGTCTAGTGGCCAAGCAGGGCTGGGGCATGACATTCCTGGATCCACGTAGGTCTCTTCACTGTCCACAGCTCTAGCCCTTCCTAAATATTTAATCACTTTGATAGTAAAACTACAAAGTCAGATGTCACCATTTGAGAAGTGACAGTGAGGTCCAGAACAAGTAGATATAGACTGGCCCGTCCCACCTCAGCTGTTTGGGTAAGTGACCTGGCTGGCATGAATGTCCCTCTCTGTGCTTGTCCCAAGTTTGGTTTTCCAGGATCAGCCAGGCATAAAAATGGACCCAGGCTGGAGAACGCACTGCACAAGCCTTGCGTGAGCTCCCAGGGCTGTTGTCCCCATTTTGTTCATTCTCCCCTGGCCATTCCCCCAGATCTGGGCCCAGGGGCTGACTCCCTGCCCCCTCCCCACCAGTTGCTTCCCAGGATGCCCATTCTTGCTCCTCCCACCCAACTCCGTTCCTTGGCACAAGCGCTGGGGGGAGGCTGGGCCTCACTCACCGGGCGGGGGCGGGTCTCCCGGAGGAACGACTTGAGGTCTCCTCCTGCCATGAGCTCCAGCAGGATAAACCGGGGCAGGGCCTGAAGGCTCACTCCGATACAACGCACAATGTTCTGGTGATTGAATTTGCTGCAGAGCAGACGGGAGGAAGCAAATGTAACTGAGCCGAGTCTGGGAGAATCTTAAGTGGTGAAAGCAGAATACAAAGTCATGTTTTCAGCAGACACTTTAGGTAAATGCACTCTGCAAACACTGGTGGCAGGGCGCAGGCCTGCTGCGCGGACCAAGGTGGGATGGCTTCCCTCATGTTAGGGGCACGAGACGTGAGAGCGGGCAAAAACCAGCACGCTCTATTAAGCAGGGAAAGAGAACGAATGGACTGCGTAGCAATGCCGGCTGAAGGCAGAGTGGCATTAATTGAATTATTAGGCCATAGATATTTTTTCTGAGATGACCACGTGGGGCCGTTCCACCCTGGTAAGGCAGGCTAAGGATTTGGGGGAGTCTCCTGCCGAAGAGGGAGAGGCATGCTGGCGACATCTGTTAGAAGCATCTCCGCAGGGCAATGGGGTGTCTCTCCGGGACTACCTGATGATCAGCGCTTCCATGAGGAAATCCAGCTCATCCTGCTCGGAGCACACCTCAGGCAGCGTCTGTGCAGAGGGGAGAAGGCCGTTAGCTGCGGGAGCAAGGGCTCCAGCAGAGCGTGCGGCCGGCAGAGGCCGCGGGCTGGGGCCAGGTCCTCGAGGGAGCCCCTCTTACCTTTACAGCCACTTGCAGGGGGCTCGGGTCGCTGGGCATTCCGGACACCTGACCTTCATACACCTCCCCAAACGCACCATGGCCCAGGCCCCTGCGCAAAGGAGAAGGCAGGAAAAGGCGCGATGAGGCAGAGGCCGGCCGGCCTGAGAAAGGGGTCGGGCACAGTGAGTGGCCGCCCACGAGAGACTGGGGGGACAGGCACACAGGAGCTGCACCCTCGGCCTGGCTTTGCCCCTCAGTCCCAACCTCCATGGCTTTATCTGAAAGCTGGCAAGACATGCTCCAACTTGAGATCCATGACAATGGTTGAACATCCCTCAGGGAAGACTTGAGTCTCTGATATTTGCCAGGGACACAGGAGTGACTAAGACCTGGCCCTCGCCCTGCAGGCTCACACTCCCTGCGGAGGAAGGCACCCGTCTGGGGCAGACACTTCGGTGGCGTTGTGCACTCAGTGAGTGGCAGACATGCGCAGAGTGCTCTGGGAGCTCAGGTTGGTGGGGTGGTATTTGGCTCCAGCAGGAGGAGGGAGGAGCCAGGAAGGCTCAGGGAGGGGTTACTTGTGAGGATTTTGAGGTGTCCTGGTTCCTCCCATCTAGTCCTCCTCTCACTCTGCAAATCCCATGAATACACAGGGTGTTAAGTGATTAAATACTTGCCAAATGGCCCTGAACACAAAGCCTTCTCCATCTGGGAGGGTCGCAGCTGGGCTGGCCTCCTGTGCCTAGAGGAACCAGTGGTGCTGAGGTGACATCCAGGCTTCCAGAACACCCCCTTCCCTGGAAAGATGGCATGGGCGCTCACCGAATGAGGGTGATGTTTTTCCGAGGCACCTCCTTCAGGTCGCTGATGGAGGAGGTCTTGCCAGCAAAGCAGTAGTTGGGGTTGTAGTCAGTCATGATGGTTGAGGTGCGGAGCTTGCTCAGCTTGTATTCGGGGCTCTGCAGTTCCATCTGCATTGCTTGCAGCTCCTGGTGCTTCCGGCGGTACACTGCAGACAGGGGGAGGTCAGCTTCAGTGTGGCCAGGCAGCCTGGCCCTTGAAGCCCAGCTCAGGCCACCTCCTCCAGGAAGCCCTCCTGGATCTCCACCCCCTCTTCTGAGATCAAAACCCTTCCACCACACTTGGTAATGCTAACAAAATGATTATAGATGTGAATGTGTACTTTTAATCAAAAGGTTATTTAAAGTAAAGGTAAAGATTAAAATCATGTAAGTGGAAAAGATTTTACTGTATCATACAGGGGCAGAGACACCTTAGTTTGCGTCCTCGGAGAAGGAGACCCAAGACAGGATTAATGTGCAAGAATCTCTTTAGGGAAAATGGCAAGAGGAAACGAGGAAGGAGCCCGGAAGGCCGGGAGAACTGTCAGGCTGTTGAAAGTCCAGCCCCGCATGCGGGAGGGTGAGGGAGGCTGAGTAAAACCCTTGATGGCCATGCAGTCTAAAGACGGTCCTGCAGGGCTTTTGGGACATTCTGGGGCCACGCTGGCCTTCAGAGGCGTCCCACGTCTCCCAGGAACAGGATGCTCTGGCGTCCCTGCTGTGCCCAGCCTTTGGGACGGGCACATGTGGCAGTGGACTTGAGAGCGGCTGGGCTTTCGTCACCTGTGCCTCCTGTGGTTGGAGAACTTCCAGGGCGAACAGGTCCCTAAGCTGGCACATAAACTGGCGCCTGAGGGCCCGAGTCTTAACTTCACCTTGGTCACTTACAAGCTGAGTGACACTGATCAGGTCTTGTGACCTCTTTGGCCCCCAGCCCCCTCTGTAAGCAGGGAACGGAGCTCCTGCTCTGTCCATTGAGCCTCTCCACCCCTCCCCGTCCCCAGTGCCTGGGGGGTGTTTTAAGAAAATAAACTCACCACTATAAAATGGTTTTGAAAAATTCCAAAGAGCTCTACCAATGCAAGGGACCATTAACCCTGTTGTCACACACGTGGGAACACTCTGTAGGCCCCCCGTGGGAGGCAGCACGAAATCGTGACTCATGGGGCGAACTCTGCCTTTAAAGCCCAGCCTCGCCCCCTCCAGGTCGGGGCGAGTGAGCCAGCTGCTGTATGCTGAGCTTCCTCCTCTACCTGGTGAACTAAAATGTGTAAACCTGGCATGTAGTATGTGTGCGACACGTGTTAGCGCGTATCATCCTGTCCTTTGAAGGAGGCGCCGTGTGGGAATTACACCTGCTGCCCTCTCCCTGGCCGCTCCCAGGATCCCCTGCTCCGAGGAGGCTGCTCCAAAAGTGCTGCCCCGAGCCGAGCTTTTCCCTCTGCCCTCCTGCCTGAGCCTGCCCACCTGCCCTGGGCGTTTCCAGAAGGAGGAGCCTGGCTGCACCCTGTGAGCCCCCTGTGATCTACCGATCAGCTTGCCTCAGCTCACAGACCTAACAGGAAACACTCACAAACCAGCCTTGCATTCTCTGCTTGTTGTGGGGAAGCAGGGGGCTGGGGGTGTCACACAGGGAGTGAGCCCAACTAGGGGAAGTCCTGCTGAAGCCCCTATCTGGTGGGAGCTGGAAGGGAAGTCTGGGGGTGGGGCTGCGCTTGAGCTATGGCGCCCCCCCTGCAGAGTGTGCCCCCTACCCTGCCCCAGGAGCTCATTCACAGGGCTGAGATCTGGGATCAGCGGCTCCCAGGGACCCCAGGGTCTGGGCTGCCCCAGTCGACACCCACGCAGAGGGACACCTCAGGTCTGTGGCAGAGCCTGAGGCGCTGTCCTGCTCGGCCAGGCCTGCCCTCCTGCCTCCCTTGGGAGCCCGGGGGCTGAGGCGCACTCACCGATCATGATGCCGGAGAACGCCAGCACCAGGGCGGCCACGAGTGCCGAGGTCACAATGGAGAGGACCAGCGAGAGCGGCAGGTGGGGCTCTGGGGTGGGTGACGCTGGAAGACAGGGCCCCCACAAGACACCCATCACTGCGCTGATTCTCCTGTGAGCTGACGGGAGCCAGAAACGCCCTCCCCAGCCAGGACAAAAGCCGTCTGCTCCTCTCATGCCTGGAAACCTCGCCCACCCTTCTGTTTAGAGGATCAGGCGCATAAAGCAGGCTTGTCCTGGTTCACAGCCTTCAAGAAACATGGAATGGGCCTAGATATAAAATTCTAGACTTTAATTCAAAATATCTACCTCACGATGAAGGGATAAGGATAAAAGGTGAGCCAACAGTGGCTTTTGAGAGAGACTCAGTGGCTTTAGGCGGCAGTGACCTCAGTCTGACCCAACAACGGTCTGTGTCGGTCGGTGACAGTCTGAGCTGAATTGCTTCCTGGGGCCCCGGGATCCCGGGGCCCAGGGCACAGGAGGGAGGCTCCCAGCGCCACACTGCCGTCAACCACACTGTGGGATCATGCCTGGTCCAGGCACTGCATTTCAAAAGGGACATTTGAAACACCTGCAGGCAGGGGACCCCAGGATGGAGAGGAGACATTAAACTGCGTCCTGCGTGAGTGGACTGAAATGCAAGGGTCACGAAATCTGGAGAAGGCGTCCCGGTGGAGGACACCCTTGACAGGCTGTGGGCAGTGGGACCCGAGGAGCGGGGGCTGAAAGGAACGGGCCCGGAGGAAGCGCGGGCCTTAGGCGGTCCGCGTCCCTGGAACGGGGGGCGTCCCCGTGGAGACGGAAAGGCCCCTGGGTGGGGAGGTGAGCGTTCATGCCCTGGGTCAGGGGTGGGACTAGATGACTTCAGACTGGGGACCGACGGCCCCTCTTTTACACTCTGCCTTGTTGTCAGAGCATTCGTGCTGGAGCAGATGACGGCGGGGCGAGGGTAGTTCGGAAGTTTACAAAACTGCGTCCAATGTCTCCAGAACCACGGAAACCAGCCGTGGCTCAGTCTCTGCGCCTGCACTCCCATCCCCTTACCAATGCAAGAGACACCGTCCTCAGCCAGCACTGTCCCGTGGTCACAGAAGCAGATGATCTTATGGCTCTCAGGGTCCATGTGGCACTCATCTACCTCACAGTGGCTGCAGTTCAGGTAATGCTTAATGTTCACTTCCCCGTGGCCTTCCATCACTGTTGACAAGAACGAAAGGTCAGCCTTGGGCGGAGCCTGTGACAACGGCCCCGCGCCCCAGCCCAGCCCCTGTGCTTGTCTCCAGCTGGTCAGTGCGGGTTCTGGTCCCCGTCCCCACATCCCAGACGTTGCAGCACGGCTCTGTGCAGGAAAGTCCCCGGTGCACCTGCTGAGTGCAGTTCAGGCAGAGGACATTTGGCTACATTTACGGAGCTGGGTGGGAGCATCCACACGCCTGGCCCCTAAGTTGGCTGCCACAGGTACAAGCCCTGTTACTGTTGCCTTTTCTAGGACCAGCCTGCCTGGTGGCCATCTTCTGCCTCTGTCCACATGAGATCATGCCTCCTGACTTCTAGAAAACTGGCTGAGGTGACACCAGGCATCCTTGCCTGCAAGCGGCCCATGATCATGCCTTTGCGTCCTGCCCTCATGCCCGCAGCTCCGACGCTTTAGCTGGGCCGAAGAACTGGCCTAAGGAAGTCGGTTCCGCACCTGGCAGAGGGGGTACCTTTTAAAGCCGGGGTATACAGGATGCCCAGGGGACTGATGAAGGACACCCCGTCCTCCCCGTCCATCTCAGGGTCATTGTTGGAGGCTGCGTTGCCGCCTGTGGCAAACCAGAGAAGAGTTTAACGCAGAGAGGTGGGTGCCCAAGTCTCAACACGCGTGCGCATCAGCGGGCCATGCAGTGGGGTCAGGGAGGCGCCTGGAAGGGCGGGGTGACGGGGAGGGAAGGGAGGCTCAGGGCACAGGGGCTGCGCGCGGGGCTTGGCTCGGTGGCTGCTGGATGTGGGGCCACTTTCCTCTCCAGGGCCAGGCCAGCTCCCACGCGGGAGTCCCCACTCCACTGGGGCCCCTTAGGAAGAAGTGCGTGTGAACGAGGGCCGCAAACGTTCCAGTCTCCCCAGGCTGGCTAGCCCCGCGGGGCCTCTTCCGGGACTGGCCAGGGCAGTGGCACTGAGGAGTTGCTCTCCAGTCCCGCCGGGTAGGGCTTGGGACATGGGGGTCGGGCCCCTGTGCCTTGAGGCTCCTGTCCCTCCTTTCAGCTGGGGCTGGGTTATCTCTGGGCGCCCCCCAAGGGCTCCACCCACCCACCCACCCACCCAGGGCTTGGAAAAGAAGAGCATCTGGTTAAGGCAAGCAGCTCACACAGCGTAAAGCAAAACACAGACAGAGCATCACAGTGCGTGCATGCATTGTGTCCTAGTCTGTGGGGACGGTGGAGCCACCGTTTCCCAGCCGCTCAGCTTCAGAAGGCGTTTGTGCTCTGCACTCGCGCAGAGGAGAGCTGGGGCCCGGGGGCCGGCTGCTGGCTGAGGGGCTGGGCTGGGCGCGTGGGTGCCCGCAGTTGCCCTCCCGAGCGGTGCCCATCAGCACGGCGAGTGGCGTTCTGGAGCTGGTGGGCTGGGGCAGGGAAAGGAAAGCGAGGGGTCCTTGAGGCTGGAAGCCGCAAACCAGGCCCTTAGGGGGCTGGCTTGGCAAGGACGTGGGCCAGGCCATCCCAAGGGAGGCAGGCGGTTGAGGTCTGGCCTCCGAGGTTCTCAAGCCAGCACATCCTTAGGGTGGCTCAGAGAAGAGTCTGGGAAGCCAAAGCCTCTGTATCATCGACTTGGGGGTGATCAAGAACCACGTGGGATCTTGATGCCGTCACTGTTGAAGCCTCGAGGAAGGATGCTGGCTCGCAAGCCAACGCCCTGCCTCTGGCTGGTCCCCAGGCTGAGCAGAAGGCGTGCACAGTTACATCACAGTCCACACGGGGCGGCCAGGGGTGGGCAGGCGAGGGCTGGGAGAGGGCGGGGAGGGGGTGCCTAGGACTAAGAGGGGAGGGAGCGACACCTTGAACACAAATCATCTTTACCTATATATCCTCCGCCTCCTCCACCTGAGGAGCACCCCCCTCCACCCCCTCCGAAACCCCCTCTTGTCTCCCACCCCCACTTCTTCATGGCCTGGGGGCAGGAATGTCCTCCGGTGGCCCCCTCCAGCAAAGATTTTCCAGACCAGAGCAAGGAAGTGTTATCATTCCAGCCACCTCCACCACCTGCGGGGAGAGACGTAGAAAACTATAGTGAGGTTGCTGGCGGGGTGAGGTCCGCCGCTGAGCCTGGCAAAGGAAGCAGGACTCGTGCGCTTTGAGGGGGCCCAGGGGCCCCGTCTTTAGTGGGGCCCGGGAGCTGGGGTCCATAGCTGGAAGACCAGGAGCGTGGCCTTGGTCCTAGAGAGGCCGGCCTTGGCTGCAGCTGAGTGTCCTGGTGGGCACAGGCCTTGTACCACTGCTTCCTGTCAGGCCTCGGGCTCAAAAGCCCTGAGAGCGCTGGGCCAGGAGTGCGGCGGGTGAGGGACAGGCAGCCCGGTGACTCAGCTTGTTCCTCTGCCTTCTCTCCATGTCCACCGACTCCTGAAGAGCTGGGCCTTCCCTTTGTTAGCTGCTTCCCATCTCAGCAAGAACCAGGGCCCACCAGGCCCCGGGCAGCCAGATGCCGAAACCCTGCAGAGGTGCTGCTGAGAAGCTCCTTGCAGGAATCCCGGACTAGGCACCAGATGACCCAGCGGGCTTTATTGTTTCCTGGGCAAGAACCTCCATGTCCTGAGCCTGTAACTTGAGGATAATGAGACTCACCCCAGCAGGTTGCCACTTGGATCAAAGGAGACAGTGAGGGTGGGGAATGCTTCATAAACCACCAAGCGCAGGGCCCACTGGGCCCTTGGGAGGCAGGGCCGGTGCTAGCGGGGTGGGTGGGGCCTCCCCCTCTGAAGCTCAGGCAGTATCTCGCCTGCCTGCTCCCGAGAGGCTTCCCTGAGGCCAGGAGCGGAGAAGGCGGGGGAGGGGTGATGGATCCGCTGGTGGCAATGGCAGCCACCGTGGCTGTGCTGCTCAAGGCCTGGGGCTGCTCTGAACTCGTGCAAAGGAGGTACTATTGACAGAGCTGAGGTGGAACTGACCACGGTAAATGTTTCCTGCTGGCTCTTGAGATGCCAGGACCTCCCCCGCACCGTGTTGTCTCATATGGTATCGCGGCAGGCAGCCTGCTCCCAACAACCCCAGAGCCCTTTCGGCTCCTGCAGATGATGGTGGGGGGCCTGGAGAAACAGCAGTTCATGGGTCTGCTGGAACCGAGAGGGTTAATGGGCCTGGGAGGTTCTGCTGGACCCCGAGGGGCTGTAGAGGGAGGCTGGGGGGTGGTGTGTGTAGGGAGGTGAAGTGGGGGTGCTGTGGATAGAGATGACTATTATTCTCCAAGGCAGGCGCCAGGTTTCAGGCAATGAAACCCGGGTGAGGAACAAGCTTGGGTCTGGCATGGGGACACACAGAGCCAATCAAGGCCCCCAGGCAAGTTGTGGGGACCTTTTGCCACCTTTGGAAGTTACAGGGGTGCTTCGGCTTCAAGTGGCTGGTCTCTCTTCTGTCAGCCGTGGGTGGGGTGTGGGCCTGCCGTGGCTGTTGATGTCAGGTGGCAGAGGGAGGGCCCTGCTCCATGGGGGGACCCGCAGTGAATTCAGGAAGCTGGCCGTGCGGAGCCTGAGTGCAGTAAATGCACCCAGACAAGCTGGGCCTGACGCCGCGTCCGCCGCCTTCCCCTGTCCCGCTTCCTGCCCTTGCGTCCTTTCTGTCCCTTACTCTATCTAGCAGCCTTCAAGCAAATGCATGGGAAAGAAAATACTGGACATAAAAATAAATCAACAGCAATGTGTTTTTTTAAAGGATTGAGTTGGAAACTGTTTAGCTGTGTGAGAAAAAAATCTACCAACTTTCTGTGAGCTCACTGACTCTTGCAAAATGGGAATAATAATATCTTTCTGGAAAACCCTACAGGATTGCTTTGAAAAGCATACGTATAATAGATGTGGAAGTGTTTTTGAATTTATTAAATCTGTACCGATGTAAGGAGCACTATAAATCTTGCGAGGGGTAATTCTTCACTGTCGACCCAGTAACAATTTCTACTTTCTTCTATCCCTAGTCATCTCTTGATTAAAGGGGAAGTTTGAGTATTGGCTTTAATTAATCTCAAATGATAAATGCCTTCGAAGATCCTCCCTTGCTCTGATTGTGGAGAAAATACAAACACGAACCTCATTTTCTCTTTTGGGATGGCTGATTTTGGAAGAATCAGAGGACCCACATGCCCTGTTTGTGTGGCTGGCTCTCACTAACCAGCACAGAGAGCCAGCCACCTGGTTCTCCAGAACGGGCTTCTCCAGTGAGGAGCCGAGGGAGCTGCTGCCCTGGGCCTGGAGGAGGAGCGCGGGGGTGTGGGGGGCCTGGCTCCGCCCAGGGTTCTCCCATCCGCTCGCCTCCAGTTGCACTCGGGAAAACCCCAGACCCGGGGAGGGCTGGGCTGGCTGGCTGGGTGCTGGGGCCTCTCTCATTTTCTCAGTGACCTTCCGCAGGCCCAAACCGCCCGTCAGTGAGGTGGCCTCTGGGGCCCAGGGATGCCGCCTGCCCTTCCTCCCTGGGTACCTGTCCCAGAGCGCCCGGCCTCTCAGGTGCTGGTAACTAAGGTGCCCAGAGGTGTGGGATGGCCCCGCTCAAGCAGGAGAAAGTTCTGGGCCAGCGCTGCTGTACCTGCGGCTCCGGAGTAGCCGTTGAGTCCGAGAACCGAGGAGTTATTCTCCAGTCTCTCGGGGTGGAACGTGTCCATCTTGGCCCCGTAGGCCCTGCCACCACCGCCAGCTGCAATGATCAGAGGCACTGGCACGCCGTCCTTCATCTGGCCGGAGAGACAGTCAGAGATTGACAAACCGAGCCGGACTTGCACTCTGGAGACCCCAGAGCCCCGGTCTAAATGGTTAAGGTGTCCGAGTCTTTGCTCGGCATGGGTGACATCTTGGTGGCCTGGGGGACCTGAACTCGTGCTACAACAACCCAACAGCTCGCACTCCACCTGCTCCCTCCCCGCAGCTCCTGTAACATCCAGGGCTCCATCAGAGAGAAAAACCACTTGTGGGTTCAACCCTAGAGGCTGCTCATGTGGCCCCTTTCCTGAAGCTTTGGAGAGGAGCCTCAGAGGTTTGGGTGCTGGAGGTAGAGCAGGCCCCTTTGCTCTCTCCTCCCCTCCACTCTGGGTCTCTGGCTCTGACCCCCACAACCTCGATATTAAGCCCTCAGCGTCGCTGTCCCTGTGGGAGCAGGGCCTAGCAGGGAGCCTTTGCCCTCAGTTTCTGGCCTGGCCTTGCCGAAGCCAGACAAGCCCACCTGAGGGCTGGGGAGGGCAGGGCGGGCCCCCTGGTGGTGAGTCGGGTGGGTGCCTCAGCAAGAGAAGAGCCTGCCCTTTCTTGGACAGACAGGGAGCCCTGCATCTCTCTGGGTCTTGGTTTCCTCATCTCCAAGTGGCACGAAGTGGCATTTGGGTCCCAGGGCTGTTGTGACGTTCCAACCCCATGACACACGGAAGTCACTGCCCTTGAGGGCCTGGCACAGTCCATCTCACCTTAAATACATAGGTGGCTCCGCCTCCTCCTCCACCCCCTCCTGCCCACTCGTGCACGCTCCTGTTCACACGGATTTCTTCTTCGATCACGTTGTTCTCGCCAATGCAGACTTTCTGGATTAATTGGTTTGTCTGTAGAAACAAAAAGCACCTCAGGTTAGTGTCCACATTTCTCTACCTTCTAGCAGACAGATCCCCTATGTTTAAAGGCAGGGTCTATCTCTCAAATAGCTTACAACTGAGTTGAAGAGACCAAAAAATACACCCAGATAACTGTCATTCTGGGCATTATTAGAAAAGGACCACAAGGACAGTTTAGTTAGCAAATGCATGGGAAGTTGGGGGAGGGAGGGTGAGCCCTTGCTGCCAACTGGTGGTGACCAGGGAAGACTGCCTGTAGGAGGTGGCATTTACATAGGTCCTGAAGAACAGGAAGATTTTGTTTAAAAAAAATTAAAGCACATTATATTAGTTTCAGATATACAGCATAGTGATTTGACATTTATCTGAGGAAGTGATCACCATGTTAAGTCTAGTAACCATCTGTCATCATACAAAGTTATTGTGATATCAGTGAGTGTATTCCCCAGGTTGTAAACTACATCTGACAGAGAGATTCTTAAACACAGAATGGGAGAAAGTTCGGGCACCTGAGGGAGAGAGGAGCATGAACCTAGAAGGTGAGTCGGGTGTTTGGGGGGGAAAGCCAAGGAGTCTTTTTGGCTCAGAAAAGTCCATCTTAGGGCAGGGAGATGGTTCCGAAGGACCTGTAAGAGTCCTCTGGCCTCTGAAGAGGGGGTGACTGAGGGCCTAAGTGGGGAGATAGGTCTGGAGGGAGCGTGAGCGGGGGCAGGTGGAAGGCCTTACACGGGACTGTGGCAGGGGCCTTGGACACAGCCCGAGAAGGAGATGGATGTCATTCTCTAGGCAGCGGGGAGTCATCGAGGTGTTTAAGGAAGCCGCAGTCCTGATGCCTCAAGGAAAGAGGAGAGTGGGAGGCCAGACTTGTATTATATTCCCAGTTTATCTTTGGCAAAGTCGTTTCTTCCCTTTGGGCAACTCATTCCTCCCAGCTAATGTCCCATTTCTTGCCTCCAGAACCCCCCTGGCATAGCCCTAAATAGAGATCGCTGTGTCTGCCATGGAGAATGGCATGAACCCTGGAATCAGTGGGACACCCCTAAACAACCGTGGAGGGGGCGCTCGACCTCTCTGACCCACATGTGTGGAATGGGAGTGAAGACACCACAGGCTGTGGGTAGCCAAGGACGGTGTCTAGGATAGTATCTTGCACGTGTCAGGGACTGAATAAATGGCTGCTGTTTTATTTGGATTCACGCTTGAGCCCACGCATGGGGCTGGTGGGAGCCCAGGCACCTGGGAGTCCCAGGGGTCGTGGAAATTCCTGAGACACAGATCCCGGAATCCCTGTATAAAGGGGGCAGTGCTTCAAGAACAGCCGCCCTGCTTATTGGCCGCAGCTCAGATGAACTCTGCAAATGTCGGCTGACCTCAGAGGAAAATGACTTTTCTTTTACTTAATAGAAAAAAGGCCAATAAAACATCACATTTCCATCGAATGCTGCTGTGTAACCAGCCGGTGGATGTGGCAATTCATCTTTAGCCACTCCTTATGCTAAAGCACTCAGGGGTGCCGGCAATGAGTACTAAAGAAATTTCCAGATAAATAGCTGAGATGCAATTTGTTTTATGGCATTTTGGATTTAATGACGGAAATAATTTGATATTTTTCAGAGCGGATTTAGTGTGGGTGGAAGGCTGCGAATTGTTATTATAGAAAGCTGACATTTGTCCTGCATGTGCGGTGCCTTCCAGGGCTGGGGGTCGGGTGCCGTGGGTGGGGGGCTGCGGGAAGGAAGCCCTCATAACTGCTGTCTGGGGAGGGCATGAAACGCAGGAAGCATGCGGGAGTGAACCCCGGGTCAAGGGACGGAAATGTGGCTGTCAGCTGGGCAGAGCAGAGCACAGAAAACGGGCCCGTTTTGATTGACAGGCTCCGCCGGAGATTTGCTGAGCCACACTAGCCCAGGCCCCTCACCTCTCAGACCCTCCTCCTCCTCTGTTAAGCAGAGGGCTGTCCAGCACACCCCGCCCCCTCAGGCCCTACTCCCTCTCTTAGGGCCTCTGGCCCTGGGGGTGCCCCTTCCTACGAACAGCATCTGCAGATGCCTGGAGGCTGCGGCCTTGGGCTGGACAGTGGCCTTTGTGTAACTAGAGGCCAGACTCGTGCTCACCCCCTGCTGCCCCTGCCAGGCTGTCTCCTTTAAACTGGATGGGGGGCGGGGGATGGGAGATGGTCGACTTAGCTTCTTGCTGATCAGTCTGCATCTCGAGAGACTCTGCCAGTAGCAGGATGGAGCTGATCGCTTCTTCATAACATAGTTTCTTCTCCCTGACCCTCTTGAGTTTCTTCCCACCTCCCTGGCTCCTCCTCCTTAGCCTCCTTGCTGGTTCACCTTCTTCTCCCCGCCGGGGTCCCCAGAGCTCAGTCCTTGGTCTTCTCAACCTGGACTGCTCCCTAGGCCATCTCTTCCTGTCTTGGCATTATGCTGGTTTCTCCCAAATTTGTGTCTCCACTCTAGACCTCTCTCCTGAGTTCAGTGAAGTCCCCTCCTGTTGTCCACCGAAGTCCCTGTTTGGCTGCCTCCCAGACAGAGCTCTGAGACTCAGCATGTCTGACACCAGCCTCCTGATCTTGCCCCAAACCTGCTCCTTGCACAGCATTCCCCAGCCCAGGTGAGGGCGGCTCCCTCCTTCCAGCAGCTCGGGCCTGGTTCTTAGAGCCATTGGGGTCTGCTCTTTCTCTCAGTTCATCATCTAATCGAGCAAGATATCCTTTTGGATTTTACATTCAAAATATGCCCAGAATTTGACCATTTTTCACGAGGGCCGCTACCATCCTGGTCCAAGCCATCATTGCCTCTTGCTGGGATTAATGCCATAGCCATGGAACACAATCCTCGGCTCTCCCCTCGGGCCCGTGTGGTCTGTTCCCTACTTTGCAGCAGAAGGGGGCCTTTAGATACCAAAACTGCATCAGGTCACTTCTCACTACGCTGCTCAAAACTCTCCTATGGCTTAAACTTGACGTTTCAGTGGCCTCATCTGGTGCCCATTCCCTCTGACCTCATTGCTCACCTGCCCTCCCTCTTGCTTCCACCTCAGGGACTTGGACACCCCAGATATTTCCCTGGTTCAATCCCTCACCTCTTCCGGGACTCTGCTCAAGTGTTGTTTTTTCTAATAGGCTTTCCTTGAGCACCCTATTCAAAATTGCAACCTGCCCCCAACCCTGGCATGTCTAACTTCCCTTACCCTATTTCTATACACTCTGATACTTTCATGGTTGGGCACCCTGATTAACTTATAAACTGATGAACTACTTATTGCCTGTTTGTCCCTCCACGCCCCTGACATGAATGTAAGCAAAGATATTGAGAACAAAGATATTTCTCTTGTTCATGGATATTTTCCAAGTTCCTAGAACAGTGATGGGCATGTAGTATGTATTCAACAAATATTTGCTGAATACGGTTGAACAAAGTGGGTGCACATGCTGGCCCCTTACGATATTTGCATGGTGAGCGGTGGTAGGGGTGAGATTTAACATTTAGATCAGTGGTTTTGCTCCCTCGGGGACATTTGGAAATGTCGCATGCATTTTTGATTGTCATAAGTGGGGGATGCCGCTGGCATCTGGTGGGTAGAAGCCAGGAATTCTGCTAAACTGCCTAGTGCGCACAGGATAGCTCACACCTCCAAGAATTACCTGCTCCAAAATGTCAATAGTGCTGATGTCGAGAAACCCTGGGTCACGCCACCAGTTCAGCCTGGGAAGGAACTGGAGGAGCAGGGGCTGGGGATGTGTATGAGGGGCTCCCAGCAGCTGGAGCCCATTCCAGGCCCAGCGTGGCCAGGCACACACAGGGAGAGCGACTCTGCATGGATGTGCAGCTGAACCAGCAGAGCTGCCAAATCCTGCAGTTCACTTCTTAGAGTCCACTTTGCCTTCTGGAGCACCCTCTCTAGACACCATTTTGGAAAATTCGAGATTGAGGTGGTGCCTGTAAACAGTCTTTCTTTCTCCTTCTCCCAGTGACTCCTGGGGGTTGGAGGTGGGGAGCAACAGGGAAGACCAATTCCTTTCCCCAAGCCCATGCTATGCCCGGTCTGACCAGCAGAGGGGGCTGCCCCCGTCCCTGGCTGAGAATTGACTTCTGGACTCTTCTGAGCATCCACCAAGTTTGAGAGTAAGTAGGTTGATTAATGAAATGATAAAGTGCAGCAACCCAGAGGAACAAGTAGATTATAATTGAATTTAGAAAAAAAAAAAGGACGTGGTCCTGTGAAAAGACATAACTGATTACAATCTAATCAAGTAAAAGTTCCTTGCAAAAGTCAATGCAATCTTTCTGCTTAGATGAAAGAATTACATTAGTACTCAATAAATACCTGTGAAAATTACAGCAGCCTACGATTTAATGACTTAATATATTATGTTAGGTTGAAAAGTCCTGATTATAGTTGCTAAATAAAAGTTGGAGTCCAGACATTTCTCATTCACAAGGTTGTAGCTGTGAAGCTTACTCCTGTTGCTTTGTTTTAACCCCATGACATGGTAGGGGTGGGGGAGGCTACGCTTTGCTTCCAGCCCAGCATGTAGCTCTTAGAAGGCCTGAGTTTATTTTGTGGAATTGAATTGCTTTCTCAGTAGCCCTTGTTCCCACATCTGTCCTCCAAGGCAACCCTCCTCGTGAGGTGGAAGCTGTGCTCCAGATGAGGGTGGGGTCTGGCCCGAAGGGCGACTCGCCCTGCAGGGTGCTGAGGTCCTGCCGGGACAGCCAGCACTGCCGGGGCCTGCCTCTCCTCAGCACAGCGGGCAAGGAGCAGGCAGCTGGGTGCTGGGAGTTGGCACGGCTGCTGCTTGGTTAGCCTTCACTTCCCATTGGCCCGGTAACGTCAGGCCACCACCGGCTTTCCTAGCTCCTGCTGCCCAAGCTCCCACGTGTGACAGCTGGACACCCGGGGGATCAGAAGTCAGGATGACTGGCTCTCTCTGGGGCTGCAGAGAAGGGCAGCCTGGCCCGTCAGGTGATGGGCTGCACGTGGAAAAGGAAAAAAGGTATGAACACCGAGGCCCCAGCAAAAACAGGAGCCCGAGTCCCTGTTCTGCGTCATGTCATGAGTGACTTTGAACTGGTCCCTTCATCTCTGTGGTCTCCCTGTTCTCATCTGTAAAATGGGACAAGTGGATAGCATGGTCTTCCAGCTCCGATCTGTGCTTTACACTGTTTAAAGTTTTAATCACACAAATAATAAATAATATACGAGGACATTCTTTTTCTCACCACATCAAGCCTTGCTGATAAAGCACCCTCAACTGCAGTCCCCTCTCCAGAAACAACGACTGTTATCCATATCTTTCAGAACTTTTTCTATGCAGTTATGGACAGAGGTGTGCCTAAGAGCGGAACAAGAAATGTTCAAGCTGGTATTTGTCTGTTTGTAATAATACAAAAACAGTGGTGCCTTAGCAAGAAAGTCTAGGAAGTGGCTTCATCTCGCACTTCTGCTAAAAGGAACAACCATTTGCCCATTCCAATGCAATTCAGTTCTTAATTTTAAGGGTCACTTGGGAAACCTGTGCCTCAGCCTTGGTCCCCGTGGGGATATGAAACCCCAGGAGCCACACCACCGGCTTTCTCCTGCACCTAGATGGTCCCTGGAGAGGGAGGGGCATTTGCAGCAGGACGAGGGGAAGAGTCCTGCCATCTTTGAATATGTGCCCCCAGAAGGAGTGTGTTGGGTGCTAGTGCCCTCTGCGGGGCCTTCCCGGGTCCTAGGTGAATGTGGGGGCCAAACCCCTGCTCTGGGCACTTACGCTGGGGCAGGCGTCTTCCCCCTGCTGCCCCACCAGGATGTACAGTGTGTCGTCCTTCTCCAGGTTGAAGATGCCCAGCACAGACACGCCGTGGGACCGCATCATGGTGTTCCTCCCGCCTTTCCCACCAGCGGCTCCGTAGCCCGAGATGCTGTAGTGGGACAAAGCACATGGGCTTCAGCCACAGGGTGAAGGCTGACTCCCTTCCCGCCAGCCTGGCAGCTTCCAGAGGGCCACGTGCACCCCCATACTGGTCCTCATGGGTCTCCCCTCCATGAGCCCCTGAGGTCAGCAAGGAAGGTCCCTCTCCCCACAGTCAGGAGAGGACAGTCAAGTCTGGAGAGGGTCAGTGAATTGCCTCACTGGCAGAGCTCGGCAGGCAAAGAACTAGTAAAGGGGTGCAAGAAAGAATGGGAGGGGAAAGGAGAGGGGCAAGGAGCGGGGGAGGGAGGGAGAGAGAGAGAAGAGAGAGCAAGTCAGGATTAATGTAGGCTGTTGAGGTGAGAGCATTCTGAGTACCTGGGATTTCTCCATTATGGATTTATCTCCCTGTTCAAAATCAAAGGACTCATGTGACCTTAGGCAAGTAACTTAGCATCCCTGTTCCACACCTGTAAAATGGGGACAGTAAGAGAATCTGCCGTCTAGTCCATGGGTGTTGTCAGGATTAAAGGCATTGAGATGCAGCCTTAGAATTGTGGCTTAGAATAAGCACTCAAACGTACTATTATTATTTTATTATTATTATTATTACTATTATTGGTGGAATTAGCAGGGACTGACTATGTAGACAGTTTTAAAGTCCCCCTAGGAGGCCCAGACACAAGAAGGCCCCCCGTGGAATGGCCGAGGGGAGCGCTGTTTTCGTGCCCAGACGCTTTCTCCCCATCCCACCAGTAACTCCTTCTGGAGCAATCTCTGTGCAGACACCAAACCGCCACTTACGATAAAAATAAAAACAGTGTGGGGATGTGCGATTATTTCTGCTGCCTCTTAGGGTGCTGCGGTTGGTAAAGTCAAGAAAGGATGGGGAAAAAATGACTCAGTTGGTGAACCAAGAGGGGCGTGTCTTGCAGACAGTGTACCAGGCACAAGCGCCTCCCAGAGACCGGCTGCCAGGGTTGGGGCTCGGAGGCTTTCACGTCCCTGCGTATTCAATGCAGGGTCCTTGACGAAAGGTCTCCAGGAAGAGGGGCGAGGCAGGTCTGCTCATGCGCACACACTGTGGCTTCTCCTATTTTTCTAGGAAACTCCCCAGGATGCAAGTGTGTGAGGCAGCTCCTGGGCCCCCGCGAGGTGGGGCTCAGGCCTGTTCTGCAGAGACGAGCCTAGAAGCTGACTGATGGCCAGTGTGGCAGGCGAGGAACGGGGGTCCCTGCGGAATGCGAAGGCGAGCCTGGCGCCCGCAGCCCTGCGACCACAAGCTGGCGTGGCATAGGGTCGTGCGCACCAGAGGACCCCAGGCGGGCTCCAGGCCGGCAAGGGGCTTACAAAGAAAGCGGGGAGATGATCAAGTTATGAAAAGAGAGATCCCGCCATCAGGGTGGCTGCATCGGGGAGGCAGGGCGGACGGACCAGAGGGCTCCGGGGCTCCATGATCAGAACGGGCCGTTTCCTAGCCGTGTACCCTCTCAGAATCCCACCCTCTTCCTGGGTCAAATAAGAACCACGTCTTATTTTTCAAACTCACAGGGTAGTTGGGGTTCAACATCAAAGGAAGACAATGGGGTGAAAACTTAGAGAAAGCGGGACATCTGCACCAAATCAGGGCGACAGATGCCATGACAGGTGCTGAGATCTCAGGCGCTTGTGGGGCGTGGGGGGCGGGGTTTGTGCGGGCCTCACGGTGGAGAGGACGGACAGGTAGGACTCTCAGACATGCAGGAAGAAGTGGGGGGTGGGAGTCAGGCTTGCGTGGATGACGTGAAGAGGCAGAAAGCCTGGGGTGTGTGGGACTGTAGCAGGTGCCTGCGGTGGCAGGGAGTGGGGGCGGGGCAGCGGTGGGGCTGCAGAGAGGGGAGGGGCCAGTGCCTGTGAATCCTACAATGTCCCAGGCCTGGATGCAAGTGTGCCCCCCACCCCAATAGCCATCAACAGTAGCTGTTAGTTATCTCATTTGACAGATGAGGAAACTGAGGCTCAGAGGGATGAAGTAACTCATCTGAGGCCACACACCTGGCAGAGCTTCGTCCACACCCCCACATTTCCCCTCACGGAGGCCATTTCCTTCCTAACGCGCTGCTGCGAGGCTTATCTGGGTGCAGGTCGAGGGTGGCCTGAGAAGCCAAACCCTCGCTTTTGACCCATTGGAAGTAATGGAGAAGGTGATAAGGACAATTAAGCTGAGGGAAAAGGCAGGCTCATTAGTGACAGGCTAGCACGGAGAATTATTCAGCTCAGAGGAGGGAAGCCGGAGCAGGGCAGGCGGTGGTGCTGCTGGGGGCGGGGCTGGGGTGGGGGGTGGGGGGATAGTCGGAGACTGTCTGCTCAGAGTCGAGAGATGAGCAGTGTGGATGGCCCGCCTCTGTCCCGGGGCTCTGTCACCTTGCACAGGAAAGTCGTTTCAACCCAGGGGTGTGGTTTGCTTGCCTGAGATGGAGTCCTGGTCCTGCCCACTCCTGCTTACAGCTGAGAGGTAAGCTGTACCCTTCTCATCATTTTCTGCATCATTTACATATTCATTTGCATCAATCTGCATGCATTATGAATCAATCTGAACTCTTTCACGTGTTTAAATTTAGCCAAATTATTATATTTTATAAATTATTTGTTCCTGACACTTCCCCCCCTCCAGGCCACCTTTCTTTTTTCTGTCACCTCCAAGCAAGTCCAAATGCCAGCCTCATCTAGGTCTTGACCTAGTTCTTGGCGATGAGATGGGACAGAAAGAGCCCTGAGCTCTGCTCTGCTGGCTGTGTGACTTGGGGCAACTTGGTGAACCTCTCTGAGCCTCAGCTTTCCCTCCCAAGGAGAAAAATGAGGACAAGGGCTCCTGCCCTCACGGGGATAAGCAGGGCCCCTGCAAAGACTGCAGACTGGTGGCCAGTGCAGGTTGGACCTGTGGCTGGGGTCAGCTCTAGGGATTCTAAGCAGGTGAGAGCTTGATGAGCAGGAGCCAATGGCCAGATTTTACTTTCTTGTGTGATGGTCTCTGCCCCACATTTTTAACCTGGATTATGGACTCGCTTAAAATCACGGGGAGCAGACAACTACCCATCTGGACTAATTGCAGGGATCTTGGGAAGCAGTGCCTCCCTCGTCAGCCCTCTGAGGGCTGAAATCCCACCGCTGAGCTTCACTGCTTTTAAAGCTTCTGGTTGCCACTGCAAGGCCGATCTATGAGCAGGATGTATCACAGTGACAAAAGCACAGACCCGAATGCAGGCAGACCTGGATGCAAATCCAAGCTGTTACTCAGGGACATGACTAAGGTGAGGCAAGAGCGGCGACCCCTCCCAGGTGCCAACCCTGCCCTCAAGTGACCCCCGAGAGCCGGTGCCTCCTTAAAGGCTCTGTCCAAGGCACCTTGCTCACCTCTCCTGGCCCGGGCTCTGCCAGTGTTACTCACTAGCTGTGTGACTTTGGATAAGTCACTTAACCTCTCTGGGCTCCAGTTTCCTCTTCTATATAAGGGAGACATTAATAACTACCTTGAAGGATCATTGTGAGAATTAAATGCGATAATGCCTGCAGCGAACCTAATTTGGGGCCTGAAGGGCAGCCGGCGAGAGACAAATAGTAGCTTCTGTTGTGATGTGTTGATACCGCTGTGGCTGAGCCTGTCCACTGCTCTCCAGGGAGTGACTTTTGGGAGGCAGGAGAGTGAATGGGCCCTTGGTTGCTAGAGAGCAGTAGGCAGAGCAGGCTGTGGCCAAGGGGCTCTGGGGTCAAGGCTGCTCAGTGTCCCCCAGGCCCCGCCTCTGTAGAGCCAGTGGGACCCAGGCCAGCCCTGGCACTTCTGAAGACCCCAGAGGACTCTCTGAAGCTTTCTCCCCATCCCTTGTAAACAGGTTATTTTTGATGGCTGACAAACGACAAATTAATTTACCTGCCACTCAAGTGGGGAATATGACTTGCAGTCATTCAAATTTACTGGAAATTACAAGACACTGTTCTCGGCGAGCGGGTGCTGTAGTTTTGTTTGTTTGTTTTTCCTCATCTACGTCCATGGCCCCCGGTCAAAATGGATGTTTATTGGGTTTGCATTTTGTATTATTGACTGTGAGCTATTGTTACGTGCTGTTATTGAGTTGTGAATCTTTTTTAAATAAAGAATTAGCAGCCTATCAAAGTGGCTGCTTGCTGGATCCTGAAATGAGAGCACAGCTGGCGTGTGGCACAGTGGCTGCGTGGGCACCGCACCCGAGGGGACGCCGGGGTGCGGGGGCGAGTGGGCCCCCCTTGGAGGTGCGTGAGGCACCTCATGCTGCCCCTGCATCCCACTCTGGGCTCTGCCTCGAATTCCCAGCGGGACCTCGGGCGGGTCCCTTTCCCTCCCCTGAGTCTCGGTTTCCCCCTTCATGAAATCAGGATAGTAAGACCTCCCCGCCTGCCCCAGCCTGCAGGGCTCCTGGGAGCACACGGGAGACGTGTGAGTGTGCACAGGCCTCGGTCAGTGGGAAATTCCTGCTCAGATGGATAATCGGATGATCAGGCGGGTCATTTGAACCATCAGGACATGCTCCTGGGGTCAACAGGGGTGGGCCAATTGTCTAAATAAAAGGAGCACCTGCTTCTTGCTGCCCAAGTCCTGTTCTAGGTTGCACCCACGAGTGAACGTGCACTTCTTCCCGGCAACCTGCCTGAGCAGGGCAGGCCGAAGCGCCCGGGAATGCCAGAGCTGGAAGAGGACTCAGGGACCCCGCCCTCTGCAGATGGGCGACTGCAGAGAGGGGAAAGCACACTGTCAAGGTCATACGATGGACGTGGCAGAAATTAGACCCAAACTCCATTCTGCCTGCAGCCCATCAATCTTTGCACCACCCCCCTCTCCCGCCTTTCGCTGCTCTGTGCTCTTCATGGCGACAGCTAACTGTGCAGTTACTCTGACAATTAATCATGACTTGTGACTCCCTTCTATAATTGTCTAGGGCTTGATTGATATTGAGGACTGTTATTTAACTTTTCCACCTCGTGGTCTTTCTGAAGACTGTGACGCTCCAGAGCCTCAGTCCTCTCTCTAAGACCCGCAGCACCTACTCAGCGCCCTGCACACAGTAGGAGCCCCTTGGCTGGGAGTGGTTCCTGGAGCCAGGTGAGAAAATGGGCATCAGGGATGGAGAGCGACAGAAACAGCTGTGGCCGGGTCAGCTGGCAGGACCGCTGGCTCCAGCTGGGATCTGGGGCCTCTTGCACATTGTGCCTGAGGAACAAGTGGACCATGCGAGAGCTGCTGTCAGGCGCTGTGGGACGCGCTCGGCAAATGTTTCTGCAGGTGCTGTGTGCGTGCGTGCGTGCGTGCGTGCGTGTGTGGATGGGGGAGGACTAAGGGCTGGAAGGGTGCTGAGGCCTGGAGAGGGAGGAAGGGAGGAAGAAGAAAAGGGAGGAAGGCGGGTTGGAGGAAGAGGGGGGGATGTGGAGGGGAAGAAATCGGGAAGAGAGCTGCCGGCCGGCACACGGGACGCGGACTGCCTCTGCGTGCGGGTGCCGCGCACAGTCACACGGAACCCGCACTGTCCCTGGGAGCAGGGCCCTGTGGGCACCGTCTCTGTTACACGGTGAGGATCTCGCCCCTGCCCCCAGTACACGCCCCGTAATCTATGCTTCTGTCGTGAGCCGCATCAGCCATACCGGACGTCCTCGGAAGTGTTCCTGAACCAGGTGCTCTTCTTGCCATCACCCTCATCAAGCTCCTTGAGATGGCATCAGTCCCTCCTGGTCTTGGCTTCCCCAGCCCTCAAGCATGGCTGTCACCTGGGCACTGCCACCGCCCCCGGCCCTCCAGTCATGCCGATTCTGCCCCCCACACTTCTTGTCCCTGCGCCCTCTCCCGATCCGTATTTCTCCTGCCCTGGTGTGACCCTTGCTAACTCTTGCCTGGTGGCCCTCAGCCTTCTCCTGCCTCTAGGCTTGTTTCTCTCGCTGCCACCCCACGCTGTCACCAGAGGGAGCTAAAGGCATTTGCCAGGCGAGCTCCAGCCCCAGGGCCTGGTGGCCTCAGGGCCAGCCCGGCCACGCCCCCGGCACTCCTTCCATTGGGAGGCCCTCCCCTCTTCTTTACAGACAGCCCTCGCCACCTTCAAGGCTTAATGTGGGTTCCTCCCTCCTCGGGGAAGCCACTCCCACACTCAGCCTTTCCCCAGCCTCTGACCACAGTGCTCTGGGCAAACCCCCACGTGGTACTTTCCACACGGCTCTGAAGTGCTGCTTCCACCACGCCCAGGGGCTGGGGCTCCTCTGGGCGGGGAGGGGGGGGGGCATGTTGTTCATCTTTCTTTATATATGGTACCCAGTATGTTTAATACGGTCCACTGAGATTTGCAAAGCAGCTCCGGGCACAAGGACCTAAGTTCTTGGAGGGAGCTGACTGTGTCACCTCTACTGCTGTGATAGAGAAAGTGACAAATTCAGGGGAAGGGCAAGAAAGTGGAGGTTGGGGAGGGATGGGCATTTGGGTGCGGCCCGATTCCCACCCCCCACCCCCCACTGGCCTCTCCCTTCATGGTGTGTGGTGCAGTAGAGGGTGGGGGATGGGCCCAGGATAAATGACCAGCTAAGAGTGGGGGTGCTTCTACCTGTATGCGTCCCTGAGAAAGCCCCAGCATGATGGCCTCAGCTCTGAGTATAGCAGGTGCCTGACAGGCATAAGCTCCCCTTCCTTCAGCCCTTTGAGCAGAGGGTGGAGAAGTCCGCTGAAGCAAGAATCCTGCCAGAGCTCAGGCGGCACGTAACAGCACTAGCCGAGCGCCCACACTTCCAGGAGTCGACGGATCCCACAGGAATGCTTCCAACCCTTTGCTTCCAAGAACCTTTTTCTCATGTCCTCTGATGTGTCCTATGTTTACTTCACTAGGTGAACTGCACTTACTAAATAAAAATGAGTTAATATGAAAAAACTGTCTTCCAGAAAAAGGGCACCTGACTTCTCAACATGGATATTCTGACTCGGGGACATTTTGATGTGGTCTAAAAAGCAAATCATTAAACTTTTCCTCTTTGAATACTAAGTAATGTGGACAATAGACATTAACATCCAAGCCCAGAGCCTTTTCCAGGGTCAAGGATGAAATGAAGGTCAGAAATGGTTGACCCTCTGTATCAAGTGGGTTCAACATATGCAAATTCAACCAACTGCAGATCAAAAATATTTGAAAAAACATGGTCTTGTTGGTGATGTGTACTACTCGTACGTAGTTAGGCCTACGAATGGTTGCATCTGTACTGAACATGTACAAATTTTTTTTCTTGTCATTATTACCTAAGCAACACAATATTTCAACTATTTGCAAGCATTTTCATTATATTAGGTATTGTAAGTAATCTAGAGATGCTTTAAATTATACAGGAGGATGTGTGTAGTTTATATGCAAATACTATGACATTCCATATAAAGGGACTTGAGCATCCTCAGGTTTGGGCATCCCAAGGGAGGCCTGGAACCAGCTCTCCTGGGGTACTGATGGATGATTATATCTGTTATAGCCTTTAATTGGTTAAAAAACAAAGATTCAACAACAACCCAAACCCAGTGCTTTTTGGTTTTGATTCTTCCATTTCGATACGATGCTATTTCAGGCCAGTTCAAAGTGTCCCCTTTACCAATCTGGACACTTCACAGTGTCCTGCTTCAGCAGAAAAACGGCTCCTCGTGCATGTTTCCACTGAGCCTTCACCAGGCAACGCTGGGGGCTGCGAGCTAGGCTCAGCATCCTGAAGAGAGAAGTGGGAACCGTTCTCTGATTCCGGCTTGTGTCAACACAGCGTGGCGACACTGTGGCAATTCAGGCAGGTCGGAAGCCTGGCTAGACTGAGATACAGCTCTAACTAACAACAAACGGGAAAATGAATTAATTATTATTTAATAGTGCAGTTTGTCTGGCAGGCAAAATCTTTGAAAACATGGAGTCCATGGAAGTTGGAAACACGTTCTTGGAAGCAGAAAAGTGGGAAACTACTGTCTGTGGGAGCAGTCTGTGCCTGGCTAGGCTGTCTCTGACTGTGTGGCCTTGGATCTCCTCGAAGTTTCTTTGACTCCAGTTTCCTCGTGTGGAAGCAAGGGAACATCAATAATAACACAACCTCATTACTAAAAGGGGGAGAAATACCCAGTAGATCCTCAACAAATCATCACCCCCTTCCCTCCAGGAGTCCTCCCGCCTGCTCTGGGACAGTGGACGACCCATGGAAGTTCAGCCAGGCTGGAAGGGGAGGCCTGGCCAGCTCGGGGTGCTGGGGCCAGTGGTGGCCGTGTGTCTTTGGCCATTTACGGGGAACGTGCAGAACCTAGAGCGGCAAATCTGATTGCAGCCAGCCCTTGTAATTGCATTCCTGCCCAGAATGTCATTTAAAAAGCACTTAGGGCTCTCCCAGAAACGCTTTCACCCTGAGGTCCCAGGAGTGGAGCTGCCACAGACAACAGGGCAACTTGAGAAGCCTCCTTTCTTCCCAGGGGGCGGAGGACATGCTGGGGAAGGCGGCTGCAGGAGGGGAAGGAGCGCTTACTTCCCACTGCACTCAGCCCCCGGGGGCACATTCGCCCCAGCAAGGGCATGATTACCAAGCCTGCTGTTTGAACAGCCTGGCCCTGCGGTGGAAGGAGCCACAGTGAAGCTGCGTCTCAGGAGTCCTGGGGCTGCAGGAGGTTTCTGGGCTGTGGAAGGCTCCTGACCTTTTAAGCCTCAGTTTCCTCATTGGTAAAGTGAGGACGGCAGCACTATCCTTGCCCACATCACAGAGCTGTGGGAGGACCATGGCCAGGGTTTTGACCTAACTCAGTGGTTCTCTGGGAACCACTGCATCAGCGTCACCTGGGAACGTGTTAGAAATTCTTATTCTCAGACCCTGCTCCAAACCTACAAAATCTGACGCTCCAAGAGGGGGCGCAGCAATCTGTGTTTCGACCGGCCCTCCAGGGATTCTGATGCCCCCTCCACCAACGAGAGCCACTGGTCTAAGCTCTACCATTAGCTTTGCCTTGTGCCATGACCTCAAAGTGGCCCTGGGGAGTCAGGCCTCCCCTCAGCCTGGCTTTGCTCTAGTGGAGAGCTGAGGGCTTGGGGTTGGATGTGGGACAAGAGTTCAAGAACAGCTACTTTACTTGAAAATGGTGAAGTCCCAGGAAAGGAAACTCAAGGATAAGGACATTGTCTTTCATGCGCATCATACTTTTGTTTCCCAAGCATTTTTACATGTGCTGCCTCATTGGAACAGCATCAAGTAATATTCAAAGAATAGCCCACTCTGATTATAATTATTAATAATAAAATTAAAAATTTCTAAAGCCGGCTCATGCATGTATATCATCTCCACCAATAGTCAACGAGCTCCTTGAGGATCGAGGAGGCATCTTCCTTCGCTGCCTTATTCCATTATCTCAAATCTCCCCATTTCCAGTCTTTACACCCTGATGTGGGCTAGAGACTATGGCTCAAGTACACCGGGGACATGCACCCATAGGCAGGACCCCAGTCCTCTTCAGGGGGACGAATCTGCCCCGCGGCTTCCCCCTGCCCCATACGCACCTGTAGGTGTCGGTAGCTGGCACCTTCCAGGTCTGGATGCCCTTCAGGGGGCCCTCGCTCCCCACCACCACACTCAGGTTGGTGTTCCGGTAGGCGTTGTTGCACTGGGCCTGCGTGGGGCCGTGGGGCCCGCTGGCCCCGCACGTGGTGAACAGCCAGTGAACTGTGGCACGAGAGGAAAGACGATCACTCACTTGGTCTGCCCCTCCCTCCTCTCTGGGTCTCCCTGGGCTGCCTCCAAGCTGTCTCTGAGCTGTCTGCTCCTTGACCCTAACATTCTGCTCAGGCGTTCAACCTGGAAACCGCTATTGAGGACCAGCTCCATGCTGGGCCCTGGGTCAGATGAGAGGTGGGTCAGGTGAGAGACACAGGTGGAGAGACTTGGACTGTGGCATTGAGAAGCTCACGGCCAACCAAGGGAGACCGAAAAGGGTGCAATCAGCCACAATATAGGGCAACTAAAAAATGCCGTGTGAATTCGCGGAGGGGAAGAAGAGCCGTTTCAGGTGAGACAGGTGCAGGCCGTGGCTGGGTCCTTCCCTGGTTTCTCATCAAGGCCAGCACAGTGCTGGGCAAACAACAGGCGTTGTGCTGTTGTGACGGCATCTAACCTGTTCCCAAAGATTTGGCATCTTCACATAGGATCCTCACAGCTTGGAGAAGATCAAAAGAGTAAACTGGACACAGAGTCAGCTCCATGACCCCTCATTGGCCCAGGGACCCAGGACAGTGGAGGGATGAGGAAGACTTGCACTCCAGCTAGTGTCTTTATCTATGTGCCAGGCCTCAACAGGGCTCAGCCTCCTTATTCATAACCACTTGGATTTAGAAACACTGTGAAAGCAGCTTTCCAGCTCTCAATGACACGGTGTAACAAATGGGGAAGCTGGCCACACCATCTTTGGTGCACGCCCTCTCTGTCCAAGCCCCTCCCCACTGCCTGGGGCTCTGTCCTTGCTGGAGCACCCCATGCCCTTAGATGACCTTCTGGGCGTGCTCCGGCACACCCCACCCCTCCACCGCCACCGGGCGTTTCCTTTCGCACTTTCTATCTTTGAGCCAGGCGGTATCTTGGGGAGCTGTCAGATTTCATGTTGGCCGGAACGCTAACGTTTTTTTTATAACCTATAAAAACTTAAAAAAACTATATTCTTGATAAATGGCTTTTACTTCAAATACAAAAATCTCATTATAAGATTGAAGAAATCATTTCCCTTTAAAGAGATTAAATCAAATTCTACCTATAGAAAATTATGGAAAGATTAATTTGGGCATATATGGCCTTTGTTCAGTAAAACGTTAAAGGGAAAATTTTTGGAAAACTTTCAAGTAATTTAATGATGCAAAAATGAAAGGTTAATTTGGGCTACTAATTAGAAGCAATCGGACTGAGATTACACCAGGCAATCTTGACAGTGTGAAAACCAGGCCAGCTGGGGTGGGCTTCGGTGACTCCACCCTGACCCCGAGGTCAGGAGGACAAAGTTCCAACTGTGGCTCCAGTAAAAATACCTAAGCGACACTGAGTGTTCCACACTCTTCTTGGCTTCATTGTTGGTTTTTTTTTTTTCAGATGAAGATGTCGATTTTTATTTGGTTTCTGAAGGTTGCTTCAAGGGCAAGAAAATGACGAACCCATTCGTCTGTAGTGTGCAAGGCTGAATGCTAGTTTTCTGATCTATTTGTATCATAAAGGGGTAACCTGTTAAGTCAAAGTTCTAACCCTTTACCGAAGGCGTTTTAGCAGAAGCGCTCTCTCGCCCAGATCCTGCGAGTGGGCTGTGCAGCGGGGAGTGAGGGCATGAGGTGGGTGAAATGGAAAGGACCCAGGTTTTGAAATCAGCAAGAACACCTGGGTTTGGGGACCGCCCCATCACTTACTGACTGTGGGACCTTGACTGGCATTAGGATGAAAGGAAACAAGGGATATGAAAGGTCATTGTAAAGTTCAAAACTCTAAAAATGTGAGTTGTGTCAGTGACTCCTGCCTGCACCCAAGGCTGGTGCTGTTGCCAACAATGGGAAATTTGGCTAGAGCAGCGTCTGTAAATACAGATGGATCCCTTGCCTGCCGCACCTAGGAATTTAAACTTGCTGAGTTGGGGTGAGGATAGGGGCAACAGGAAAAAAGAGCTTGAAAAAGAAGATGAAAATTCTACTCTTCCTATGATGTCTAGCTCCTTGAAGACTATTCCGCAGGACCAGTCTCTGCCTACTGCAAGCAGCCTCAGCCTCATCAATCTGGGTAGATGCATGGTGGTTCATTTAGTTAATTCAGTCTTAGTAATTAAAGAATATATATATACATATATATATATATATGTTTCACTGGATCAGACAAGTGCGATATTATGTGTCTAATAACTTCTGCCTAAGTTAACATGGTTCTGAAGGTTCTAAGACATTCCTGGACACACTGGGCTTCTACTTGGCCAGGTGGAGCATCTGGTGAAACAGGAAGAGGGACGTGGGCTTTGGATCCAGATGGGCCAAGTTTTCTCATTCTAGATTTTTCTCAGGACGAACAGGAAGATCAGGGTAAACTGCGTAGGTTCTCTGAGACTCAGTTTCTTAATATGAACAAATGGAGATAACAATACCTATCTCTTAAGCATCTTGTTGGTGTTATAGGATGACCTAAGCAAAGTGCTTAGAACAACAGAGAGGATAAAATGGACCCCAAGGAGGAGCCTGGATTGGGGGCAGGGTAGGGAGGAAAGCTCGCTCTTTTTCTCTTACTTTAAAAAAACAAACAAACAAACAAAAAACTGTTGTGTTAAAACTCATTTATGAAAGAAGAAAATCTTCTTTATGTTGTTCTTACTTATACTACACACTGGAAGCCTAGGTTAATATTCATTCACATCTAAATTGTATAAAGAACCCGCAAACATTAAAATACTGAATGGTTATAGACATTTCAGTAAAGAAAAATTTATTAAGCACTGGGTTTCATTTTAAGTATATTGCAGAGCCCTCCAAGAAGAAACAAATCAATTAGTAATATACAGCACAGTCTAAAAAAAAAACAAACAAACCAACCATAGGCTAGACAGGGATTGTCCTGGTTTTATTACAGTTGCTAAGCCATCTCATCTGCTCAACTAGATGCAAAGAAAGTGCTATAAGAAGGAAAATAAATTCTCAACTATCGCTATTCATCACAGTAATAAGGATCTGCCTCATGTTGAAGGCCTGGGCGGTCGCACCACAGAAGAGCACCCAATGGCTCACGTGGATATTTTGTACCACTTTGATTCTGATCCTTGGAACTGAAATTTACGCTCCCTGTTGACTGAGCTGAACTTCAGGGGACCCGCAGCATATGGAATCATTTTGATGGCCTTCACAGATCCCATTAAATACAATCATGACCAAAATCTAAGTAAATCTAATCATTCCTCATCCATAATGTACACAACATCATTCTGTATTGTAAACTGGAAAAAGTAACCCTTTCTGAATGAAAAGTTAATATATTGTTTTCTTTATTAGGGTGAAATGAAAATAATGTATATATGGTAGCCACTGTGAGGTTAAAACATTTCTACCATCTGTCTTGACTCTTTAAACAAGGGAGCAGTGCCCCCTTTTATATCTGTGATCAATGCCTGATTGTTGTTTTCTTTTTGATGTTAGCAGTTGTTGAAGCTTAACACCTAGGTCCGTTTATTTATTGGGAGTGGCAAAATAATGGGGCTTCACTGCTTCCTCTCATTTACTATTTGGTTACCCATATAGGAAAAGCAGGGTAAATGCTCAATTCTTTCTCCTTATTTACGGTTTTCAAGATAATGAATTGTTTCTCTTTCATCCTCTAAAGTTGGCCAATTAGTTGTTTAGATGATATGAATCCTTGAAGTTAAACATATTTTTGAGTTCTAATTAATCACATTTTTGGTCAGTGGTAAGCCTTCTAAGTTCTTTTGCTTCCTTGCTATCTGGTATGACAAAATATGCCTTTTCAAGACCTGAATTCAGCCATTTTCTTCAAGACCTTTGTTTCTTTGGAAAAAGGTATTTTGATTACATAATCTGAGGGCTATAGGCCCTTATAGCTACTGGGTTGGTGATTGTCTTTAGGTTTCTTCAGTGGATAGAACTAAGAAGTATATATGTATGTATATGTATACACACACATGAATATGACAAAATACCTCATGATCTCCCATTGATACTTCCAATTCATCTTCAGGACTAGTGAGTTTTAGATTTAACCTTTTCTGTATTAATCTCTATTTCTTTTTCTACACTGAGAATCTTGGTTTTTAAGGAATATTCTAACAGAATATTCTATACTTATTTATTCACTTTATTCTTCATTATACATACAGTAGTATCAGAGTAAAAATATTCCTACAATACCATCATCAATATAAAACCTGAAATCTGCTTTATATATATAAGGAGTATATGTTGACATCATTGATATCTCCTGTAAATTCCTTGGAGTTGTATTCCACCTACACCATTACCCTCCTTGGGCCTATTGCCATTACATATGGCACTCTTTCCTCTTTAGTCCTTAGTCTTACTTCTGTAAGTACCATGTGTTTAATGTTCACATTAGTCATACTAATATATCCTAGTCATTTTGGTTGTCTGAAACTGGTTTTCAAGCAGATTCTTTAGGAAGGACTCATGGGAGAAATATTCTTTGAGTTCTTGATTTTTATAATATTTTTTACCCTTGAGTATAGTATATGTGCTAATCTATTTTCTTATGGCATAAAGAATTATTGTAAAAAAACTGTGATGATAATCTAAATTTTATTCTCTAATCGCTTGGTTTTTTTAGGTGCCCAAAGTATTTTTTCCTTTAAGGGTTTGGTGATTTTACTAGAATGTTCTTTGGTATTGCTCATTCTGGGTCAATATTCTCAGATACACATAGTACTCTTTTAATAAGTAGTTTCAATAAGAAAATTTTTTTTTTTGGATTATAGCTTTAAGTATTTGTTTACTCCACTCCTTAGGCTTTCATCTTTAGGCACTCCTGTTATCTATATGTTGGATCTTCTTTGCCTAGCTTTGATGTATGTCATCATTTTTATTTTAAAAAAATTTTTCTTTTTTCACCTTCTATTAGCATTAACTTGTGTTTATTTGCTTTTGCATTCCTTCTAATTTAATTTTCATCTCTGAATTATTTTTTCCTTTTAT